TGGTTTTGTCCGAACCGTTCCAAGTGATTTTCAGTCTAATTAGCGACTGAACATTATATCCGCGAGTCTTATAAGCGGCTTCCGCTGTAATTGTAGTGATGCGTATAAATTAAACTCAATCAAATCAAATTTCAAAAGCCTAACTCAAGAGGAAACAGATATATGAGGGTGATAAATCCCGGGTGAATTGATTCGTGTATCCATAAAGATACACTGGCATGCTTGCTGGAACCTTGGCTTGTAGCAGTACCGTAGGATCAGTTAATTTTCGATATCTATACCTACCTCATCCGTGACTGCGCTTTAGACTTAATGTGTTAAAATTTGAAACGAAATACGAACAATTAGTGTATAAATAACAATATTGTGCGCTAACTTATAGACATAAAAGGTTAAAAATAAAAATATATTGAAGAATAATTCAGGCGAAAATATTTTAAATATTTTCGTATAAAATAAGAAAAATAATCCAGACGGAAATTCGAAATAATAAATTGTCAGAAAATATTTTAACCGGGAAGTATTATTTAGATACTATTTTAGTCGAATTTCGTCTGAACCGTATTTTAACCGAAAATAGTTAGGTACATGTAACTAAATTTAAAATGTAATTTACGCAACAGAGCCACGAAACGATAAATTAAATAAAAAGGATGAATACGTTTCGTATAATAGTATAAAATATTTTTTACCATATTATTTTCAGCGTCCAAAGTTTTTCAGCCAAATGCGTGTCTGAGGAATAACGTAGCCACCATTACCGAAGCCAGGGGGGGGAGGGATTTCCGGGCTCAAGCATCTCCCCCTCCCTCCCCGAAATGTCAAACGACAATCATTCAATTTAATTAAAAATACAATTTTATATGCATGATGCCGTGATAACCCGCTGCCCCGAATACGAAATTATAAGTGCATTAGAAGAACTTTTGGAAATAAAGGACAAAGTTGTTCATTTTTTGCATAAATCTTTGTGCAGTTTTTCTTTTATGATAACTGTATGTATAACGGATAAAAATCGTGGAATAACACACTCTATCTCCAGATTTCTCTAAACGAAAAATTTAGATTTAATAACAACTATGGAATCAATCGAATTAACTGTACAAAAACTCTACAAAGAATAAAAAAATGAAGACATGAGATATTCCATCGAGCTAGTAAAATTGGAGAAAAAGTAAGCGTATTTCCGACTACAGAAAGATGAGTGGGTATTCAAAGACACCGTTCAAACTATGAAATACACAATAATGACTGCATTTTTTATTTTAAGCAATCAATTTTTTCCCCATATTTAACTGATATGCTGGCATCATTTCATGAAAGATTTAAATTTAACTCAAATATTATTATTTCATTATTTTGTGTATTGCCAAATAACATAGAGAATTCTTCATTTAATGATTTAAAGCCGGCAATTGATTTTTACAAAGAAGATTTGGAAACTCACAACACTAATGTTAATTTCTGTATGGTATTACTGAAAAAATGAATTTGAATTGTGGCAACAAAAATAGTACAATGTGGAACCAAAAATGGTTTCGAAAAAGCCCTTTGACAGACGTTCTATCAAAATGTCCTGAAAAATTATTTACAAATATTCGTGTTTTGCTGATAATACTAACCATTTTACCAGTCTCAACAGCATCAGTTGAAAGAAGTTTCTCTACACTAAAAAAAAAATAAAAACCTATTTAAGGAACGCAACAAGTGAGACAAGGCTAAATGGTCAAAAAGCACTTATGAATATTCACCGGGAAATAATTATCAACCCTGAAACAATAATTAATATGTTCGCCTAAAAAAAAAGAAGACGCTTGGACTTAATGTTGTAATAATGTAATCTATTTTTTTTTTTTATGTATTAATTATATGATCTTGATTTGATAATATGTAGAATTATATGAATAATATTGTCAGCAATATAGTGCGAACTTAATTTATTGTCCTTATTGGCCATCAAATATATTAAGACCCCCCCCCCGAAAATAAATCCCGAATACGACACTGGTAGCTACTGTTCCGATTAAGTACTTAAATAACGTTTGGACTTCGGACGAAATAATAATAATAATAATAACAATATATTTGTTTCATCATCATGTAACCGAGAAAAAATAGGTATTTACGAAATAATTACCTAAATGAAATAAAAAAAAACCTCCTCCAAAAGGCGGAACTTGCGCTCGGAGTAGGTGAGTTGCTGAATGGGAAATTAAACACCGTTATACAATGCGTAATGCTAATTACTATTAGTTAAAATTAAATACTTGTAATATTTAAACATGTACAAAATAAAACGCATTATACGATCGTAGTGTTACAATTTATATGAGAACAGATTTATGTAAAACCAATATTATTTAGATCAATAGAATATATTTTACAAGAAGGTTTCGATTGTTGAATTTACTTATTACATCTATGTTGAGGTTTTTTTTTTTTTTTTTACACAAGTTACACGTACAGTATTCGATTGTGCAAACTGCTCGTTCACATTCTAATAATTAAAATTACTCAGAGTTTTTGACCCCCAGCATTGTAAGCATTTTCTTGATTTTCGTCCGTCCGGTTTATCGCCGCTGCTACGGGCCAACCGTTACCGACGTTATCACCGTGGCATTATTATCGAGGCGGAAACATTTACACCAACGGGTTGGTAAATTCCGTACACCTTGTACCCACAGTGGGGTACCGCCTATATTGCGGTACAACGGTGCTACGGTGGACTCGGTGCAGGTGTACGCCAATCGGTAAACTTATAACCGCGCATTTCGGTCGGGTTTCGTTACACTGTAAGCGCCGTCCGGGTTACGCCGTATTGAAATGTTCAAAAAACGTAACAACCGCGCGCCTATCACGGGCGACTGAGCCCGCGAAGCTACGCGCGGGAGAGAAAAAAAAAATAAAAAATAAAATGTCAAAATATCGAAAAACGTCACTAAAGTCTATCAGATAGAAATACGATTTTAAACCGTCAAACATATCTATGAGTCGAGTTAGAGCAGGGAATAAAGACAACCAGCGAGTTTCAGAATGGCCTAAAACGGTTTTGTATTCAATGTTAACAAATTCACAGAATTCTTTAAGAACGCGGACTCGAACTGTATAAATATAAAAATGTTGAAAAATTTGTCCGATTATAACCTGTACATCAATTGGTAATGTGTCTGCGGCTGATTGTACTGCATTGTTAAGTACGTGTGCGGCACAGCCTACTCCAATTAAATCTTAATTAAAAATCTCTTTAAATTTATAAAATACATTATTTTTTTCCATTTCGAGCTACACCACCAAAGTTACAATTAGTGTTATCTGCAGAAAAAGCAATAACTTTATTTTCGACTTTCCATCGGTGAAGTATTGATGATATACATTGCGTTAGTAGCGATGCAGTTTCTACCGGAAGCTCATTGAATTCCGAAATATTATTTTTAACTCCTTCGTCAAGTAGAAAATAGCGAACAAGAATGGGTATCATTTTTTGAGAATTATGATTAGATGCATCAGTCATAAATTGATACAAAATTGCACTTGAGTACATTTTTTTTTAAAACATTAACAGCATAGGGTAAAAATACATTAGTGATGATAGATTTTGTTTTAGTTCTACCACAAATAAATTTGTTCTCATATAATTTACGAACTAACTGAGAAGTACAATCCATAGAATTGAGACTTTGACTGTGTTTACAAGTATGATAAGCAAAAATTCCTTCATCTGCAGCTAATTTTTGTTCTTTATCAGCAAATTGTGTTTTTGGAGAAAAAAAATTTGACAATTTTTGAGATTTAGACGCTCTAGCAGCTATATTATGTCGTTCCGATTTTAAATGTTGTGTAATATCCGACTTACCACCATGTTCAATGCTGAATGCTGCTCCACACACAATACATTCAATTTTATATTCTTGTCCTGGTTTTTGACATTTTTTTAAGAATGTGTATTCACTTTGTAACTTTTCATTAAATGTGCACGTTCTTTTGGGCATTTTAAAAATTAAAACTTAACTATCATATTATTATGTTATAAAAACGATTATAGACTAATGTATATTACTGTGGTCTGACCAGACTATGAATTATGATAGAACAGATAAGAATNCAATCTATTTTATAATAATATGCGAAACGGTAAACATAATATAAAATTATAACAATATATTAATAGAAACGAAATCGGTATCGGTCATAGACCTACAAAGACCTTTATAGGGTACATGGTATCGGTCGGTATGGTCATATGGTTATATTATAATCTTCTATTATCTATGTGGCCGACGGGTAGTGATAATGAATAACAAGTAGGTAATTGTTATCTCAAAACGAAAAAAGAATACAATGTATAATATGGGTACATATTTTAGCAAACGGGACATTTCAGTGTCCCGACAAGAGTTGCCGGGACAACGGGACACCTAGTCAAAAAGAGGGACATTCCCGTATTGTACGGGACGTCTGGCAACCCTAGTCTATCTACACACATCTAAGATTTGTTTTCGTTCGTATGTCGTCCGAGGAGACCGTGACCTCCAATAGTCAGATTTTCGATAAACACAATTTTAACGTTAACATCACGTACCTAGAATGAAAATGACTCGCGGAAAGCCGGAACACGGATTTACATACGTACAACGCACACGCAATTCGTTTGCTTAGGCGTGTAGGCATCATTGCGTATATTTTTGTTTTTCTGACATTACACACCGCGAACTATTGAAGGCTGAAATAGGAAAAAATGTTTCATAATTCTGTTCTTACAATGGGCTGTTAGAAAATATACCTATGCGCGGGACTATACTTGGGCTCGGCCTAGCTACGTACGGCTAAGCCCAAGCGTAAGTTTATTTTATACATTTTTTTTTACGAACAACCATTGGTAATGGAATAGATAGTCTATTTCATAGTCAATGCTAACAACGAATTTAAATCAAATTATTTCCCTCGTTTTTCGATCGCTGGCATATGTTTTCGTTTTCTTGATAAAGAATGATAACCGATATCTTAGTTTCATAATATATTGTAATAAAAAATTAAAATTAATTTGTCAGTCTATATTAAGTGTATTTGAATTTGAAAACTCAACTTAATTCACTTTCACATTTCAGTGGTGTTGCTATTTTAAATACATGGTATTTTGAATTATTTTTTTTTTTTGTTATTATTAGTAGCTATATTTTAATAGATATGCATCCTGACTTGTCGCCTCATTTGCACACGGACGAATGTAACAACTTAACTATGGAATTTAAAAATTGTAGCTCAGAAGTAAGAAACTTAACTCAAAACATAATGTTGTTTGTAATCTAATTGCATGGATTTCAATTCCAGCACTATCTTTTGAGATTTGTTGGCAAATGCGATAAAGCTTATGATCGAATGGTTCACTGCTTTCACTTAGAGGTATGTTTAAATTTAGGTATTAATAACAATTTTACTATAGTGTTTGTTATTTTGAAATATTATTACAATTAGAGTTCTTCATGATTTGGTAATTGTTGTAATTTATACATTTTTTTTTACTGTATAATACCTACTTCATTGTCACGTTTAGTATAAATTTATCTATGAATTGATTAACGAAAATGTAATTAGATACTTATTAATTTTGATTACTGATATCAAAATTTAACCGTGTATCAGTGTCCAATAGAATTAATTTGTATAATGGCATTGCCATTATTACAAATATTATATACATTTAATTTCCTCCGAGTATATTTAACTTAATAATAATGTAATATGAATTGGTATAAATTTGAAAAGCCTATCTTAAGAGGAAACACAGACAGGAGGGTGAAAAATCTCTGGGGATTTGGTTCTAGTATAAAGATACACTGACATGCTTGCTGGAACTTGATCTGAAGCACTGCCGTACAATCAGATAATTTTTTACTATCATATCTGAGACTGTAGTTCGGACTTGCTACAGACCATATTATGCTAACCTATAAATATGAAGTGTTAAAAATAAATATTGGAAAATAATTCAGGCAGAAATATTTTAACCAGAACTTATAAAATATAAAAAAAATATTTAGTCCAAAAATATATTTTTTTTTGTACTAAAATTCAAAATAATAGTCAAATATATTGTTAGAAAATATTTTTGTCACAACGTACTTTACTGTTGTAGTTTAAAAATATATTTTATCATATTTTAACCAGAAGTATTATTACATTTAAATAAATCTAAAACAAATTTCATGCAATAGCCACAAAATTATGAATTAAATTAAAAGAATGTATACATTTCGTTTATAATATATAAAATACGTTCGATCATATTTTCCATGTCAATGCTTTTCGGCCAACAGGCCAATAGGTGAATTTCTTTTCTATATGAAGTAGGTATTATACAGATCCTTATGTATTCTTCATGAATATGTTAACATTAGCATTATGGTTTTTGAATAATATTTTTAACATAATAAAAAATGTGTACTTCTATTTATAAAATACTAAAACTACGTATAATAAGATGTAAACTCAGTTATCAAAAATGTACAAGTAAATACTATTATAAACAATAAACAACATTTTTATATCAAACATTTAATGCAATTATTTATTATATAAATATATATATATATATATATATATATATTGAAGATACAAACTAAAAACAAAAAAATAACAATTAGCTTATCTTTGATAATTTCTCATAATTATTTTTAATTTTTAAAAAACTATTTTGATTGGCTTCTATGACAATCATTTAATGATTATTTAAAATACACAGATTATACAAATTATATTTAAATACTTACTCATAAAAATTTCAATTCACGTTTTTTTCAGCGAGTAGCAAAGCGTCAATCTAATTATGAAAAAGCCATGAAACATCAAGAATTAGTAAGACAAAGGATGCGTGAAGATATGAGATCAGAAAGACAGCAAAGCATTTAAATAATTAAGATATAATGTATTCACTGTGCACATAGATTTAGGGTTATTTTTGTTAAATAATAAATATAACATACAATTGTTTATAACTGAGACTAGCTTCTTTATTTTCCTTTGATTTATAGGAACTAAAATTAAAACACATAATGTCAACAAAAATATAATATACAACACAATTAATAAAATAGTAAACAATATAAGTTAACTATTATGTATTTAAATATTTCAAATAGTTTGAAAATATACATTAAAAAAAGTTTATTTTTTTCATATTTCAGTAAACAAAAAATTGCATAACATATCAATAGTTTGATTTCAAATTATTGTTTTCACTTTCATCATTATCATTTGATGTTTTTAATAATGTGCTCAATGCAATTCCCAGAAACATAATCCAACCGACATGGTTGTTAGACACAAACTTAGCACTGCAATCTTTGGGATTATTTATGTCCAATGTGTATACCTAATTCCATAAAAACAGAAAATAATACCGGTTTTTATTTTCAACAAATCTTAATAATAAATTGAATGTTTAATTTACTTGATTAAACATATGAGCACCCGCAGCACTAATAGCTAAATAGTAAGGCCATGTTTGACCCGTAGAGATACCGCATGTTATTAAACTACCCAACGACATGGTTGCAAAAGATGTCAACCACAATTTTGATTTTGATCCAAAAAGAACAGCAGTGGACAAAATGTTATGCTTTTTGTCATCTTTTCTGTCCTGTATATATATTATAAATGTATTATTACCTATTCTCAAAAAGACCACCAAAGATTGTAAATTCATAAATAAATTACTTGATGACCATAAATTGTATCATAGAAAAGTGTCCATGTAACACCTGCTGCGTACAATGGTAAACAGGCAGTGAAATCGATTGTAGAGTGAATTGCTGACCAACCCAATAGAGCTCCCCAATTAAAGGTTAAGCCTAATATAAATTGTGGCCAGTTTGTTATTCGTTTCATAAGTGGATATAATGTGACTAATACTGAAACAAACAAATTTAAATTATGTTATAATTATTATTTCTGTACCTAAAAATTTTGTTACTTAATATATTTTTTAAGAAATATAACTAACCATTATAAACTAATGCGGCAAACAAGTATATGATAAAATTATGGTGTATAAATTTGTTTTTACATAATATACATAAATATTGGAAATAACTCTTAATAGTTTTTTAAATTCTAAGCCACATTTTGACTTCATAAAGACTGTCAATTTATGACATGTTGGATTACATTAAAGAAATAGAACACTAATCAAGTATTTTTCTTTTTTAATAAGCAAATCATTAAGTAAACAAATAGTAAACAATTGTTTAACATTTTTACAATAATTAATGATAATTTTAATCAACAACTAATACAACGGTATAGACATAATAATCATAAATACTAAATAAATAGATGAACAATTTGTTAATATTAGTAAATACTAGTTTATTAATAAATATCAGTTTTATTAATAATTGAGTTATTTTCTATAACTTTTTTTATTTATAAATATTAGTATCTCTAATAAATTAGTTTTTATAATATTATATTTCCTATGGGAAAGATCCATTAGAAGTGCAATTTCAACATGTCAAGTATATATTAACATCAAGTATGTAGCATATGTACTTCCTTATATTAATTTTTTTTTTTAATCACGCGCAAAAATTGGATTAAATCCAACTACTATACAATGTACATTATTTATGTACAATATTAAAAACAGACTGTTATTTTAAATAATTACCAATATTTTGTAATATACTTGTAAAAAGTATATTATGAATCCTAAAGAGCAGCAGTACAACCAGATAAAAGAGGTTTGAGGTATAACTCCCCCTCCCGCGAAATTTAAAGTTTATTTTACAAATTACACATAACACTTATAATTTCATAATTTATTTTAAAATTACAGACATTTTCTTGTAATGTTATATACATCTATATAGTGCAAGTCACCTATTTATTAAACCAAAAATCTGTCAAGAAATTTATTTGAAATTTTTACCCCTAACTACGAAAATGAAAATGGGTTGTGCTACTGATAAAAAGATACATAAGCTTGGAAGTTATTATTCTCTCAACACAATACAAACTAACAACTTTTGAATAAATAATTTATTAATAATACATATACATAAACATAATACAATTTTTTTGTCAAACACTAATAATGAGTGAAATCAGGCTTACCTAAAGAGCTAGCACCAACAGCAATAGTATACAAATTTAACTGCAACAAAATGATAAGACTGATCCCCAACTGACCACCAAGGAACACCCATGCATCAAGCATGCTTAATGATTTAATGACAAGTGGTCGGTTTTTTGTTCTGTCAACCTAAAAATGTTTACTCACTATTGTACATTATATTTGCAAATATTTTATGCAACCAAAAATATTACTAAATGTTAAATAAATCAAATTAAAATACATACATAATTTGTTCTAGTAAAATAAAATACATAATAGAAGAAAATATTACAATATGCAATTAATTAAATGTAAGTAACTTTATACTTAATAGGTTTTGTCTAAAATTGTATTCAATCATATTTCAATATTAGAATTAAATCAATATGTTTTATTAAACTACATATACATTATATAGGTACCTATTAATGTTTCAAAATAGAATATACCAGTTCTGTACAACACTGATAGGTAGTAGAACGATCAAAAACATATATTGAGTTGGACTTTAGGGCAATTGGAAATGCGATTATAGGATGAAACTCAGTTGCAGTCTGATATGTTCTCTTTTGAAACAAGAGTAAATATAAATGTATAATAATATAGTTAGAAAATATATTGACTAAATAAAACCAATAAAATATAATTTAATCCTAAAATAATTTAAAAAAATAAAAAACCTAAATAAGGAAACACCATTTCTATTTTTCAAAACCAACAGTACTTTTTTTTAATATTATTTTATTTTAAAAATTATTTTTAGTCAAGTAAATACAATTACTTTCAAAATACGTATAGGCAGTGGTTTAAAAAATGTATAAGGTATTCAAATTTGGAAGACATTTTAAACAAAAATGATCACCACATTATAGCCAGGATTATTAGATAAATGCTACATCTATCAATAAAATAACTTCTATTATGAGAACAAACAATGTATTATATATAATACATGTGTAGCTTATAGCCCTTATAACTGTATATGTAAACTATTCACTGAGTGTTTAATGAACACTTGGTCTTTCGTTAGTCATGACACTAATAATATTATGTTTGCATAATTTATTATAAGAAAATATTATTTGTAAATTAAATAATAAACTTTACATTATAATGAGCTTACTTTTTTATCAATATCTTTATCCCACATATCATTTATCGTACAACCAGCACCTCGCATTATGATAGCTCCAACACCAAATAACCCGAGCATTTCAAAATTTGGAAGATCCCCTGCAGCTGAGGCCAAGGCAATGCTCCATGTGCAAGGCCAATATAAAAGCAACCATCCTGAAAACCAAGCAATTGTAAGCAATCATATTTTTATAAAATACAGCGTACCAACCAGTAGGCCTAGAGAATCGCATTAGGTCTAAATATGGTCCAATTGTGCTACTAACTATGTTCTTTGGTTGGTCCTGATCAACTGGCTTTGATGTTTCAGTAATCAGGACTTTGCTGTTCATCGAACAACATCGTGTAAATCTTATATTTGACAATAATGACAGATTACCACATACTGTTTTTCTGCCTTCAGTCAATAAGGTTAAATAGTAAACATGAACAGGTAACTTTAGTTTTGTGCCAATACTCTTTGAAAATCTCTACAAAAACAACACCATTAGATATAGAATAAGTACGAGTAATTTGTCAAATAAATACAACCAATTAAAATTACCAGAAAAATCATTGTAGAGAACTAATATTTACTAATAGATGTTTAAATTAATAAAACAAGTAAATTCATAATTGGAGTAACTAATAATTGAAAAAGAATTAAAATTTAAAATGTATTCCCGAGGTTAGTGCAAAGTAAATTATAAATAATAATTAGGTAGGCACTGAACGCGATAAGGGAATTAATAATTAAAAAAAAAAAATGAAACGATTCGTTCGCAAAAAACATTAGACACAATTTAGTATTTACGCATGTTTCGCATCATTATTCGTATCTTAGGTATTTAAGTAAAAACTTAAAACGTTGAAATTCGGGTTTGTTTGAGAGTTTTAATCATATAAATTATGTTATATGACATTATAATCGAAGGTCTAGACCGAGTTTTATTACTGAGAAAAATTTGAAATAATTCTAAATTATTACATAACCACAAAGTGATAATAACGAAAAAATGATTACTTTTACTCTACCGGTTTACTTTTTTTTACAGATCTCTCAAAACGTTATTAGTTTCCGAGCATACCGCCGGATGTCGCTTTACGGCCAGTAATGCTTCGAACCGCACGTGAATAGTACCAAAACTCTCGTTTGCATCCCAGAACTTTCCACAATTTTTGATTTTCCAATGGTTTCGCACGTGACTCGAAGTGATCGACAGTCTCAAATGTCGGAATTGTTGCTGATAATCCCCGTATGGTCGGTCGACGGTCACGGTTTTTATGAAACAACTAACACACTAGACCCGGAAAATAGTCTTTTTAAGAGCGCTCGACAACTGCTCGAATCGATTCTTCCGAATTCATTTGGGACATGATGAATGGGTATCAGCTCTATTCTTAGAGAAGCCTGTGCCTTCAACCTTGTTACGATTTCAACAGGTAATACCCGTCTGATCCCTAAAATTTTCTCTAAGTGTTGGTTACTCACAGCGGAATGGTTGTGAAATATTAAATGTTATCAAAAGTAGTTGATTCCTATACCTAATGTCCAATATGCACTACTATTGAACCCGGTATTGTCATTTGTCCTCGGTACCAAAAGTGTGAGCCCCTGAAATATCTATCATGCATAAGTGAGCGCTGTATTAGTATTGACTGGATTTAGAGTGGGCTCGGTTGAGTTTCGACAAGTACCGCGGTTGGTCGATTATCTTATAAAAACTCGGTTTGAAAATCAACGTTTGTGAGAACGGGCCTAAGCCTACCTACGCCTCCTCTCCATATTTACGACAACGCATTTATAACTCTCCGGCGTAAAATAATATTATGCACTACAGTAAAATCACAGTGTTTCTGACGAGAAGCCACGATGTCCTTCACTGTATAATTCGTTATTACTAGGGTGGAGCGCCGCCTATGGTCATCGTCGGAACTTTTTTCTATTAATATTTGATCTTATCTAGGTACGACGATTGGAAAAAAAAAAAAACCATATACCTAGTTTACATTCAGCCCACTTCCGTGGCCGTGAGCTTGGGAAGTGAGCGTGAAAATGGGCAGCGCGGGTATGTAAACACGTCACTCGCGCTGATCATGCTACTCGCACTGACGCTGCCGTCAAGAGGCGGTAAACTGAACAGCGCGAGCAGCAACATAACCGGCAACGCGATCAATCCGGCCGATTGCTGCTCGCGCTACTATAATCAGCAGGGCAATGTAAACACTCACTGCCGTCGACGCTGTCACAGAAGTATTTTGAGGAGTAAATACGGCAGCGCGAGTAGCATTGGCAGCGGCTGAACGTTAACTATAGGTATTGAAATAGTCAGCTATCGTAATTGCCCAAGTTACACGTCCGTAAATTATAATAGGTCTTAGATAGCTGGCGTTTAAAGTTATTTTCGATTATCTCGATAATAATTTTGATTTAAACAGTTTTAGTAAACTATAATAGCATTTATTTTCGCTGATTAATCTTTCTTATATTTTCTCGCGAACAATTTTTTTTCACCGTACAAATTTTAAAATAAAATTTCCATTTCCCATTTTATGGCAATCCTATGCTCTATCTATGTTTTTGTAACAATTTATATCATCCATTAATTTAGTAAATAAATTAATATAGATGAATACAAAAATAACACTATTAACAAATTAAATAAAAATGAATGGCCATAGTAGAGATACTGTAGATACATGGGCGGTGACTCAACCATACATACCCAATTGATTAAACGCATTTCTGTAACGATCATTTTGATTAAAAGAATTTTCGAACCGCTATACAATTAACAAACTAATTTTCGTGGTCCAATAAATTTTCATTCAAATTCATTACAATATAACGGTTCATAACACCATTCGACAGTAGGCAAAGCACTGTGATCAGGTATGATATCAATATTTTAGGTACTTAATTTAAAGTATAAAATATATAAAACCGTTTCAATATTAATTAGGTACCCACAATTTGGATTTATGGATTTTGGAACAAGAATAAAAAATGATTTTAAATGCAATAAGAAAATATTGTATTATGATTTTATAGACAGCAATACAAAAGTAAAAAACGGTGCTGTATGTTATTGTTATTTTAAACAACTGTATAAAATAATAATAAAACCATACATTTCAGCGGTCTCAATAATAATATATTTCACATTGTTTGACAACAAAATTAATATTAGGTACAATAAAATACTAGGTATTACAAAATGTAAAAAAGATAAATATTACCAATAATTGTTTATAGAATATCAAGTAATGACTAATTTAAGTTGCACAGAATGATTCAATATAGGTAGGTACTAAATAATTTCCTTAAAAAAAAATCAGTCTTAAACTTAACAAATTAAAGTATAATATATGAACATGCTATTCAATACAAACAAAACTTAATTATATTACAATAAAAAAAAAATAATAATAATAATTAAGCAGTCTAATAAATATAATATTTTTGTTTAAATTGATTACTATTGTTAAATTGAGTTTCTAATTTTTTTTTTTTTTTTTATGTAATGTACTATAATAATAATGCCACAACTAGGAATTTTAGAGGCCTAGGTGTGTGTCTAACTTTGGGGCTCTATTTCGGAGTGTGCTATTTAACAACCTAGTGCCCTCACTAATAGTGTGGCTACATATGAGCTATTCATTTTTATTTAAAATTAAAATCATACCAACAGAATGTTTAAAATCGTATACAATAAAATATTATATAAAACAGTATAACTAATAGTAAAAAAAAAAAAAAAAAATCTGAGCATATAATTATAGTATAACTTATAAATAAGAAAATTCTTGTACAATTTATAAAATTAAAGTTATATTATTTCAAGTTCAAAAGAAATATAAAATAAATCTAGTACAAAATTGATGCAAATACAAAACGCTATTATGTTACAAATATTTGAAATTCGTGTAAACATAAGTTAAGCTCGCTAACGATAATCTCAAAGAATAACACTTTGCTTAATACAATACAATTATTTATACGACATTTAGATTTTAACACTAAACGGTTTTTGATATTATTTTATATTTGAACCAGTAATTCAAATATGTTAACTATTCATTTTTATTTTATTGTAATAATATATATATATTAATTATTTAATATAAAAAAAAGCAATCAAAATTTGACACAATTGAGAATATATATAAATAAAGGAAGTGTTAGTCTGTCTGTGCGCAATATACAGCCGAATGTTATACATGCAAATGACTGAAAATTTACAAATGGAAAAGGAATAACCAGGTAACTTGAAACTGAATTTCTGAAATTCAATTTCTAAAGGTCAATATAAGGTTTTTGGTGAAAATTAGTATGACCAACCCCTGGCATAACAGTTATAGTGCTAAAAAAATGTATATAACATATAAGGTTGGGTCTAAAGTTTCATTGGTCAACTGGTTAAGTAGAATCGGAGCACTGATTATACACTCAAAGGTGGGCAATTTGATTTAGTTGTGTCAAATAATTAGTTGGGATTGAGAGAAAAAGAATTTTTAAGTGAAAAAAAATTACTACAGTTATAAATTAACAAACAAATAAGTGATAAAAACAGACTCAATCATTTATTTCCAGCTTAATTGGACTTTTATGAACAATGGATAAGAATAATTATCTTAATGTTTAAAAATTAATTTGTTAACTCGTTAAGCCCATTGTTGAATATTATATAGGGTTATAAGGAGTATCCAAGTATACCATATTAGTATCAAAGTCAGAATTTGCAGACTTCAAATACAGACTTTAAAAAAATGTCTACCCTTTATTTTGTCCAATGATAAGTTAATCTGGCAAGAAATATTAATACTAATACTTTATTACTAACACGTAATAAAATATCAAAAAATACCTCAAAAATTACTAGTTTCACCGAATTTAAAATCAAATTATTGTTTATTTGTCAATCAATTGTCTATAGTTTGGCAGGTTACTTTTCTACTACTTTTTATTACTACCTTTCCCTCTAGCTAATCTCCACGGCTCTCAAAAGTATTATATACTGTGTTTATATGCAGTTGTTAATGCAAATGTTTTTTATTTCCATAAAAAAATATCTTATTTAATTATTCACATTTTTTTTTTTTTTTAATCGTGATTTTTCAAAGAAATCAAAAAGAATGTAACAATAGGGATGGAAGGGGTGATAACCTGGAGTTACAAATTCTCGCTAATCACATAACCCCCAGATATACATTTTTACAGTTTTCATTATTATGTTTTTTTTTACAATAATTAAATGGTTTCATTTTTGATTAGAGGTCTAGAACAAATGGGCCCAACCACATAGAGACCGCCAAATGAACGCGAAGCACATTTGAACTCCAACAAAAAAAATGATAATAATAATACAATAATAAATAATAATTGTATATATTATTATTATTATCATATATTTCATATTAAATTCAAATAAGCATACATACCTACCTACATGAAAAGAACATAAAAATAAAAAATATACACAATTATTAAGTTTAATTGTCGAGATATAATAATTTATGTTAATATTTCATTAAATAAAAAAAAATTAAAAAAATACAGAAATATAATCTATTTTAATGAAATATTTTATGGTATTCCCCTCAAAAACGATATTATTTCTCTTTTCCAATAATTTTTTACTATGTAGAGTATTCTTTTGTCTAAACCATTGTTGGCAATACAAATTTTTTGAAGTGCTTCAAAAAATTTAACTCAGTCGATATTTGTAAAACCAACATTTAGAAGCGGGAAAAATCATTCCTTAAAAATTAAAATAATACATTGATTTAGATTTTAGATAAAAGAATACTCAACACAGTCAAAGATAACGAAAAAAGTGAAAAAACATCATTTTTTAGGGAAATATTACAAAATATTTCATTAAAATAGAATTTAATTATGTATGTTTTTAATTTGTATGTTCTTTTCATGTAAATAGGTATGTATAGTAAGTTAAATTTTATATTTATAAGATTTTTATTTTATAGCAGTTATTCAGGTATTTAATATTATATATATATACATAATGTAAAAATAACAATAAATACATTTATTGTTATTTTTTTTTATTTTTATTATTTATTTCATTATTATTATTATTATCTTTTTTTTTGCAACCAAATGCCCTTGTAGTAAAGTCCAGAAGACCTCGTATATTTGTCCTAGACCCTTTGATTAGTAATACAACTGATTAGAGTTTACATCATTTTCTTTTTATCAGCCTGTTATCAATAATAATTTGATCGTTGAGTCCAAACAGTTTAAAGCTATTAAAACATGTATACATAAAGAGATGGCCAGCGGGTTTTATATCCCTTACTGAATAAAATTTAATATCAACATGTAGTAAGAGAAATAGACTATATTTCAGGTCAAAAATGGAATAATAAATACAAATAATATACTTTAATCCACACTTTTAATATTTCGAACATTAAAATCTGCAGACATTAACTATATGAGATAGGTATAATATTTATTGAAATAATAATAATAATTGTAATTTAGTAATAAATTTGTACTATCCATTGATTTCTAAAATTAATAGTTTTAGTCAGATGTGATTTCATTCTTTCTCTGCGGAGTTCACAAACAGTAATATTAAAGTTATGCTCTCTAATTGTGAAAAACGTTTTTAGAGTCAATTTTATAATTTGGAATGAACTATTCAATGAATATTGATAAAACCTAAAGACTAATTCAGGGGTTTTTCATACCAATATGAAATTGTAAAGGGTTTAATTAACCCCCCTTAATTTTTAATGTTCGGTCAATACATTTAAACATATGGCATGATATCTACTAATAGTACTAATTCACAATATAAACTCACTCAGGTCCATACCCTCAACTTTTATTTTAATTAAATCAATTTGTTTACATTTTCTACATCTTATCAATTTATGTTATCAAAAAGCCCTGAAATATACTCCATTTCTCTTACTATTTGTTGATTTTGTGTTTTCTCTCTCTTAATGCATTCTATCTCTTTGTATGTCTATGCATTAAAAAAACACAATATATTTTAAAACACTCATATTATATTAAAATATAAGTTATTTACATATTACGATTTGACTATTATTAAATGAGATTTGTTTTCAATCAAATAAGTATAGAAGTAGTTAAAATGTAGAGTTTAATAATTTTTAAGTTACTCTGCATCATATTTATATGTACATTTTTATTTGTTTGGATCCAATCGTACTTGATAAGACTTATGAGATAATATGACATTATGCTAATCGTAAATACATAAAAGTAAAAATGCCAATTCATAATTGATAAAAGCTTATGGTTTGAATAGAGTATTTAGATCAATGTATTTTATAATTAAGTTTTTAAATATAGAAGAAGTCTATATAATTGAGAATAAAAATTATTTATTAAATTTCCATAATGAGATTTCTCATGTTCATTTCTTTGAATGAATTATTATTTAGTTAAGTACACAACAAAATAATTATTAAAGATATTTCATCTTGTCACAATACTCATAATTAATTAAATATTATTTTATTTTTATCACAAATTTAAAATGAAACTGTTTTAAACCTTCAATGTATTCTATAAATAATAAAAGATAAAAACACAGTATCACAATCATTATTGGGGAAATTAAAAATGAATGAGCAGTTAATAATACATCATTATCTCAATTATTTTAATCAAATGGAAGACTTAAATAAAATAAAATAATGGTTAAATTTGTGTATCAGAATAATGTTGATTTAAAAAGGTAGAAAATAATGTAAATCAGCAATTCATGATCAATAGAACAAATGTTTATCTAATAAACACGTCTCAAAATATTATCAAAAAGTAAAAGTAAAATAAATTCTGGATTAATAACCCTGTCAAAAATTGAAAAATTAATACCCTATAAATTCTAAATTTCCAAGGTTATCTTAAAAGAAATTTATATTTAAAAAAGGCCTCAATTTATGTTAAAATAAGTATAAAATTATGAAATGTAAACAGCATATTGTTATACATAACTTATTGCGGAGTTCGAGATCAGAATTATGTATATAAACTCACAAAAAAAAATTTCTGACAACTATACATAAAACAAAACTGTTTTAAAAATGTACCATGATGTTTTTTCGTTTCAAGCACTAACTGACTCAGTTCTTTGAGATGGGTTCATAGCAGAAATTCAGCAACAAATAAAAATCACTAATGCAAATTTAGTCATGGAATACTTCAATCTGCTAATAAACCCTGCAAAATGAAAATGAATATTAAAAAACTATAATAAAAAAAAGTATTTATTTTGTTAATATAAGCTATTAGTTCATACTTGAGAAGTGACAGCTAATTGATCTTTTAGTAATCTAAATGAAGGACGATCCTCTGGACTGTGACTCCAACATTTACGCATTACCTATAAACAATATATTAGCACTTTAAAATCATATATAAATAATTCTAAATGTTGTAAATCCTAAATAAACATTATTTTAGATTAAACCTGAAAGATAATATTTACCTCGTAAACTTCTTTGAAACACATTTTAGGTTTTTCTAAAATTATGCCTCTTTGAACTCGATCAACCACTTCTGTATTTTTAAGTCGTCCATATGGCATTTTACCACATGTGAATATTTCCCACATTAAAACACCTAAAATACAATAATTAAATAAGAATAAGAAATAATACTTGTTTAAATATTTGTATTCATACCATATGCCCAAACATCAGATTTGGAAGAAAATCTAGTGTAGTTTAAGACTTCAGGAGGAGCCCATTTAATGGGGAACTTGGTACCACCAGAACTAGTATACTGATCATCAAGAACATACCTTAAATAATAACAAATATTTGTATTCTACATTTTGTTCAAATAAATAATTTTAAAAGTATACAAGTATATTTTATGTATAAAATGTATAGGATTTTTGTATTATTGAACCCCTATAAATATTTCTACATCTAATTTTTATGAAATCTAAAAAGTATTTATCTGAAGAAACAATTTTTTTTATGTATACCTGGCTAGTCCAAAATCTGCTACTTTCACAACATTTTCTGAACCTACTAAGCAGTTCCTAGCAGCAAGATCACGATGAATGTAATTATGGCGTTCTAAATAAGCCATTCCTTTGCAAACCTTGTGATTAAACAAATTATCATTTAAGCAACTGGTTTTTTCAGTGTTATTAAAAAACACTTACTTGGATACACATGTCAAGCAATAGGCCATTATTTCCACCTAAACTATTTTCATGTCGTCTTAAATAGTTTAGCAGTGATCCATGTCTCATGTATTCAGTAACTATATAAATAGGTCGATGTTTGCTACAAACTCCATAAAGTTGGACTAGATTTTGATGTTGAAGTTTTCTAAACAACATAAATTGATATATTAACAAACAATTTTATCACTTTAATAGTTGATTTTAATATTGTAGTTTTTGTTTTTTTACTGTACTTACGTCATGACTTTAGCTTCTTCAATAAAATCATCTTCTGACATTGTGCCTTCTTTCATCATTTTTACAGCCGTGTCAATGGATCCTTTCCATTTACCATGACGTACAACACCAAATTGACCAGATCCTAGTTCTTCCAATAACATTAATTCAGCAGGATCTATTTCCCATTTATCTACAAATAAATATTATTTTAAAAATAGGTAAAAGAAAAACTAATCAACAATTTAATAAATATAGTATTCACCGTGACTTAGACCAGCTGTGGCTGGAACAGGGCGATCACAAGGAGATGCTTTTAATCGCGATGCTAATCCACCACTATTATGACGATGATAATTAATTAGTTCTGGAATGGTTGAACAACAATGTTTTTCACTCAGGAAAAAATCGCCTCGACTACTTTGTTTAATGTGGTAATGCTTGACATGAGAATGTGGTCTAAAATAAATACATTAAATCAGTAAAAAATTGATGTAATGAGAGAATGCCTAAAGAGACTGCCTAAAGAGACTGCCAGTAATCAAAGTTTAAACCAGTAATAATAATTAATAATACCAAACTATATCAACTTGATCAAATCTTATAGTGAAAATAACTTAAAAAACTTACACTTTTGTGAAAAGAGAGAGAGTATAAAGACCTTTGGTTGAAGAATTTCTAACAACAAAACATCCTTCTTTATCTTCTTGTTTGAGAAGTGACTCGGCTCTTTGTCTTGACATCTCTCCAACATACCACCTTAAATAAAAATAAAAATAAAATATGAATAACACAAATAATGAAATAAAGGTTAATAGTAAAAAACTGCTTCAAGATAATCTAGCAATGCAATAACCCACAAAATAAATATAGTAATTTATTAACGACAATTAATTGAAATATGCCACTTCATTGTTCTCTTATAAACTTTGAAGACAAAGAACTACCCATTTATACTACCCATATATTAATAAAATATATAATTCAAAGTATCAATATTAACTTTAGAGTTATTGTAGCTAGTAAATCCTTATGGGATTACTCTATATATATAAGACAACAGTTAAAATATACAAATTAGTTATTACTTACTCATATTTTTGGAGACCAAGAAATTCTTTTTCTTTAACATAATTACTAGGGATGTAGCCAATAGCACTGAAAAACATTTCAATTTAAATGGTCACAGAACATAACATTAGAGTATTAGTTAAAACATTAGAACATATATGTTATGGTATGTATTTGCTTACCCATGCTCATCTCTCACTTTCCACCAATGATCTTGAGAATCGTCAATAACCTCATATTCACCCCCCTGAAAATAAAAAATTATGTTTTGTAGACTAACAAAATTATAAAAGATTGATTAATAATTTAAAAATTAGTATTCTTTTTTGTTTACTTTAACTAAAGTCAAGTCTCCTGGTTCAATTGCTTTAAAGGGGTAAAGAGCAGTCACTACCTTGATTCTTGGTACTTGGTCCTAGTTAAAAAAAAAAAAATGTAATAAAAAGTAATCAAATTGATATAAATATTGTTACACATTTAAATCCATAAAATATATTTTTTGGTAGAGTAAAATTTAAACTTACTTTTAATTTAGCAGCCGGTGTTCCCCCAGGCATTATTGGACTTCCTGTTAACGCTGTGAACATACATATATTATAATCAGATTATATTCCTTTAAAGTTATAATCATAATACAGAGCTGAATAATATAGGATTTGGTTGTTGACTGAATACAATGGGGTCAGATAGAATTGGATTTGTGTTACTAGTCATGGTGGGCTGACCTCAACTGAGCAGAAGCAACTACCATGGAGATTTCACTCGGTTTATATATAACACTAGAGATTTATAACTGTTAAAATGCATGAAATTAAGCACATCTAATGAGATCACACAAATATTCTTGGTTATTCAGGTGTTCGATTCATTCAAAAAAATCGCCAATAATATAAATTATTAAGAAAATATCTACAACGTTTGGATTACATTGGTTTAAGTGCTTAGCCATTTTTTTATTTTTTTGTTGCGTTTAATAATTCAATAGATCGGAATTATTAAAAATAATAAAATAGCCTGAAAAGAATGTGTAAGTAAAAATGTAATATTAATTAATTTTTAATTATCAATGCATTTGTTGACTTGACTTGCAAAAAAATAAAAAAAATATACGTATATTTATATATTCTATTTTCAATAAGTACTGCCTATTTCTTTAATGCGTACGCCACAGTTTGTAGATACCTATCTAGGTAGATACATTGAGTTTTCATTAAACTGTCATTAAAATATCGAGGGAATTAGAACGTCGACACGCGAATAATGTCATTTCGTTGTAATTTAACAGAGAACGAGCACAGTCACGAACCAATGTCGGTGTTCGCCGACGACGGTATACAATTTCCACCGGGGTATCGATATTTTAAAACGAAAAACGAATCGTGTACAAATAATACATATTATATTATTATTATATATATAATACGTTCGTCCGAGAACTGCGACTATTGTTTTGTTCCAATAATCATAATAATAATAATAATAATGATGATGATGATGATGATAATAAAATCGTCTACAATCTTTTAACCTGTCGTATAATCTTCCATTTCTTTTATACTCTCGTATACATCATCGCCGTCTGCGTTACCCACTGCCAGTACCTTTACCATAAAAAGAACAGAATCTAACCGAGTCATTCACCTGATGCGCGACGCCTTTTCCCACTTTTTTTTTTTTTCACCATTCCGAGCCGTCGGTCCGTCTCGCTCACTCTGTCTATCTCGTTCACTATCTCTATCTCTATCTACCCTAAAGATAATACAATATATAATATAATATCGGTGTACGCACACACACACACACACACACACACACACACACACGAGAGCGCGCATTATGCAAAGACAATTACCTACGCCTTTATACGTGCACGGCAACGGAGGAGAAGAGGAGAAACCCAAAGACTATGCGCGTGCGGTGTGTGTGTGTGTGTGTGTTTCTGTGTGTGTGTGTCGTTCATTGTCTCAGAGTTCCAAATATAATATGCGCCCTATTATTGTACGTGTATCGAAATAAAAAAATATATACATACGGTCGCGCGTGTGTTTCAATGAAGGTGGTCTACGAATGTTTTTATTTCTGTTTGTTTTTTTGTTTTTTTTTTTCCCAACTCGTATAATGATATCCCCATCGACCCGTCACGTGAAAAAACATTGCTCAATTATTCGAGAAAAATAAAAATAAATAACGTCGCTTTCGTACGATAATAACAACAATAATAACGTTTTGGTTGATATTTTGATGGAGAAAAAAAAATAAAGTAAGAAAACAAAACCGCAAGCCGATTATTTAACCAGAAGTTTCATCACACCGCGGCCGTCGTTATAAAAATACACATCTAATATAAATAAAATATCGAATATCCAACAAGTAGGCGCGCTGGACAGGTACAGACACTTAAATCGAATCGCTGAAATGAGTGAAATTTTAAAATATTCAATTTCCAACGCCGTAATGTTCTAATGGTAATATCCCACCTGCAAGTAATGTACGCGCATAATGATACTACGCAAATTACGTAAATTAATTTTTATTACGTGTCGATTTACGGAAAAACAACAAACGGGCACTTTCTATGTTTTCAAAGTCGAGTTTATTGCTTTTTAATTATATTTTGTAAGGGAACAATCGGAAATGAAAAAACGCCGAAATATTTGGTTTGCCGTTATAATAATTTATTGATGGAATCCGATATTTCCTGTAAGATCATCATCGTTGGCCCCGCAAGCACCCGCGTGATATTTTTGTCATGTCAAACTCGCCCGGGGTAATAATATTTCCGCCCATTCGTCAATATGTCTTTTATCGTTATTATTTTTATCGTTTTTAAACACCAACAATGTTTATATTTGATTTAACGCCGATTGCAACACAATCATCATGTACAATCGTAATTAAGAATTTTACCTTACGAATTCGTGATGTACCGCTGAAATTCCAATATAATAAATACAATATATACGGAACACAAATCGCATACAAATTATTATATTGAAAAAACCTATTGGTTTTTTTTTTTTTTCCCCACTACGGAACCGAAAAACATTCCGGACAAATTGTATAATTATTTTTGTGTTGAAAACCTATTTTATACTATTATTATACGTATAATATGTACGTTATTCAGAGAAATTCTATACGACTAATGGGCGAATATATTGAATATTAACCGGATTTTTTTTTTTTTGGTAAAATGTGAAAATATAACAACATACGAATATAATATAATATGCCGCTCATGCCGCGATTACATTCATTCGTACGTTTTTTTTTTTTTTTTATTTTTTTATCGGTATATTAAATTTGTATATGTACGTATAGGTATCGATACATCTATAGTATTCAAATAATTGTATAGTTCTAAATATATAGTGTATTTTTTTTTTTTCATGATCCGTCGATTTCCCATACGAAAATTTTCAGGTAAAATTGATTTCGATTTTTTTTCAGCCGTTATATTACAGAATCGTTTAACGATCTCATATATTTACAAATACGTTTTTTTTTTTTCCAAAAAACATTTAACCCGTTTTTTATTCGTTCTTTCGCACCGTCCGCGAGCACGCGTCGACTTTTGATTTTAAAATAGCGACCATTTTCGGTGAAGGACCCTTGTTTTCCGACAGGATTCAAAAACAGAGAATAATTGTCTAAACATTTCGATATTATTAATAACGGTAATAATATCTATGAGTTACATTACAGTTTAAATTTCCAACCGAAGAAGTATCGCGAAGAGTTATCTTCTAAAATTGAATGCTAAGAGTTTTACTAAAGACCGAATTTTGCGTAGAATGCATACCCCAATTGGTATTTTCTACATCACATACATACAGCAGTCAATGAGAGTCCATAAAACATTACTTGATTGATTAAAGTAATTTATTGGTTAGTGCATGTTCTGTATGTTCACATATTTGGTCACTATAAACAAAAGATAGCACTAAAGAATTACCTAAAATCCCCAAAAAGATGAACATGGAACACGCTTTGGTAAATTATTGTTTTTTCAAATTAATATACTACTGTTTCGTACTTTTTTCATATAAACAATGCACTAAATTAGATTACTTAAACATACTATTTATTTAGTTTTTGCAATGCATTAAAAATTAAATTTTTGTACCGCATATTATGTATGCATATTTTTTTAGCGCTTGTTAGCGTACATACTTAACAATTATAAGTACATATAGTTCCAGCCTGTGGTTATAACTCATATACAATAACGGTATGCCCGATATTACAGTTTTATGTATACAGACGTATAGACGTTTTAAAAGAAACAAATATACTTATTCATTTATCGAATATTTTGTCGGCTGGAGGGTATTGTCGTTTGAAAATCGAAAGTATTAATATGCTGTTTCGTTTAAAGCATAAATAAGTAGAAATGGAAATCGGATCGCGATTAAAAAAAAAAAATTACCCTGCGTATGCACTCTAATATAACTTCGATTAATTTTTTTAAATTGCCGAACGTTTAAAATACAAGGAGAATTAAACGCCTGTTCGCGCGTAACATTGAATACAATAATATTCCCCGAATAAAACTCAACAATACCTGTCCTATAGAATTTTAATAGGTTAATAATTCACCTGCAGAATGGCGTCGGATGCGATTTACAATGTGTTAATAAAATTCAGTCGAGTATTATAATGTTATTAATGGTATTATATAGAAAACCTGCAAATTATCCTAGCCGAAAATAAAAACGAAATATTATAATTATATTTAAACTAAGCGAATAAAATGGGTTATGCTAATTGATGTCGTACCGAAATATGCGCCCATATTACTATTACAACACTCCCTGCTCTTTAACAGGAAATTGAAGAGAATTATATATTATTAAAACAAGAGGGTCACACCAACTACGTTCATATTATATAAAATACGCGTATATTATAATAACTGTTAGTGTTGCTATATAATAAAAACGATAACTAAAAAAAAGGGGTTAATGTGTATTATAATAAGGAATATAATATCCGCACACCAGGAGGGGAAATAAAGTTTCCCGGTATAAAATTACACTATCCGGTGACTCGTATATTGCTTATAAATGTTTCGGCGCATGAAAAAAAATATCTCTTATTTTATGTGTTTTAGTGTATTACTATGGCATACAATACGTATAACAACTAAAATAATAATTAATATATTCATCCCGTCATAAATGAAGGAGGGTGGGACTTGAGAGGTTTAGCCTCCGTCGAAACGTAGCAAATCCCTACAAATCATGTCGTTATCAAGTAAATACTAAGTATAGGTACAGGTAATCAGTTTTAATCAATATTATATATGACGTTAGTATAAGCTTTCCCAAAATATTTGAAATATTTGCGTCTATATATGAATGTAATCAAGGCCGATCAACAGGCGTGAATTCAGAGCAGGGGGTAGGCCCGGAACCATTTAAAATGTTCACAGACAATGATTTTGATTTTAGATGTTGCCAACCAAATTACTATTTTAGATTCTCAGCGTAACGAGAGATCTATTGGTTTTACTATTATGTTTTTTTTTTCTGTCGGCAAACCACTTTTTTACTAAAATTCTTCCTCCAATAAAAAAATAACAAGATACCTTTTTTGTTGTATTTCGTATATAGTTTCTGCGATGGGAGATCATTGTTTTGATTTCATTTTTAGTTTTCCTAATATTGGGTAAAACTGGAAAAAAGTATAAGAAAATTGACAAAATGCCCATCTATTTTAAGTTTTATGCTATTGCTATTTTTATATATCACCGTAGTTGGCACGTTTGGGCGTGGAATATAATTTTTAAATGTTCACTATTTTACGCGCTACTACTATTTGCCATTATTTCAGCCTAGTAAATAAATTATATAAAAAATCAGCAAATTGTCGGCTTAATCTACAATACAATAAATGGCTTTTCACCATCACATCACAATCTTACTTTTAAACTAGTCAGTGACTATGATAACCGCAAAATTAACAACTTTTTAAGAGGTGTATAACTCATAATTTAATAAGCATAAAAAAATTATGTTTTAATTTAATGCAATTTTAACTAATAATATATATATATCATTGTTTTATTCAATTATCATATAATCATATATAATCATTAGCATAATAATTATAATAATATTGTTTTTATGATAATTATAATAGTATACTTATCTATATTTTATTAGTTTAAAATAACAGCAAATTGTAACAATAGGTAAAATATTAAAAATGTAAACAAAATAATTATATTTCTCGCCGAAATGGACTTCGCGTAGAAATGTCCTAGACCGTTTTTTCTAGCTATACAATACATCTCTGCAGATTTTCTATACAATAAGTGAGACTTTTTTAAGAATTCTATTTCCAAATGGACGCACAGTAAAGCCAACTGGACACCCAATAAAGAGAAATGTGCTATCACTAATGTGTCTATTAGAAAATAAATAGTAAATAAATGAAGTTATATATTTTATGACAGTATATTTTAAATAGAAAATACTCTCACTGGTGTAGGAGGGATAACTGCAAGGAAAGTCCAAAACTTAAAGAAAAGTTTTTGTCTATCTACTCGTACACATTCAATGGAAATTCACTAAAAAATGGTCTGCTGTATCGGTATATCGATTATCTATATTGCATGTCCTAAAACAGATCATAAAAAACAGTTACAGAATCTATATGAATGTGTTTTATTTACATGCAATCTTTACAGTTTTTGACAACCTTATAATCGAGTCTGCTAGAAAAAAATTCCTTTTAAATTTTACTCTATTTTCTACCGTTCTAATATTTTCATTTACAATAATAATTGTTACAAAATATGAATAATAGACGCTCCGTTTACGCTGTTATATTTATTACATTTCCGTACTTATTTTATTTTAAAATAATCTCGATAATTGAGATGTAATTGTATTGTACACGCAGAAATTGCATAAGGAAAAAAATGTAACACAGTTAACTTAGGTACCGATAAAAACTATATCTGTTACAAACAAGTACCTATGAAAACCGGCAATGTAAAAATCTGTAATATGGATTTTAGATATATTGAAATTTAAACTGTATAAATCTGAAATGAAAAATGTCTGAATTACAGTTATCAACTGTCTAAAATTATCGGTGACTATAATTTCGTTGAAACACACAAGTTTTATACTTTCCAGATTTTTAGGTTCCGAATTTGTACAATGTACATTTTCAGGATTTTACCAGCTCTTATCACAGACACGGATGTTTAAAAATATAGATATTATATTGTATACATATATAAAAAAAATCATCAAGACAAAAAACCGTTTTTTTTAACGTACATAGGTATTAAATTTGTAACAATTTAGAAAATTAAAATGCACAAATCGACTATAATAATTCACAGAATTATTATGGCATTATATATGCTATAAAAAAAATAAAACTGATAAAATCTCGAAAAAAATATAAAAATGTTCTTGTATGAAAAAAAAACCGAATACATCCTTAGGGTATATAATTTATAATTAAAATTAATATATGCCCCTTATTTTTTGTTCACATTTTTTTTTTATTATTATTTTTTTTTTTTAAGTTACGGTTGACCAAATTTTTAGATTTTTCAATTCGATAAGGTTCACGAATATAGTTAACGATGACAATATAATAAAATACATAATATACCTATAATAATAACAAGTTCTATTAAGTATAATATGTAGCACCGTCATATTATAATCAAAATATATAATATTTATTTTTTTTTTTTTTTTACCTACTACCCAGACATTATATGTTATTGTTGGCTAGAAAATTTAAATGCCTTTAACAGCAATGTTTTATTTCCTAAATTATGCGTACAAATTTACAAAAAAAAAAACCCCTTAGGCTGTTTACCTTAGTATCTACGTATATGTACACTTATGTGTCGGCGACTGGTCACGAGTCTACGTGTGTACGAACCCGTCGCTATCGTCAACAGCATCATAGTATAACATAAATAACAGTTGTAACTGATTACATGAAAAAAAAAAAAAAAACCCGTATCTATACTTATACTAGGGACGTATATATATGGGGAGGATTGGCCCCGAGCGCCACAATCGTTTAAGGACATTGTAAAATAGTAATTTTTTTTTTTTTTTTTTAATATTAACCCCGTCCTACAGTTTACACTCACTCAGCAGAGCCTGAAACAGTGCATTTTAGACAGTGACGTCTGCAGTGAGGGTCAGAGCGAACGAGGTGAGCGCCGCATTCCCGATCGAAAAGGAAGAAAAAAATGTATTTTAGTTATTAATATTCGATAGACAATATGTCACGGTGTACCTAATAGTTTTTTTTTTTTTGTTATTATTTCAGCTAAAATGCACTCAATTTTCTTACTCCGTCATATTAATAATCAGAAAAAAAAATCAAGAAATATAATTTTACGGTATTAAATAACATCAATATATAGGTAGGCAACATATTAATAACAGAAGCGCTCGAAGGATTTCGAATGCCCGGCTCGTACCGTATACATAACATGGTCGGGTGCGATGGAGCTGGGATGACCACGATTTCACGCAGCAGTTGGAAACCGTGCATTGAGCGACTGTAAATAATACGGATATTTAGATACCAAACGTTCGATAATTTGGTATTTTTTTTTTTTTGTTAGACACAATACAATATACCTAACAATGTTATAATTGTAGTCCACGGATAAATAGATGAATATCGTAAATTATAAAAGTTTTTTTTTTTTTTAATTATAAAATAATTTACTTATATAACGGTTTTGTTTTGTTTTTTTTTATTTTTAACGCACACCAAGCTTCGAATACTACCGCACGCCACTGGGAACGCACAAAGTGTGTGCGCAATACAAAAACCAGTGTAGCTCGAAATTCCAGTACTTTATAAAAATATAATAATAGGGTCTTATAAAAGGGCGTCAAAAATGTAAATACGTCTCAGTGATTTATGCATAAAATAAATCATATTATCGTTATAGCGATACGATCGTTTTAAATAATTGAACAAATACAAAATTCATAATACACGCACTACCTACAATATAATAATATAATGAATGACACTACAGAGTAGAATATAGGTATATAAACAGTAATTTAATGAAATCATACATTTTCAGAGTTGTCACGACTAGACCTAATCATTTAAGGAATGAAAACACAAATCAAACATCAAAATTTGTGTGTGCCATACACTGGTAGATTTATTTTTTTTTATGCTAATAAGTACATACAATATGTATACACAATATGATTTCATTGTGAAAAATTAAAAATGGTCGATTTAACATTGCACCATTAAATAGAGAACAAAACGACCTTTTATTTAAGATCAAATATAAAACTACATAGCTCTATTTGAAGAATTGTAGAATGTCAGTCTAGTATTGCTTAAAATAGCATACCGCATACACTGGAGTCTTTACCCTATCTATGGCCACTATTATATTATATATGATAATAATATAACTTGTGGAAATAATTTTAATTTTAAACGGTGACCGATGTATTTTTTCAAAGCGGGTAAACGTAATAATTAATAACACTTTTAACTTTGTCTGTAATGTTTTAATTGTATAAAATACGAAGCCTGTATTATAGGCGCTATGAAAACATTATTACCATACGAATTAAACTGCTAATTAATTATTTTATTATTATAGTTGTTAAACAACGCTGCGACTATGTGTATGTTTAAAATTGTGAAAAACAAAACGAATAATTACACATGAATAATATAGCTTAGTTGTTCTATTTTATACTCGTGTATTGCGAATGCGTATTTTATCCACTTAAAAAACACTTTTTCAATTAGTAAAATTGTTTTTGTCCATTAAGCACTTTTATTTACAAGAAAAATAAAAACATTTTTTTTTTTTTTAAATCCTATTTAGATAAAAGTCATTTTTTACATTGCTGTCGATAAGTAACATCATGCAATCATATTAATAATTCTTTTTTTTTTTAAATAATGTTCAATTCAAAACATTGTAACCTGTAGGTAACATAATGCATTGTAGGATTAAAAGATAACGGATTAAGATTAAAATTAAACAATTTATCTACCAAAAACTTTTTTATAGCATTTTGGATGATTTTAGTTGATGCATTGGGAGGTCATTTTTTTGATTTTCCAAGTAATTTTTTTAATAATTGGGAAAAAACGTAGGAAAAACGAAAAAATGTACAGCATACCTAAATGGTTTCATTATTTACTATTTTGTTTTTTTGTTGTAAATCGGTAGAAAATAATCGCAGAGATTTTACATTTTCAAGATTTGTTTATAGTTTTTATTAAGTTTTATGTAGACAAAATTGTTTGACCAGACAGAAATGCTTGGACATATAGCACAAGGTTCATTATAAGTTGTTTTAGTTGTTTTTCATTTAGTGGCATAAAAAAATTGAGCTTAATATAGTAATTTGGTTATAAGCTTGTTTTTTAAGTTCGTAAAATCGTAAAAATTACGGAATTTCAAAACAAGTTTCACCGAAATTTGCTTAGAGTCGTATTTCGTCAGTAATAATATGTTGTTAAGTACATACATAAATTAAATAAATTTATGTACCGACCTACCCAACTTCCCATCAATAACAATGACACACCCATCTCCAGTTTTAACTTTTTATTTGCATATACAGGACGAAAATTGTGAAATATTTTATGAAAAAAATATTTATATAAAAAAAATCAAAATTTAAAATCCAAGACAATTATAATAAGTATTTAATAAATTATGAAAGCTATATTATCCAGTTTTGAATTTCGGCGTTACGCTAAATAACCATCGTCCGAGTCTTACAGACACACATACGAGTACAATATATTGATTGGCAACACACCCTACATATATACATAAAGGGTGTGAATATTGTGAGTCAGCGCGAAGAAAACTCTCCCCTTGGCAGGACACGTCCGAAATAATATTATCTCGCAGTTTTCCGATTGTATATTATCGGTTTAGCACCGACAAGTAAAAAATTTAAAACACTAGCTGGTATTATTTACATATTTTCTTTTATTTAATATATTATTATATTATACGAACATAAAAAGTTTATTTTAAACGACTACGAGGCATTTTTTAGTGAATATTTACGAATGCGTGTTCACTTGCCCCTCCCTTAAAAATTTCCACGAGAAGATAGTCCAAACCTTCCCCTAGAATTTTCCCAGTTACTCCACCCCACACCAGTGAGTGTTTTTTTTTAAGAGCAGTAGTACACACAGTATTATCAAAATCTTACTCTACTGCAGAGTGTCCATTGGACTTTACTGCGTGTGTCCAATTGCAGAACACAGAAAACGTTCTTGAAAAAAAAATGCCCCGAACAACTACGTTTATATTGCAAAGGTTACCTTTCGTGTTCACTGTGATAAATATTTAGGTATATGGATTATTCGTCACGACGGCGGCGGTGCATTTTCGCTATAATATATTCTGTTTACATTAAAATAATACAAATTACGGTAAAAAAAGACGTTTCAACACGATCGAAGACTGTACATAGACTTTATATTATAATAATCATAAGTATACATCATAAACGAAGATGACGTTTGGTTCACGCACAACCGAGATGTGTACTAAACACCTGTCCAAAACTAGTTAGACGTTAGTCCTCTCCGTGTGGGGGACGACTGTATACCATGAGTATAAAAAAAAAATAGTGAATGGCAGAAGGCACGGCTGTATTATAATAGAAGGGGAGAACGCATCCAAGGCAAGCGCACTAAACGCATTCGTAGTATTATTGTTATTGACCGGGTTAAAACTGCAGCAGTGTGGCCACACTCTCCGAGGGCTCGAAAACATACTATTTTGTAATCACCGACGAAATATAATATTTATAACGAAAAGAAAAGCTGATACTGCTGATGGGTGTGTCACTGCTTTAGGAGGGAAATTCAAAGGGAAAATAAATAGAATAATATTGTTTACACGTGTAAGCAAAAAAAGATCATTGCTAACGAAAAATCGTTATAAGTAGAGAATTATTAGTCATATTTTTTCCTTGTTGTTAGAGTAAACTAGAAACCAACAAAAATTATCAATTTTACCCATTCATTAAGAAAACTAAGAGAAAAATAAAACAAATAATCTCCTCATTGCATCAACTAGATCAAAAATTCTACAAGCAAGTTACTATAACGTTTTTGATTGGGTTATGTTTTTTGATAGAAAAGTTGTTTACAAACACAAAAATAAGGGAAAAAACCAACATAGTAAATCCGTTACAATTCGCTCAAATTCTAAAAAAAAATTATCAAAAATTGTTTTAAAGATTAAGTAGTATTGAAGTCGATTTTCAAAATGTTCTCTAAATTGTTTAAGAGAATTTAAAGGAAACAGGTGTGCAACTATGTTTAGACCAAGATGACGCGGTTTAGATAAAAAAAAAACTAAACAACAATTTAAGGACTGGGTTTGAAGGATTTTCATTTTGAAAAATGGCTTTTGATTGATTAGGTTTATGACGGAGGCGGCGATTTCAAATATCTATTTTTTTTCAACTGTGATATCAACGAACAAAAATATGGTATTTTTCTATTAATAAATATAATTTTCGGAATATTTAAAATCACCCCCACTAAAACCTACTATACTTATTGTTGATTAATCAAAATTCGTTTTTAAAATTCAAAACCTATAGTTTTTAACAAACGTTTCTCGGTTTATATACCACTTTTTTCAACCTCTTAATATAAATAACATAGTGTATACCTAAGTATACCTGCGATGCGTACTAGGCATTTTCATTCGGAGTATCATATTCAAAAAAAAAAATCACAATTTCCGTATAGTTATATTATAACTAGAACCAAGAGCGATAACAAAAATTCAGAATTCGATACTCTATGCCTTTGTTTAAAAATAAAAACGAAATACAAATATCATGTAATATATTAATCCCAAATATTATTTATTAATTTATTATTATAACGCACTTTTTAATTACGATGTGATTATCACGTTATCACTAATCATTTTACCATAATAAAATATCGAAATCAAAAATTACCACGAATCCGATATTCGAAACGGTCTTAAGCATCGATGTATCGAATCGCCCATCCCTGCAAATTATAACCGATGGTAAACGTAATTTTTTAAAATCTATTCAAATATGAATTTATCTAAATTGGTACCCAGTCAAAAACAATTTGTTACGATACTCGCCATTCATCTAGCTACTACAATCTAAATTTTCCGCCCAATTTAAACATTATATTATAATGTAATGTTATATTAACAATACAAACCGATTACATAAATTAACATAATTTTCATATTCTATTTAGAATTGGTAAACAGAAATATAATATGCGTAATATAATATTTTAATATGTAAATTATATGTACATTATAAAATATACCCGCAGGTCGTCGAGTTCGATATAATGATAATATCACCTAAGTACGCGTATACGTTAAATACACATAGAAATATCGACTTTAAATATCTATCTATATATATAGATAGATATAAGTTTTATTGATTTTATTGCGCAGTCATTAAGTATAAATATATATTTATATGGATTAAAAAAAGTCCTTGGATGCGGTAATATTTTTCGTTATATTATTATTTACTTGTTTTATTTTTATTTTTTACCATTTAGTTTGAAAGTTCGGATCAGATACAGCATGGCATTATATATATATAGAGAGAGAGACGTCGGTAAAAGTTGTCTGATAGTAATGACCTTACTAGACAACGACGACGTCGCGACGTTGGTACGGTTGACATGCGCGAATCGAATTTCAATTATTATATTACTATGACTTAAACAATTTGTTTTTATTATTTCTGCGGTATATTTCAACTATAAAATGCATCAATACCTACGAAGGATATGTAGTTATTATATAATAATCATTACTCGTGGGTTCGAAAACTCCACTCGATATAGTTAACTATTATAAACAAGTAATTAACTATATGAATGAATAAAGAAAACAGAGTTAACTCTACTGCAAAGACTACAACCTGCACCGTTTGATAACACGGAATTATTTTCTTAATAGTTCTTACACTTGTAACCCCAGAAAATAGCTAATTTGATTCTACTGATAGTGATGCTTATCAATAAATGATAACAAATATTATATAATCATATTTTTATTTCTAACTTTTCCCGGCAAGGTCTGAATAATTCTAGGAGTTCTCACCTGTAATAGTTTCCAAAACGATTTAGAAAGATCATTAAATTGATTAAAACAATTCGTATCATTTATTATCAATGTTAACTACTGTAGAGTTTGTATCAGAGACTCAGAGTACTAGGGTCGACAAATATAATGTTATGCTCCACTATCCTACTCTACGGTGAATTTATGAATGCAGCCTACATAATATAATAGTTCCTATACTATTATCAGTTGGCGCCTATACGATTTTAACCAAGGGACCGAATGAATAAAGGCCAAGTAGGTATAAAGAATAGAGCATAGGGCAATATAATACGACGAAAACCGAGATAGAACTCCATCGCCCCTCAGTTAGTTATAAACGACCGTAAAAAAGAAGGTGTCTTTAAAGTAATTGTTTTCTAATCACCAAACTATTAAGTCTCAACTATAGCACACGATTACACGATATGAATATAAAATGTATCATATGTTATAATACTTTTAAGCTACAAAAATAATATAAATATAATATTTAGTAAACTCGCTATTCAAAATAGATAGAAAAATAGAAACCATCGAAAAAATACGTGTGGTATATTAATATTGCACACGCGGTTATAAAATTTCGCATATAATTTTATACATTTTGGTTTTACACAAGATATTGAAAATAAACCATTCTTTTTTTTTTGTTGTTGTTAACAAAAATATAGAAATTAACAAAAAAAAAAAAAAATAAAGATAATAATATTGTTAAAGTCGTGAGAAATGACATTTGTACGTTAGGCGAATCATTGCATAATAATTTGCATACACTATAATATAGTGACTGCAGGTGAGTAGTGTGGTCGTGAGTGCGCCATATATAAGAACTTATGCGTATACATACTAAAAAAAATCTTCCGATTATGCAATCAAAATATATTATTATGGAACTTTTCTTTATTATTGAGAAAAAATCGAAATATCCTATAAAATAAAAAAATATGATATCAACGAAATAATAGGTATTTTATAGGTATTTTCTATGCATTTTTATAACAACTAATCTAACCTTACGTAACCCATACGATGGTATCCAATTAATATATAATAGCTACTCTCATGAATCAACTTCTTAAATTGAAAAAAAAAATCAATTTATTTAATATTGCGATTTATTGTAATATATTATGTATTTTATGGAACGGTGAGCAATAAAAATGTTAAACTATAGAGGCTTGAGGAAATTGCATTAATTATTATTATACAACACAAATTTTAATATACACATTTTAATCTAAGTATATATACTTGATAATAATAATTAATAATGTGTAAGTGGACTTACCATAACCTATATGTACTGCAGTTATACGAAACCCATGATTTGATATTACCTGATCAATAAAATGCCTAACGTAATTTTATATTCGATCGAAGTGTACATTTTTTTTTTTTTAACCAGGATATTTATATTATTGGAGATGATGAATTAAGAGGACATAATATCATAATGTTTAAAAAAATCTTGTATCTCGATTTCAAATTAAAATAACGACAAAAAACCTACGTATAAACACATAGATAATAGTTTTACAATTACGTTTGATAATAGGTCAATTTTATTCACTCTGTTACTATAATATTGAAACTGACAGCGTGTGGTAAAGTCAGAATTTTGAATTTGAGGCAGTTATTTAATATATTTAATAAATTTTTGCTTGATTCATGAGCGTAGGTAAGAGGTAAGAGAGGTGAAGGAGGGGAGTCAACTCCTTTAAAAAATTTAAAAAACATTTTTTTATGTAATTCTTTGAGCAAAATTTAATAGAAGAAAAACCTTAAAGATGCAATGAGAATGCTATACTTATGTATAATGTTTTATGTACATTTCAATAATTTCCTGATAAGACTTTTTCACTATACTACGTCCTAATGCCCACTATTCAGAAGGAAAGAGTATGGCCGTTTTTACAGACGAATAATATGACTTCTACACTAATCATTGAAAATTTAATATTTATATAGAATTCATTTTTTCGAATTAATATAAGCAACGACATTCTACGATAGTCCGCATAGAACGGTGAAGCGTTTTATAATATATTTCAAATAATGACATAAAAATTATGTTGAAAAAAAACTTTAAAATTGACTTTTTTTAAACACATATTATTTAAATGAGATTAAAATAGGTACTGAAAAACGGAGTTCGACACTGGCTGCGGGAAGTCCTCATCTCCCCAACAAAAAAATAATCATCAAAATTGGACATTGAGAATAGTTCTAATAAGGCATGTTTTTTAGCCAAAAATACCTGCTGCCACAGGGTCCCTAAATAGATTTAAATTTATGCAGAATACACGATAAATATAACACTTGAAATGTCATTTTATTTATATGGAAAAAAACGCAATAGTTATACAGAAGACTGCCTTGTAGTTTGCTTTATTCATCATTTTTTTTTTTTTATAAACGCATTAAGCACGATAATATTATTAAGCCTTACTCAGAATTGTACGGTTTCAATTTCGTTATGATACGATGCAATTTAATACTCGTTATAAATATAATTTTAATAAGAATTAAAAAAGAAAAAAAACAAAGAATATCGCATGAAAATGAAATAATAACAGATTACAGAAATACATATTTTATAAGAGAGCTGACTAGGAAGTTATTATACATTTACAGATGTGATTTTTTTTTCTGCATTATCGGAAGGAATATTGCAGTTATACAAAATATATTATTTATAATGAGTGGATAATATGATATTACCTATATATAAGCTGTATTAAAATATTATGGTTTATTTCAAAAAAAATCTTTCAGGCAGTGAAATAGGTACAATTTTTCACACATACAAATGTATTCGAATAAATCTGTATAAATATGATCCTTTTTTATACAATGAAATGGCATTTTTTTTTTTTTTTTTGCGTGTAAACCAGTATTTCTCTACCTTTCTACTGTCGCGAAACCCTTAATGAATTTTTAGTTCTTTAGCAATGCCTAAGTATATATTTTACACACGATGACCCAATATCTTTGACCCTAAATAATTAGTGACCTCCAGATTGAAAAACTCTGGTGTAAACCAATTTTCAACCAGAAATCTTGCTCCAATCAATAATATATTTTGAATTTAGTTGGTGCGTTAAAGAGGTAATTTTTATTTTTCAAAGTGTTTTCATAATAATTGAGAAAACCCAGAAAAGACGGAAAAAAGTTGAATGTAATGTAGTAGTTCTTTTTTTATAATCGTTATAAGATCAAATTTGGACGAAAACCGTAAATATTACGGCATTTAAAAACCAGTTTTTTTTTTTTTTTTTTAATGATCTACCGATCATGTTCAGTATCCATACGAACATCAATGCGGGATTAAACACCATAATATTAGTATTTGTATTAACTCGTTATAACTCAAATAGTATTTGAATTTATACCGATATTGTTTCATGCAAAATAATTTAGCGAGACTCTTATTTTTCTCTAAAACATTATTTTTTTTTTTTAAATTCAGATTTATTTATTTTTATTCCTTATATATATTTTATTTATTTTTAACGGCATTATATATAACTATATAACTATATATTGTATAGTTTACGATACAATATCGTACAATATTATTATACACCGGTACTTGTTCCTTTTAGAAACTAGACATTTTGATATGGTTAAAAAACTTTTTGATAATAGTTCAAAATGTCACCTTGCCATACTTTTAATTAAAAAAAAAACAAAACCAAAAACGATTTAGAAAAGTATCGATGAATATTTTAAATAAAGTGCCACCAAGCAATGAATCCGCATTTTTTAATAGGAATATATATGTCATGAAAAAACGGAGCATTTTCACTAACCGAAGTCTTTTCCGAAAAAAAAAAAAAAATTAAAAAAGTAGAAGACGAAATATTAAGGCTTACATTGCTTTGAAGCTCGATACTACAGTCTCCCTTAATCCAATCCAAGAAAAATAATAATAAGAAAGTGTTTAAAATTAACTATAACAAAAACTTAAATTTCGGCCGTTTTTTTTCGAAAACAACGAATACGTATTTTCTAAGGATCCACAATGTAAGTAACTTTGTACATTAAAGTTATATATTACGTATATAATTATAAAATTAACAGTAATATTTTTTACTAATAAATTAGTAAAAGTATAAGAGTAAGTTTTGTTTTAATTTGTGGCGGAACCAGTTAATCAGTAAAATGTACATAAAACTATTTTTTCATTATATTATAAATTGTATTTCATAAACTATTTATTAAACTAAATATTTCGAAAATAAATTATGCAATGTTTATTAGGTAATAATGTGATACGCACAAAATTAATGATACTCTGCAGTACTCGGGAATTCATTAAAATTGAGCGAGCGCAACGACTATAATAATATAATATAATAACTAATAAGGTTAAATATTTTAAAATTCTAAAATTTAATTTCTCAGTGGTCAACGTTATTAAAAAAATTCATATAGTAGTGTATTAAAATAATAAAAATTGTACCCATTTAATTAAATCCGTGGGTTTTAATGATTAGAACCTCATCACAATGAAGAGCTGAAGAATTTGTTTCATCAACTAGATATCATAACTGCAGAAATTAAAATGAGAAGACTAATATGAACTGCCAAACACGTTTGGAAAAAAGATGACTTACTTATTTTCTAATAGTATAAAATCGTTGTTCACAGAAAAACCTTTAATATTTTGTGTTATCAATTTAATAACTGGTTGGGAGGACCCTAAAAGACCTATTTAAGTTCGAATGTTTATGTTAGTTCGGATATTAGTGTTAGTAAGATTAGTTCATGATGCAAGGAACGCCACGTATAGACTTTTATCGAACCCCCGACTTACTTATAAAAACGGTTATTAAGACTCGATTAGATAAAAGACCAACGTTAAGGTAGATCACATTTAAGGTTTAAGGAAGCCAGATTTAAATAGCTGAAAAAAATCAGTTAATTCGAATAGACTATGTATAGAAGTGATGGCAGAGGATAGGGAAAGGGTGACGGGTAAATGTGCTAGGAGAGCTGATTTTAGAGCCCAAAACCCACCAGGATAAGATAATAATGATTATAAAATTATAAGAAAGAATGTATATATTAAAAAAAAACTTACTTAAAATTGGACTATTATTATCGCCATTTTTTATAATTGGCGAATTCGGAGGCGATTTGTTCCAATCGGAACACGGTTCACATCCATCGGCAATTCGCGTTGGAGCTCGACAACATTGCCACTTTTTGCCGCCCCAAATTGATATGTGATATCTTTCATTTTTTTCCAAATTATCGAGGCACACTTTAAAAACATAATAATAATATAATGAAAGGTGTTCGAGAACTATAAACTGAGGTAAATATATTATAATTTCATTAATAAATTGAAAAAAAAGTGGTTTTTAGACCGAAAAACTGTAGATTATAACTGTAGGGTTTGGATTTGACGGATATTAATTTTGAAAACGGATTTGGATCTAATGACAAGTTACAAATTTTTACGAAAGCGATTTTAAATATACCGAAAATTATATATATTACATGATGAAAATGAATAAAACAATACCATATTTTTGTTCGTCAAAATAAAAGCTAAAAAATATAGATATTTAAAATCACCACTGTCATGATCAAGTAAACTAATAAATCAATCGAAATCTGACTTCAAAATTAAAATATGTCAAACCCAATCCTTATATTTCATCTGGCTTTTCCATCTAAAAAAATTCATATTATTTCGTCCGTAAAAACGGGCGTACATATTAATAGATATTAGTATGAAATTGTTATCATTAAGGTAGTCATTAAAATGTAAACAAAAATTTCATATTTTACAATATTTTGGAAACCGATACCAACCCCCATACAATTTAAGGTGATATTAGTTTATATAAATACCAGCTCTCAGAGATCTTATCCAGTCGGAACGGTCTTGGAGTTTTTGAGTGATCAGGTACAGGGTATATTGTTGTTCGTTTCCGTCACTATAACATATTTGAAACGCGTATCCGTTTTCGCCGTCGGTATTGACAATGTCTTGAGATAAAATGTTCGGTGAAAAAGTTAGCGTCGCCATTTCGATAACGGTGATCGACGACAATTTTATACGACCTCGTTCTTTTTTACGCTATAAAATTATAATCATAAAGATAAAAATAAATTTTCTCAGTCATGCAAAAAGTGACTACCTATCTAGATGATTTAAAAATTAAAAATGATTTTTTTTTAATTTAAAATGTAGATTTACTTTTTATTCAATTTTAATTTTAATAAATTATTATAAGTTGGGTGGTTCATAAACTATTTATGGTATCACTATAATCACTTATTGACACTTTTTTCGTACATGAAATATAGTTTTTTTTTGTTTTACTTTTTACACGACAGGGGCGATATATGCCTATGTTTAATAAATTAATGTTTTGTATTACATTGTATACCTATATGGTCATATAAGCGTGTTTACATGATATGCAGAGTATGCCACAGCATAATAGTCAACAGCTTCATGTAGGGGCCCACAATATGTTTATCATACCAAAAAGAGACTCATTTTTAAATTTTTTTATAAATTCATATCCTAATACGAAAAACTGTATGGTTCCAAATGAAATATACCCTCTGTATCTTTGTATACCTGTAGATTTATTTTCTCTCCACTTTTTACCTATCTTTTTAGTACTTTAAATTGGGACGCGTAATGATCTTATTATTAAGTTTAATATTAGGTAAATTCACTTTAATATTAAAACTAACAACACAAAGTCAAAGTCGTCTCTGCTGAACGCAAATTCGCTATGCCGTACGCTTGTAAGACGGAGACAGCACATTATTCAATTACATTATGATCTTCTGTGATTAAACTTATTACGATTTTTTTTAATTATAGTTTTGGAAGGGGTCCCAACTGTATTACAGAATTCTATTTTTTTTCGGACTACATAACTTGTGGATGAAGTCTACGAACACCTATATCTCTGGTTATAAAAGAATATATATAAAAAAAATAATCTTTTTGAATATATAATTATCAACTTGCACTTAAACAATTATATCTACTACGATAATATACACGAGTATAAAATGACACAATATTTGTTGTTTTTTAAAAATATTCGATTAACACTGCGTAGTTGATTTTAAAAACTGTAATTTCTACTATAAAATCCACAAAATAAAAAAGGTATACCTACCTACTATAAATAGAAATATTTAGCGAAAATGTTTTTTATTTTTTAATTTCGGGTCAACGTTAGCTTTGTCGAGACACTACCGGTTTTGGTGCACGCAGTTCCGTTATTTTTCAAATCCCGTATACATACTGTGTATACGGTGTAAAAATACCGGTTTATTAAAAGTTACCAGTGCCGATTTTACATCTACGTTGAAATGAATATTTGTCGGAAACCATTAAATCGATCTAACTCCACTCTATTAAACGCTCCACATCCGAACTTCCTTGTATACCTATTTATTAATATTCATTCAATAATATACCTATATATACATACTCTTTGTTATAAATTTTGAACAAATCGTTATTCGGGTAGGTTAGTATAATATATCGTTTTAATAAAACCAATGTACAATGGAAAACCTTTAAGTTTTACTATACAGATTTGTATGCTCTGAATCTTTTATATCACATTTTAAAACATACGAGTTTGTCTTTGGGGGCTATTTTCTATGAAAATTGTATTAATGAAAATTCCTGAAAGTTAAAAGATCTAAAATGTTTAAACCTAAGCGGACAGTTTAAAATTATAATTTCTATGCTCGCACTTGTTGATTTTTGGGTTTTCTCAGTAACGCGGAAATAAATCCTAATCTAAACTAACTACATAAACTCTACTTCAGAATCGCATTATTTGTTTTAATGAAATATAATAGAACAATAATATACTTCAACAAATTGTGTAATCAATAATTAGTCTGGCACATGGCAGGAGGAGATGGAGGATATGGCCTCATCAAATTGTTGCACTCTTTTATAAGAAACTTAAATGTCATCCCCCTGTATTACATCAAGTGTCGTGATCTTTAATATTTTTACATAAATGACCAACTAAGTAAATTTATTTCGTTTTATTTGACCATGGGAATAATACAAAATAAATATTGAATCTAATATATAATTATTATTAATATATATTATTTTTTTTTTACAAAACAATATATATTTATTTATTTTCAACTAAACGAGACTAGCAGTCATACATAAAAAAAAAAAAAAAAATATGTATGACTAGTGAAATAATAATAAATATGGCATAAAATAACAACTAAAATAATTCAATATACATATAATATATACGATTTTTATGAAGATAAAATTACTTATTAGGGTTTTCCCGAATTAGAATAATCTTTTAACAATGTGGCTCATTTGAATCTAAAAGTATTACTAGATGTATTAAAAATATCCAAGACGGTGGAGATTATATTTACAATTTTCAACACTCTAACTAAGAAAGAGTCGCTACCAACTTTAGACTTGTAATATGAAATAATAAAAACATCACGATTAGTAAAGGGATGGAATTCTAAAGTTTATTTTAGATAAAAGCTAGGGCGTAAGGACATAAAATATTATTATTGAATAAATCATAGAGAAACATCATTTTCAGACAAATGATGTCTTAACATAAGGGAATTTACTGAAATTTGGATTAAAATAAAAAAGTCTAGAAATAGGTTCGTTAGTACTGTGAATATAATGTGTAATAATATAATAAATAAAACTAAAAAGTCCTTTTATTTTTTATAACGTTGATTATATAATATAATAAATGCTTTAATATACTAATTACATCCGACCACGTCGGTATAATATTATTTTATTACATAAAATGATTTTTCATAATAATCGGGGTATTTTCAATTTACAGAGCAGAGCGCGACGACAGCAAGACCGAGAGGCGGAACGACGAGCCCATCACATCGCTCTAGCCTCGGATTAATTGGCGCGTGTGCATGTATAACAATATTATTAGAGTTGGAATTTCATAGTTTACCTAACGTGCTTTTGACTTAAACATATTATTACTTTTATTCGAATGATGGTTAATAATAATCTACTGGCTTACTTAAACGAAAATATTGTATGCTTGGACAAGTATTTTTAAAGCAGCAGTGGTAACAAACAAGCAATTGCTATATTTGCAAAACGCCAGTGTAACAAAATTTAATTACATAAGCGCAATTAAATAATTGCCTTATAAATTATTAGTAAAAAAAAAATAAAATAATAATAATGTAAATTTTCCCTCCTCCAAACTTGAAGAAAATATTAAATTATAAACATAATATAATTAAACATAATATTATAGTTGATAATCCTATAACCTGGCTTGGGATCATGCCATTCAAATTTTACTGAATTTATAATTGAAGAGAGATTCCCTTAAGAATTTCACAGAGTGGTCATAATATCAGATTACTTTAAAAGACTTTAAATTGTTTTGTTTTGAAAAATTTTGATTTTGTTAAAAAACTTTAAGTATGAAGACATTGACAAAAATGAATTGAATGGTTGGATCATTGTAGAAAAAAAAACATTCCTACATAATAATTAGACAAAATATTATTATTATTTACGAGCAATGTAATCAAATAACAGCTGAGAATAACAATAATTTTCTAAACGGATGAGAAGATTTTTAGGCTAAGTTTAAAAGTGATGGGTAAAGATTTCAAATATTATAAATATCCTATAACCTAGCTGCGCAAAAATACCATCAAATTTGATTGAGCTGTCCATAAGTAAGATATTAAATATTTAAACTGTATATCAAAATATTAAATTGTAATTTAATATACTACAAGTAGACTACATTTTTATATTCAAGGAAAATTGATTATTTGTGCAAATAAGAATAATATGTGATTCTTGATAAAACAATTATAAGTATATACTTCTATAATAGATAATGCAAATTTAAGTTATGGAATAATAAACATAAAAAGAAATTGGATAAAGTAAACTGCATTTACAGAGAATTTTAATACAAATTAATAATATTTGCTTAATGTTCAATAGATAAATATAGGATCCCATCGGTAAGTCAGAGACCATAATATTTTACCACAATTTAAAATATCTCACATTACCAAGGTATATAAGGCATAGTAACTAAGCAATAAACAAGTAAAAAATATTGTCAAATTAAAATAAAAGGGTCCATATATTATGAGCACTCCATATGCATAAATACTAACTCTTTACACTAGAGCAGTGTTATCCAACTGTTTTAGTCTATGTCCTCCCTTGTAGATTACCAAAAATGGCATACCTCCCCTTATTAATTAAAAATATGGCATAACTGTTTTTAATTTTAAATATGGTAAATTTTATATTTTATTCTTACAATTTCATCATCACTATATTCCCCATCACATAGTACCTAAATTCTTCCCCAGGAAGGAATTTCCACTACCCCCCCCCCCATTGGGAAACACTGCACAATGGTTTATTATTATCTAGTCTTTAATTTTATTACATCTTATTATTCTTCAGTTTTAAAATATATAGAAATGTAGTAACCAAATATTACTCCCAGTATAAACCTTCAAAATATTAACTCTTATTAATTCTAATTTATAACAAAAAATCAAAACTGAAAGATGTTTAAAAACTACAATCAAATGAGTCTTTTAATTATCTCTTATTCTCACTGTTGAATGTTCTAAATTCAAATGTTTTATTTGCTCATTTCCTTTTAACATAATATTTATAAGTTTTTATGGCATTTTTGTGACCTCCTGAGTATTGCTCTCAGAGCATAGGAATCACTCATCCCCCCCTCCCGCTTTATTATGGCTCTGGAAATATGTTTAATAGTTTGACAAAAATACTATTTCCACATCCAGATAAGGCTGCATAGGGGTCAACATTTTTAATGTTTTCATAAAAAATGTTCCTCATAAGGTATACAAATTAATTGATAAAAGTTAAAATAAGTATGTAGATTATCATTAATATTTCAGTACTGTAATACAACATTTTATAGCTTCATAAATAGAAGTAGTGAGTATAATAATTATAACAAATGACTTTACAGTTTTTCTCAAAAACTATGTCATTAACCATTACAGAAAAACTACCTAAAAAAAAATTAAACCTATACTATACATTCATTAACCATCCATTGGAAACTCAAATATAAAAATAAATACACAAAAACCAATGTGTCATTAAACTTTGTGGGCATGAAAACATTTGCTTTTCACTAACTTTCCTTAATCTGAGTTTTATATTATTAATATTTTTCAATATAAATTTAAAAAATAATACTTTCAAAAAACTATTGTTTCTTAAAAGTTATATCAATAAACCATCTTTAATGAAATTTTAAGTACTCAAATTTAATGAAAAAATTGAATATTTGATCTCCAGTGTCAATAATTATGTCATAAATCAAAATCATTACTTACATAGTAGACATGGTATATTTCTTTAATTAAAAATATCTTTATTACTACTAATTATTCAACTAATTAATTTCAATCACCTACTAATTCATTATATTTATTATTTATCTATAGCATAGACACAGACTACCAATCTTTTGTAGTACAATACAAATGTCTTTTTTTTTCTATTATTTTTAATTTAATTTAAAATTTAATGTACACAATTATTTAGTTAACATACAATATACATGCAATTTGTGCATACATTTGCATAACTGGATACTAACCAACTATATAAAATAGCATGCAAATTTTATATTAAACTTAAATATATTAACATTTCCCGAAATATACATAACATACAGCATATTAAAAATAGCAATAATTAAATTAGGTATTATAATATAATCTAATTGAGATAAAATATTTGTATAAATTATGGTTATACTACTGTGTACATCAATTTTTTTTTTGTTCTTTTAAAGAATTTTTATATTTTCATAAACATGTACACCTATTTAAAAGTTTTGAGGATAGTAATAAAACTACAAAAGTAAACTATATTGTAGTTAATATTAATTTGTATAAATTATCTTAATACACATTTAATGTAATTTAAACTGTTACCTCATAGGTATTTAATTGAAAAAAAAATATATTTATTTTTCAACTTATTATAAAATCTTTACTTTTCAATTACTCCATGTATAATACTTAGGTGGTTCATTGTCTTTAAATTAATGATTTTAGTATTATGGTCCTAATGTTAGTAACAAATAAAAGCATATGTACCCTGTTAAGCAGTTGATGTATGTTATGGAGACACGGCAGTGAGCTTCTTTCAATAATTTCCTATGGAATGGAGAACAAATAATATAAGTTATTTAAATATTCCTATTTGTGTAATTTATAAAGAAATAATCAGACTTAGAACTGAAATAGGCTGAAATAAATAATTAACAAATACTCAATTAAATAATAACTATAATGAAATAATTCCAATTAATACATTTTCTCAAATTTATACAGATAATTATTATAATTCATAACCAAACAAAACAGCCAGAAATTAATAATTAATAGGGTAAGTATATTTAATTTTTAAAATCAAATATTCCTTTAAAAGATAAATAAACACTATAAATATTAAAAGATAATGATTTAATTTTGATTTAGTACTTATTTTTTTATAATAACATGCAAATTTAAATAAATATATTCAATACAGATAACACAGAAATAATTAATTTAGTTTAAATAAATAAAATTTAAAATTTAAGAAATACCTATAATTATTGTAAAAATAATATTCCAAATCTAGCAAAATTATATTAAACCTAGCTACATACAAAAAATATTTGAGTAGTTTGATTTTTAGCCCATTTCATTTCTAAGCCATAAAATGTACCTATATTACTAATTAGAAATATATAGTTAGCTTGATAAATAATAAGTATTTATAAACATGGTTCCGGAACACCGAACACAAAAAACAAACCTATTGAAACCAAGGTAATAATAATTTGAAATGGTCATTGAATAATAAATGTATGTTTTAAAAAAAAATATATTATATTTAAATCGATATAAAAATATATAACAATATAATGTACATTTTATATACTTTAAATAGATACCAAATAAGAAATAATAAAAAATATAAATATAATTTGTTGCAAAAAGTGTAGGGTTTAGCAACCATGTTAATGATATATTGGTGTTCATGCAGTATATGTGGAAAAAAATGTATATAATGCGAAATGCAAATATGCAACATCACATGAATCCAAATCCCAATATTGGTGTCAAATCGGATAAATTATTATGAACTTACTTCTGTTTCAGACTCGTAATAAATGAAGTTCTTAGTCGTTAAAACAAACCATCTCTGTTTGTAATTGATGGGCATAAAACGTTTTTTATTTTGCGACCGTTTCACCATCAAACCTTGTTTGATGATGTCACAGTCATCTAAATCATCTTTGCTGGACATCATTTTGTATCTAGATAAATATAACAAAATAGATGTAAAAAAAATCATGATAATTTATTAATCTTAAAATCGAATACCTAATTATTTATTGAAAAATAATAATAATAATAATATAATATAATTAAGTTTAGACAAAATTTAGAAAAAATTTAATGTATAATATTATAATGTAAATTTAGACCACCCAAAAGAAAATAATAATAATTTAATTTGTTTGCTGGCAGTTACTCACGAATTTTAACTGTTTAACTGTCGATGAATGGGTAGTTGTTGGTACATTATTGTATTGTTGCGTTTAGCGGGTCGACGGGTGGCAAACAGACGTAATACAATGAGAAAAAAAAACTAACGAATAAACCAAAACGCTAAGAGGACACTACAGAACTAGACGTAATGACAATCTGTATATCTTATAATAGTAGTACTGTATTGGTGTTAGCAACGAAACAAAATTTTAAAAATACAAAAAAAATAAAAAACAAAAATAAATAATGGTTGAAAACTAAAACAAAAATCAAAAACCAGTTTTTGTATCTGTTATGTGGTGAAAGAGACGGCTGGACGGGCATAGAGGGGCCCGTGCGTTTGCCGCACTATCATCTAACAGGTGACCATAAACACGTTCCAGGTAACTCCATCATCAAGACTCACCAAGATGACCATAGATAACAATGGATCATTATCACCGTAGAATCACAAAAATAATAAATTTTAATTTGTTTGATATTGATTTTCAATTATTACTTTTGTTTTCATAAAAATTATCAAGCAATATCCATTACCCAACAAATTTACAGCCTACCTAACATTTTATTTTTATTCTTGTTTCATTAAAATTTTACTTAAATATTATATTTTAAACTTCGGATAATATCAAGTTGCCAAGTAAGTAATTTCAGCTTAATTATTTCATACCTAATTGCTTATTTTCGTTTTTCATTTTAAACATGGTTTTTTAAAAATAAAATTACTTCTTTTATTTTTGTATCTATATAATTTATTTAAATTATTACTAGGTAATGAAAATTGTATCATGTTTTACTATAAAGTATTTTTGATACTCGATCTAAACTTTAGATTTTGACGACTTCTGATACAATCAAAAATCCTGAATATTCATTATATAAGAGAACTTTATTTGACTGTTTAACTTGAATTTTATTACTTACAATACATTTTTTTTTTCTTCAGAAATGTCTACCAATCAAGAATCAATGCAAGTATGTTCATTACCTTTACCACCAATACAATACTTCCAAAATTATACCGATGAAAACATAAGACGAGGCCGAGCTCCTAAACCACCACCAATAATTCAAGAAACATATACAATGTTTGGAAACCCATACAACGCTGAAGACAGTATAATAAGACCACTAGAAACTCAGGTTTGTTTGTTTATACTAAAAATTATTTATTGCTTTTAGTTATGAGGATAAAACTAAGTTATAAAACCTATGCTTATTTTTGTTATAACATAAGTTAATTTTATGAAAAATCTAATTAAATATAATATGTTTTTAGGGTTTTAAACGTCTTTATCCCCAGCACTTTGATAGACGACGTGAATTACGGAAACTCAATCATTCATTGTTGGTTAACTTTCTCGACTTGCTAGACTTGTTAATTCAGTGCCCGGATTCTCCTAGACGAGCTGAAAAAGTTGATGACATAAGTTTACTATTCATACACATACACCATTTATTAAACGAATTTCGTCCCCATCAAGCTCGAGAAACAGTTCGTGTCATGCTTGATTTGCAAAGAAGACAACGAAATGAAACAACTATTAGATTGCAAAAACATATTGACAAAGTAAAATAATTAATCCATATAGTTAATAATATATTCTTATGAATAATAATATTTTACAGGTGAGTGACATTTTACAACAAACATTAGAAAACTTGCCAGACACAGAGCTCGATTCTAAATTGATGATAGATACATCTAAAAGTAATCAATTGGAAAAGAAAAATTCAGATGAACCTAAAGTTGACAAATGTGTACCTAAAGATAAACTAATGTGTCACCTTATCGATACAATGAATACAAATTAAATATTTTGAATTGGTATTTGAAGTATTATTAGATTTTGTTATGTTTACCTACAAGTTTGGTCTATGGTTTTATACTTGTATATTATTTAAAAATTTCATCTTTTTTTAAATTTTGTATAGTTCATTTAAACTTTGACGCAACAAATATTTATATATGCATTACCGTTATATTTTTAGCTATTAAAATTTGAATATTTTATTTAATTATTTAAGTTTTTTTTTTTTTTGATCTGTTTCTTTATTATCTAGCAACTTAGTTTTATTATCACAAAGTAACATTTAATTTTTAAAAAAATAAACCTATTTTATTTTGAATTAAGTAAAACTATATTTTATTATAACTAACCGCTATAAGAAGTGTTTAATGTACTGTTTTTGAGAAAACATAAAATATCCAATATCAATTGCATTAATTATATAATCAATGCATCAATCTCCTTCATATTATATTAGTTTGGATAAGTTGAAAGAAATTAAGTACTACAAGAAAATGTATGGGTTTTTGATATGTGAAATAGATATTCTAGGTATATTAGGTACATTAACTAAGTGTACCAATTTTATTTTTCTGACTAAATAGTAAAGATATTTGAGTTTAAAAATATGTAGTAAAATATATAACATATATTTAAAAAGATAGAATATATATCTCTATCCTCCCTTTAATTATTCCACTAAAATGCATTACTTCTAATAGGTTAGAGATAACCTCTAAATAAAATAGCTAATCTTCCACCAAATCTGGTCGCTAATTTTTTTTTATAAATACGGGTAACTATAATTTTAGTATAACAAAAACAAGGAGTCCAGAAATTTCATTATTTTGAATACATATTTATGAGAAGTGTACAATTCATTTGTACTTTCACAATAGACAGATGAGTTGTTTTCCTAATTTAAATTATATTAAAGAATATACAATTATGTCAATAGAAAATTGTATAACTAAACAATTTAATATTAAAATGTTTTATAATTTTAATTTTAATTAATATCAAAAATCATACAAAATAGAAATTTATGTTTAAACAGCCCAATTAAATTGTTGATAACGAGAATATTCAACAATATTGATTCTTGTAAAAATATTTCAAAATAATAATAGAAAATATATGTATAAAAACACACCAACTTTATTAAATTCAATCAAATTTGTATATCTGGCATATTACAAAGCAGCTAAAAAAATTTACAGAACATAAAGATTTAATTTATCAAAAATAGTTACATAAATTAAAATATTATGTACAATAATTTGCAGATATCATTATTTTTGTAAAAAAAATGCATTTATATAATATGAAGTATATAGAGTATCAATAGTACAATGAACACACTGTTATACATAGTCCCTTAAATTATTATATTATATGTTTTAGTATGGTCGCCATGAACGACGATTACCATTGCTGGCATCAAATGACCTTTTAGGATTCCAACCAGTAGCATTTCCGCGGCGATGATTATCTAAATTGAAATAATAATAATGGTTAGTTATTTATTAAGATTAAACCATAGTAAATCATACAAGTAGTATTAGTGCTATTGTTTGAATTGTTTGAGAATTTTGCACTAAATTTATCTTTTGGTGGCTGATATAATTGTTGACTATTATTACTTCCGTCAATACGTTTTGTCTTTCCATCCACTATTATAGGTTCATGTTTTTTACCCTCCTGTACAATTTGAGCCTACAACAACAATAATTAAAGTTAAAATTTTTGCCTTACTCGTTCTGTACATAATATTACTTACGAGTTTAGATTTAGTTGCCCCACCTAACCATGACAAGCTTATTGTCGCCTTGAATCTAGGGGGGATATTAAATAATTCTTTTATTAAAGTATTTATATTGCATGCTAATCTTAATCCTTCAAGTTTTTTTTCAACAGCTGGATCATTTTTCACGTCATCTTCACCTTTTTCTTTCAAATCTTGTCTGACAATTTTCACAAAAGTTTGTGTACATGTACCAATATACAACAATCTAATATTACGAAAAATTAATTAAAAAATAAAATTATATAATACTTAATATACTCTTCAACTTTTAACTGATTATTACTTTTTCTTAAATTCTTTTTGTCTTTCAGCATCTTTACTTAAGAAATCTGGACATTGTTTTCCTAATTTATGAAAAGTATATAGAAGTGCTTCAACGCGATGTAGATCCATATCTTCAACTTTTTTAATGGTATCATTCTCAGGAACAGTTACCAAATCCTAAGAATATAAATTAAATATATGAATTAATTTCAGTTAATTGAGTTTCATTTAGTAGGAATTTTACTACCAGTAATAGTTCAATGGATGTACAAAGGATCACAGAAACACACGAGTAACCCAAAATATTACAAATAAAATTAACTTACCAAAAGAGCTTGATACACTTGCCCAACTACTGCTTCAGGATTCATTAGTTTACCACAATACGGTGCAGATTCAGCCAAAGATTTCAAAATTATAAACTGTTTGTCATTATCTTTTATAAGAATATAACGATTCAGCAGTTCACATACATAAACAATAAATTTGGTAGATTCTACATGACCCTAAAATCAAATATTTAAAGATTATTATAAGTGTTTTGTATTTATATTTTATTTAAATTAATAAAAAATATTTACCGAAAAAAATGGAATAGCAAAATCCAGACAAGTAATAAACCTATTTACTTGATCTAAATCTTTAGGATTAAAAAACTGGTCTAGTTCAGCTGTACTCGCCAAAAGTTCAACAAGTTCCTTTTGTCCCTCTGGAGTACTTATTAAATGAGTAGATGATAATATTGTCATAAGTGTTTCAAATTCTTCACACGTTATGTTTTGCATAACTTTTTTGCATTCTGCAATAATTAAATCTTCTACATCCTTCTTGATTATTTCTTTACCCAAAGCCATCACTTTGTTCAATATAAACTTCATAGACCGTTCTCTAACCACTTCTTCATTTGATTGCATTTGACTAAAGATACCAGTTAAGGCACCTAAATTTATTTAAATTTTTTTTTTAAAAAACCATTTATACAATTCAGAAAAATTAACTAACCTTTAGCATCAATTTTAAAGAGTGACAATAAAGAATTTTGTGCAGTTAATAATTCTTGTGGGTCATCAGCCTGAAGTAACTGGGCTAAAATATCAGCTATTTTAGTCAAGTATTCTTTTGATTCTTTACATAATACTGGTAGGTCTTTAATCGCCTGTTTCCGAATCTAAAAAAATACCAAACAAATAATGATAAAATTATACACAGTATAAATTTTGTTTACTTACACAAATATCCTCATCTTCGCAAAGATCAAGTTGTGCTTCAAGAGCTTGAGCAGCAAGATTTGGAAAATGTTTAAAAAATCTAGTTATAAACTGAGATGCGAGTCGTTTTTCTTTTGTTGAACCTTTGACAGCTGATAAAATTTCCAAATATTCAGGTTCTTTCTACAACATATACTTTTTTATTTTAGGTGATAAAATATAAAACTGTTAAAATATAAACTGTAATTTAAATTACATATATTATTTAGACACATTATACATTTTATACACACAACTATTTCTAGTATTTATATATTTGATATTTTATTTTATATTATTTGACTATAACAAATCATGTTTGAGAATTATATTTTGTTTTATTATTGCTGTTAAAGTAATTTATTTTATTATTAGTAATACAGCGTATTTAAATTGAATAACATTTACGAACTAATTTTATTAGAAAATAAAGTGTTATCTACTAATCTACATAACTGAATTATTAAACATTTTAACTTAAATTGTATTTTATATTATTTGAATATATCAACATTTCAAAATGTTTAAACTAGAACATTATAACCAATTGGTGATTACCAATCTAATACCATTGCTTTTATCGAAATCATTGTTGGTTCAAAGATAATAATAATATAGGTAAATAATGGTCATATATTTTAAGAAGTCATAGAAGGACATAACCTAGTTCAAACCACAATTAAAATACAATATTTATAAGGACTGATTATGCTTATTATGACTATGTTCATTTACTCATATCAGAATTGAAAATATAATATCCTAGATCATAATCAAGATTTTCAAAAAATAGGGTTATTCCCTGCTCCCTAAAGACCGCTTTTATTTCATGTCTTGCCATTTTTTCGTTGAGATGGAATAATGTGATCTCAGTTTTAGATTTGAACGAAGCCCCTAGTTTTTACAGTAGTTATTTAATCTGCTCAGATCATACAATAATCTATAATGTATTGACATGTTTCATTATGTTCCTTGAAAATCTAGAGTATTTAAACATACAATTTGCAATTTAAAATAAATACATCCTACACTGGATACTTAGGTACTACCTATATACAATAGATTGGTATTATTGGAAAAATTTCAATACCTATTATTTATTATAATACTTTCCGTGTTTCTGAATGATATATTTATATTATACGATTATAATTCTAAAATCAAAATTTGCTTTCATTACCTACCTATTCAATTTTATTTTCTTAACTATAGCTGCATGGGAAATAAACAACATTTTTCTGTTTATGACTATAATATATATTAAAAATAATTTACATTTTCCAGGACATTAAAAATAACACTTATTATAATATTATAACTAGGTTAAGGAAAATAGGAAATTAATGTAGTTTTTAATTTAACGAATTTTAATTTTAATTGATGAACAACTCACCTCAGCAATATTTTCCTTGGCATCGGCTAGTATGCCAAAGTATTTGTACATTTTCTGTATGTTATCTTCAGCCTCCATTTTAGAATATAGTATTTTGTCGAAATTCAAATTAATCGGGCGTAACTTACAAACGTCGACCAATAAGCCAAAGCCGGAAAATGTTTAGCGTTATGCACAAAACGAGTGAGCAATATAAATTTCTAAACAATATAATAATTGATATACCTATATGAAATGCATAATACAGTAATCAAAATGTATACACAAATGAACGTTTAATTTGGCTAAACAATTATCAATAGAAGTTAAAAACATCGTTGTCGCCACGGTCAGTGGTAGGTAAATTATAATATTGTAGTTGCAAGGTTACCATATTACATGTTATATACAGTGTGTTTCAACCGCAAAATAATATACCGAACTAATCATATCATTTATTTTATTTATTAAATTTAAATCAACAATTACAATCGTCATAAAAACACAACAAATTATAATAATTCATTAATTTCGTCATTATTTTCAAAATACAATTCTATGTTTATAGAAAATAAAACAATTAACGAACGTATTATTGTCGTAATTTTAATTTTGATATTACTAATATGGGAACACTGTGTATTGATAAATAAATACACGTCCGGTACTTAGGTGTAAAGATACCATATACATGTATTTATAATTCTAGCCCGCACTTATTATTATAAAATGAAATACAAGTTAACCAAATGCTCCAAGTAACCCACTTCTATGGTTTTTGAATTTTCAATCAATGAAGTTAATTGGAAAATATATTGATTTAGTTTTGATAATAAACCCAACATGTGTTTGTTTATCTACATATAATAATAATTATAAATAAAAATAATAATTTAAATGCTTACAAATGGTCGAAATTAAAAATAATGATAATTTAAAACTTAATTAAATAATACATATTTTTATCGTAGAAAGTATTCGAAATATTGTCGTTTTATTATTTTTTGTTTGTTAAAATACGATTCGACTATTTTACACCCCCCCTCCCCTTGACCAGTAACTATATCGTCGTCGCTTCGATCGAGTGCTCAGTGTTGTGAAATCGACTAGAGTACCTATGTCACTGTTTTTAACTAAACTTTAACTAATTATTGTATTGGAATCAGGAAATAATCCCATTGCGTATCAAGAATTATTTATTGACATCTGTAAATCTGTAATTTAATTTTTGTTTTTAAAAATTTATTTTATTTTTTTTATGACATCCACGTTTAGATATTATCTATGTTAATACACTTGTTTAACTTCGAACATGTTGATCAGTTCCGATTACTATAACAAACCACACAAACTGTAATCCATTTTTATTAATAAAATTAATTTAATATATTGTTAAAAGTTATTAAAAACAGCATTAACTTATAAATTGTATGAATAAATAATAATTAAATAGTAATTTGTACCAACCATAGAGTAGGTACATGAAAAATTAGATCTAACTCCATCAAATTTGGTATAATTTGTCATGAATAGGTAAGTACTAAAATATAAGTATATTATTATACATATACATATTACTCTATGGTACCAACAATTCAACAAAAAACGATTGGGTATACTTACAGTTTATAGTACTATGGGGAAAATACTCCTGTAGTCCATAACAAAAATATATTAGATTAAAATTTATATCTCGGCTATTCACTCACTCTACTAGCAGATTCTTATCAAACACCTTTGGAATTTTTTTATCCAGTTAATTCACCTAATTTAGTTAATGAACAATCAAACGAGCTTTAACAGAGAAGCATGAGCAACTGTGTTGAACCAATTAAAAGATTGGAGAACAAGCAATATATATATCAGAAGCACAATGTGAGATTATTATAAGCATAGTTAAGTTAGATGTATCAAGGCGGAAAATTAGTGATCTTTTATTTTACATACTTGTATACAATATTATGTTAAAGAAACGGGACCATTTTTGCAAGTCCTGCTGTAAATCAACAAAAATCTGGTATCAGCATGATAAGTATAGATAAATGTGTATAATTGATTGGGTATGGCTATTGTCTTAGCCATTTAGCCACACATCATTAAATTATTTATCCCCTACTAATTATATACCCACTAGCTCTTTATTAACTATACATAATAAATAAAATAACCAGTGTTCAATAATTATGAAAAATAATTATTTATAGTTTATTGTACATATGAAAATGCTGAATATATAATCAATGATAAAAAAGTAATATAAATATAATAATTCTAGGGTACATAAATATCATGAAAGTTTTTGTTTTTCTTCAGTTAAGTTTTTTACTCTACCAAAAAATAAAATATCTTTGTTTTGGCTTTTATAGCAAGGTCCAACAGAAAATATAGCCTGCTGCTGAACTTGAAATCATTCCTGAAGCATAAACATAATAAACACAATACATTTTTTAACTACTATATTTGTAAAAATTAAAAGGGAAAAATATAATTTTTATTACAAAGTCAATAACACAAATAATCAAACTTATAAGTTGTTGATTGCTAAAACAGGTTTTTAAAAAAAAAAATCTCAAAAAGTGTAAAACATACTTCAAAGTTATAAATATCATTTATTTCTATGGCCAGTGAAATAACCAGAAAAAATATTTAAGAATGGTTACATATTATTACATATTATTTTATTATTATAGATTATTACTGAACTAGGAAATATAAAGCAAAAATATATCTAATAATAGCTAATATAGCTGTTAAATTCAGGAAGTTATAGCATTTGTTAAGACAATATTGGAGACCAAATGAGGAGGTGATCAAGATAAAAATGCAAAATCATAATATTCTTTCCCTGGTGATTGGTGATAACAGTAAACAGAAACTCGTAAAAAAAATCTTTTTTTTTTTATCAGAAATAATTCTAATCATTAAAATTATTATTCCTAACATCATTATACTACACGGACTTGGAAGTTTAGAACTCCGAAAGATTGTACCAGTAACGAATGGGTGGTGGTACTGGTTGCCAAATGTTTTTTCTTCGCTACTCCGTTTAGCCAACCACAACTCGCGAGTACAAGGTATCGAACGCTATCTATACCGTGTCGGTATTACGAAAATCGGTGTAACTTGTTAATTTTTTATTTATTTATAGATAGCGTTGATCATGTCGTTCCAATCATTTGGAAACATTTTGTTCACATTGATTAAACATTCGTTACCATTCTATTTCATGTACCAGTGGCGAACTCGCTAGCAACCTAAGTAATTAAACTGTAATATTAAATAGATAACTAAATAATTATATTTTCAATTTGCTTAAAAGAATAAAAGATTTTTCATTACCAAAAAAAAAAAATATGGTTTTATTACCATCTATGTGTTTTGAATGCATTTAAAATGGTTAAATGCAGAAAGGGGACATGTCCAATAATTTAAAATGGCTGCCAATGTTCATGTTACATTTTGGAAAATATCGAGATGATTAATTTAGAAAAATGTAGATATACGAATTATTATTCGATTTATTCGTTTGTACGCCTAGCTACTTCTAAATCTTGCCCAGACAATTTTTTTCGTATCTTCTGTAAAATTAAGTTTTAGAGACATGTACAATTGCTTTCTGCAATTAGTGATTCATTATAATATATTCTCTTACAAGGTTGAAAACTCTGTTTTAATATTACATCATAAAACTAAGGTGGTATAAACAATAAGTGATAGGTGAAGGGAACCATAAAATAATAGTTGATAATTATTCTAGCTTAACAAAAATTGGATTAAAAAATTAAGTGCACCCCCCCCCCTTCTCCCTAACATTTCTTTCTGGCTGCGGTAACGGTTTGAAGTATATTGTCATTAATCAAAAATAATACATATAAATAAAATGTAATATTTAAAAAAAGTGAATTAACATTAAAAAATCAATTTAAATAATATATTCAATATATATATATAAAAAATATATAAATAAAATATAACATTTTATTTGTCTAGTATTTAAGCTCTGCTTCGAATATCAATATAATAACAATTATTAACAGTAAATTCTACGAAAAATCTATGGATGTGAAGTTTCCGATTGGAGGATATTTATTTATTTGTTTTCCATCAATAAACCCGATCGTCTCTCTCGGCCACCGCTCGTCGTCGTGAAGCGCGAAGGCACTCGGAATCGGCTCTTTCCCGCGACCCCCGCAAGACAACACATGGGAACGTGCCCGTACATCCGATTCACGGGATAGCGTCGCGGCGTTTTCGTAGCGTGAAACGGTGCCCGCGCCAATTACAAAACGCGTACAATTTTGAAACTCGTGCGCCTTTGTAGAAACCGGACCGGAATATTTCTATGACATCCGGAATGATTGGCAAAACGATTGGCAAATAACGTCGTCCCCGCGAGAAGTTAATCGCGTGAGTACGGTACACGGCACGTGCGAGTGGTTGCCCAACGGTAACGAAAAACGAGACAACAAAAAAAAAAAAAAAAAATTATACTCCGCAAATAATATGTGTATGCGCATTGTAATCGACCAACGAATATTACGGCCCGCCGCCACGGGCGAGATGACCCTGCGGCGGTATTTATGGACGTTATTAGCGTGTGTATAGAGTCCGCGGTACGAGACGTGGTCCGCATGCGGTTTTCGGCGTCGAATATATTATAATGTCGTTTTTAAATTCAAGATTGCCCGATACAAAAATAATGTCATTTGCGTTAAAATGAACGTAACGTAATCGCCGATAAAAAAAAAAAAAAAAATATGTCTTTATGATTTATGACGTAGACGTCAACGATGAAAATCATTCTAGGGACAACGGCAATAAGATATACAGTGCATAATACAATATAATGATATGTACAAAACGTATATCGGGGCGGTCATTGCATTTATTAGGACAAAAATTTGATGTAAGAGAGTAATTTTAGTGAAATTTGACGATGATAGCTCAACCCCAACGCAAAAGGATTGCAGACCATATATATTGTATACCAATATTTGTCGTCAAGTCGATTTATTCGGGTTTGGATTCTGGTTTTGATTTATATTTAGATTCTCAGTAGAGCGAGGAACATGTTACTTTTACAACAATGTTTAATTTAATTTTTTTTTTTATCTGCAATGAACAATTTTTCTACCAGAAATTTTGTTCCGATTTTCAAGTGTAGCACTGTTTCTGAAAGTAAATCTGACCGACGTGATACTTTAAGGAAGTCATTTTATCAGGGGTTCTAATAATAAATAGGAAAAAATTTCCGAAATGTATTATTTTGAAATCTTAAATATTACGGCTTTTCAAAACATGTACAACCGAACTCCGCTCAGGATCGTTTTTCGTTAGCAACGGTTAATCTCCGCGTACAAGTATACATTAAATTTTCCCTCTACCCTCCCAACTACTTACCTACAACAGTGACCCACCCGTCGTGCAAAGTGCCGAGGCATATGTCCGTTTGTTTTTAAACTACCTCGGTGCCACTGACCGTAGACAATATTCAACTGCGTCAAAAATTACGCGATCGTAGCTCAAATTTTAGTATTTTCGTGTGTGCTCCTCTGTAAAGACTAAAATGTTTGTATTTGGTATCGTATACCCGCATGTGCCGTCTCGCGGACATAGCATGACAAAATAAATACGTATGACAGCAATGTCCCATACAGCAGATCCTGCGTAAACCTGTAGCTTTGTCCTACGTACAATAACCGGCTAACGGGATACTGATACTAATATGCATAGACATATAATAGAGTTCTAGTATATGTATAGACATATTATCATAGTAATATGTTATATACTATATGTCTCTGTACTAAAGCAAATACAATTGATAATAGACGAACGATGTACGCCATTTTGTGCGTATCAAAAAATTGCTAACATACGAATAGGTAGGTACCTATACTTATTTTGTCATGCGACATGTCACATTTTCGTTCAGCACTTCAGCAGGGACAACTTTGCCCGGCCATTAGTTATAAGATTAAAGTGAATCGAATATTGTGTTTGACAATAACATACAGATAAGAACGTTATCTGTGTCGTGTCGTCGTTTTTTATTTTTTTTTTTTCATTGTACTTGTAATTTTTAAACGAGCTATAAGCATTTTTTAATCGTGATATTTCACCGTGGACTAAGATATCTTAATCCGCGTATTACACACACACTCTTATCTCGCTTGAAAACTAAAATTACGAAAAAGAAAAAAACATCGACCCGACTCAGAATATGTTTTTATCTTTAAGTTTGATTATAGGTGGATTCACTGTAAAATAATAAAATTTAAACAGAGTTATCATTGCTGAACGCCGAACGAAAATTCACCATATTGCGCGGTCGTAAGACGGTGACAGAACATGTGGGTGTAACGCATTAGTGTGCCGTATTGCATATCGGGTAAGCACTAAAATAAAACTTCAAGCTAAATCTTAAAATAGGTATTTAATTGATAATTATTTACGTTTGTTTTATAGACCGTAAAGTGTAGTTTGATAGTTTATGGGCACGTCGACGGTTGATAACGAAATAATATTAAAATTTAATATAGGCACTTTCGTAGAGCTAACGTACCCGTGTAAAATTATAATAAACGTGCATTGATAATGTTAATAATCCGAGTGATGGGTATGGTTGTTATGGAAAATAATTTTTTAATGAAAAACGATTCTGAGCGGAGTTCGATTATACATGTTTTGAAAGACCGTAATATTTACGATTTTCGTCAAAATTTGATATCGAAATTCTTATATAAAAATTACGTAAAAAAAACTGGCTAAATTAAAATGTATATAAACAGCTCAGAAATGGCACAAATGTTTTGACAATTTTACTGCGTCTAGAAAAGACAAACAAAATAAGTCTGTCCAAATTTCGAGTCTCTACGAATATTTTAAAAACGGCTTGGCGTATCTTCCTTTAGCACCAACCTTCCAGAACAGGTGCTACACTTGAATATCGGAGCGAGATTTCTGATAGAAATTTTTGTACACAGTATATATATGTGAAAATAAATAAATAATAGGTAAACATCATTGTAAAACCAATAAATGTCTCGCGTCGCTCGGAATCTAAAATATCAACAGCGGTAACGACTGCCGCATAAAAACGTGGATATCTCCTTCCACCGCGACTGGTCGTTCCTATAGTAATGCTATGGGCCGGACCGGAAGTATATTTAGCCATCGGCCGGACAATCTGAATTACCGGCGCTTCTGTAAAGAAATTGCCTACACGAAAAAAATTAATTCAATTTCTATCCGAGAAACCTGATAAATAATTGTCTTAATGTGAATGCTCATGTTAGAACTATTAAATAGTAGTAATATTAACGTACAAGTCGCATTGTCATTTAGCAAAATACATTAATAAAATGTTAAACTTTTTATTTCTTCCTGTTTGGCCGTGCATGCGTCGTTTACCTAGCTCGCCCTGACGGCGCGCCACTGGTTACTGGTATAACGTCCTCTTAATTGATTATCAATTAAATTCCTTGATACGTATATACATGTTTATATATGTTTATTGTTTATACCCACATAATTATATATTTTAAACTGCGTGCTTATAATGGCCATTTACCCATTTTAATATTATTTTTAATGCTATTAGACAATAATGTACGAATTACAAATAGATTTCTCTTATAGTAATTTCTCTATAATAATAGACTAATAGATGTGCATTTTTACCTTTTGTTAAACGATTTGTTTTTCTACATCAGCATGTGTGTTTAAACGTTTTACAAACATTTTTATCGATTTTAACATTGTTTATTTTCACAATAATTTTACCTGAACTGCATTTGTGAGTAGTCATTAAAAATTACTTTATACTCAAGGATGTATTAGGGGGGGGTGGCATTGACCTTGGACGCCATATTTAAAGGGGGTATAATAATCTTTTGAGACATCGTAAAATATCAACCCCATCCCGCATTTTACACTCATTCAGCAGGATCTCAAATAATGTGTTTTAAAGCCCGAAGTGTTCAGTATAAATACAAAATGTAAAGAGTGTACGAAATTGTAATATAAATGTATACAAATTTAGAATATAATAAATATAAAAATACAATAATTTTGTTCAACGTTATGGCAACTCGAAAATATGTAGAATTTAAAATCGCTCCGTAATAACCTAGTAAATTTGTAAATGAGCTGAAATCCTTTTTTCGAGATGTCTCGTCAAACCCAATCCTTACATTTTTGTCCGGTTTTTCGGTCTAAAACGCGTCACGTTTGTACGTAAAAACGGGAGTACCCATTCCCCTTAAACGGGTATCGGACCAGTGGCGTACCCGTGGAGGGCATTCACTCCCCTCCCCCACACACACACTCCCAGTGGACCGTATAATTATAATATAATAAATTTTATGCGTATTGTTATTTGTGTTTAGTGTTTTTCTAATTATTTTGAATTTTTGTTTTCATAACGTAGTAATCCTCGACGCAGTTAAATATTGTCTACCGTCAGTGGCGCCGAAGGAGTTTAATAAATATATTCGTGCGAAAAAGCAAGATTGCATAACGCGCTATAATGTATAAATTATATTAAATAATTCATGGTACTATTTTTTATAGTTATATTTTCTACACAAACTACTCATACTATGGCGTACCAGTGGGATAGAGCATAGGGCATTGTTATATGTTTTTAGTGTTTTATTTTCAATTACTTTGACATTTGTTTTTTTTTTCCATGAAGTAATTAATAATATGATATGATATGATATGATGGTCAATTCCGTAGATATTGAAATATTTGCGTTGTCTATGGTCGAACCGGTTCAAGGTTTCCGGCGTTATCATTTCGTTTTGGCGGTTCAACTGTGCCGTATCTTATCATTGATTTCTAGTTACAAGTGCCAGGATCTAAGCTTACGCGGACTAGCGCTGTCGCGTATTTTACAAGGAAATAAGTACTTACACAAGGTATACCCGCAGCGGCTGCCGGGGGCGATACCCCTTGTACCGCGCAGTACAACCGTCGAACCGTTTAGTACCGCGGTGTACACCGACGCGCAGTACTGTTTGTAATTAATTGTAATGTTTGTGTGCGCCCGTGCGCGTGCGTGCGCGCATTTTGACGAACGCGCGGCGACCGGCAACCGGTACTACTAGAGTAGCGCGTGCGATCAGCTGTCTCGACACCCGACGTTTCGGCAGTCAGTAGTCCGGTCGTCACCGTTTTGTACGCACGTTACTGTATTGCTTTGCGCACGTGCCCGTGCCGGTCACCGTGAGTGGAAAACCAAAAACCCCGAATAATATTTACGTCGATTGTGATAAGTGATTGTAATTTGTACCCGAGTCGTTTTTGAGCGAATCGTTCTCGGTTGTTTGTAACCCCCCGTAATCTCGAAAACCAACCGGTGTCTACATTACCATAGCGCGCCCTCGTCTCCGTACCGCGCCAAAAGACGTTTACCGTCCGGGAAATCCCGTCGCACGACCCGGAAGAGACGAAGGCATCGCCACCGCCGGTGTTCGCGCGCCGCCGACAAAGTGCGAATAATAACAAAACAGTCGTATTTATCGACGCAGCGACCCATTATCCGCGCGATGAATTTGATGTGCACCGAGTCGCAGACCGCGTCCGAGGACAAGTGTTTCGCCGAGGACCGGGCGATTTTCCGGGACGAGCGGGCCGTAAAGAAACTGTTGGAGACCGAGTCGCAGTACGTGCCCGGCGGCGATTACATGGCCCGTTCGCAATCGAACCTGCAGCCGTTCATGAGACGGGTGGTGGCCACGTGGATGTTGGACGTGAGTAGCAATCGATGCGTTCCGACGTCTTATACCCGCGGATCGTATCGGAAATATTAAAAACTGAAATCCCGTCGTCGTCGTCTCCGCCGGAGGCCCCCGACCGATACGTGCCCTCCCGTCTTCCCGTCGACGCGCGTTATCTCGGCGTCGGCGGCGGCAGCGGTGGCGGTGGCGGTGGCGACGACGACGACGACGACGACGATGACGTCTGTTATTTACTACTGTATTGTAATAATAAAATATTAACGAGTAATACATATATATTTCTTTATTTTTAAGAGCTTATCGCTTATTCCTGAATCACCGAACGAGGAATGCGCGTGTGTTCACAATATTATAGACATTTAATAATATGATGTAGCGTAATGTACAACAACATCGACTACTATCGCGGTGATAACTCCCGGTTTCGGAAATGATAAAATATTAAACAGCGTTACAATTATGTAAATCGTGCGCCGGCGATTATAATTTGTTGTTTATAACCTTCGTCCGGCCCAATGTTGAATCCTCCGGATTCCGGGTATATGTCGGGAGAGGGAGGGGGGGGTGATAGCCCCTCCCGAAATTTTGTTTGCCCCTTGTTAACTGTGGGTCAATTTAAAATTAATTAGGTAAATAATTAAACAAACTTGACTGGTCTAAGTAAGACGGTAGAAAAGAAAAAGAAAAAAAAAGGTCATTACTGTAATAATATTTTAGTAATGTCCCCCCTCCTCAGAAAAATTGTCCGAATTCAACACTGGTCGAACCGTGAAACGATTTTTATCGTTATCCGCGGCACATTATCACTCAGTAAGTTCGTTCGAATTGGCACGGGACATAGAAGCTATAGAAGAAAGGGAAAGGAAAAGTGTAGTAAACCCACCTCTCCCTCCCCGCGGTTCCGAAAATGCACGTCTGTCGGGTCGGGGGGCGCCTCAATTCCTGTACAATTTATTATAGAATACGGAATATCGTTTTACGTTAATAACGTTCTCTTAATAATAATAAATTATCGATCGAAATTGCGAAAAACGCCGAATTTTCCGCGCGACATCCCTTCGTCGAGTGTTCGATTTTTTCCGTTTCCCGCCGAGACGCTTTCCGGGGTGAAAAAAACTCCATTTAAAAATACCGGAAAACGCTACAGAGATTTTCTCGAGTTTTCTATTCGTCCGTGGCGACCGGAAAACAACAGAATTACGATTCTTCGGTTTTTATTCGGTTCCGACGACGGGTTAAAATGTCGCGTATTTTCGCGGGAAATCGGAAATTCTTACCGCGGAACGTTGACGAGACGAGAGGGGCAAAGGAAAAATATAAAAACTGGTAGTTTTTCGATGTTTCGACTTTTTTTTATTTTTTTGTTTTCTTTTATCCCAAGTGCCCAGACTCAACCCCCCCCCCCACACACACACACACGTTCGCTCCCGGACGCTAAACGGCCGAGCTTTTAATATTTGACGGCATCCGAACCGCGATGCACGCGGACAACGCAATTCGAATAATATTATTCGTACGGGCATCGCATTCGTATTGCATTATTCATACATGTCACGGCGGTAGTAATAATAAAACAATATTGCGGCGAGTACGATAAGTACGATTAAAATAATTATCGATGCGTGCGCGTGTGTTATATGTGTTGCGCGTGCACGTTTTGCACGCACACACACACACACACACACACACACACGGAAACGTTCGTATACGCTTGCGTATTGTCGTGCAGTTGTTGTTTGTTGGGGTTTTTGCTGGAGAAAATTTCAATTTCCCGTAATTTATTGGATTTAAGGCGGACGAATGCGCACATTACCGCGGTTTACCGTCCAAATTGCTCTAAATTCCCGGTTCGTCGAAATTATCGGGCAGTTTTGGAGTTTCGAGGGGCGATCCGTTACAAAAAACCGTCTGAATCGTATTCCTTTTTATTTTTTTTTTTTTGTAAATTTTTTTTAGACCGACCAACGTACGGCACTATAATATCATAGTGTCCGACTAGGAGAATGAAAGAGGGGGTGGGGGAATCCCAAAACGCTTTTGCAAAGTGTTTGCGAGTTACGCCCGTAACAATAATATTACCGCAGTACACCAATATCAACGTACTTTTCTTTCATTTTTTCTGTTTTACAAATGAAACGTTTACGCACGTGACGCGACGACCGTATAATAGCGCGATAACAATAATTTTTTATGCGCGAGGGGGAGGACCCGTTGCGGCCGAAAGTCGCGATCGCGCACCATTATTACCTATACCTGTACGACAATAATAATAAAAAAAAAAAAATACACTTTTTGTACTTTTATTTTTCGCGATTCAAAATACGCGTGGTACGCGCCGTTTACTAGCCGCCGTTTAAATTTAATACGATGCCTATACGCGGAGGCGGTTGGTTGTTTTTTTTTTTTTCAAAGTACTATCGTGAAGCGTACGTTTAATCTGTGGACGTAGCGCGTTTTACAGAACCGAGCGGCGAAATTCCAACCAGTACATGTTTGACGGCGGGAAAAGTATTTGAATCGCGAGATTCGCAAAAAAAAAAACAAAAAAAAACGTGCGTCTGAGCCGTTCGGAAATATAATGAGAATTGTTGTGTTTTTTTGCAAAAGTCGAATATAAAAGAATTTTAGATTGCGGAAATTCGATAAATTCGCGGTGGGGTGGCGGTATTTTTGGGTTGGTGTAGGTGGGTGGAAAATTAAATTGGATATTCGATGGCAAGCCGCCACTGCGTAATACGCAAATTGTATATATATTACCTATATTAATGTATAATATGTATCCGCGTAGGCGTGTAGGCTCGCGAGCAAAACGTTTACTTCCGTGACGTGGAAAATCATTTCCAACCACAAAAAAACAGAGACCCTATTATATTACTTAATAATATTTCGAGCCCCCGATAACTTTATAACCTAACCGGGGTTTTTCATATATCCGCGTGACCTCTCCCCGCCATTATCCCCGGATAATCGATATTCTACTGTTTAAATCTGTATTATTATTGTATAGGTATTGTATTACCGGCTTATTTCTATACGTAAAAATTTTGAAAACGTTATCGGCCTCAACGTACGGATCGACCGAAATCTCATTACACATAATATTATTATCGGATCCGACGGCGCTAAAATATAATTACTTAACCAAACGGAACCGTGGTTTTCGATGATGAGGTTATAAGGATATGCTGCAGAAGTCGTGCACGGTCGGACGACTGTGATGAATAATAAAAATGCGTTTTGGCGTGTTAGGCGATCAGTGTTATTATTGTAGTATATTTTTTGTTTTTGTTTGGGTGAATTCCAAATTTCGGTACCTTACCTTACCTTCCTATGTATTTCATAGGAAAAAAAATATGTTCGCACATTTTTGATAACCGTCTGAATTTGTTCGTTCGTTCTACGTGTAATTTTCAACGTTCACGGAAATAAACATCGCGAGGTAAGCGATAAAAGAAAATAATATGTGTTTGTCGATTCCCTTTTATAGTGTGCGCCTTATCTATCTACTAAGATAGTGACTACCTTGGATTATTATCACTATATGCATTGAACGGACATCCGTTTTAAATCCACCGCGTTATAAATTGTGTAGTATAATAATAATATTATACGATTTATATGGCTTAATGTACTATATTTATGTTATTTCGTTACAAATTGTAACGTTAACAATGAGTTTATACCGGCCATATAATATTATGATAGTTCAATGTAGTATTGTAGGATATATCTATAGTATTGTCCTATATATACATTATTCCTGGATTTAGACAACAGGTCAGTCAATCTGCGTACATTTCGTGGCTGCCCACTATTTTGGTATAGTATTGGTAATTATTGTTGTTGGATCTTTAAGAGAATTGGAAATAGATATTTTTCATTATCAAACATGTACGCAGCATAGCGATTTAGACCAATCAATTTAGTCGATCGATGTAGTGGAGCGATTAGAGTTTTGACAACGGATTTGAATTCAGCATGACGTGTTCTTACACGAGGTCGATCATCACAAATTTCTCAAATTTCAGTCCGTAATTTCAAAAACTTTAGAAATTCATACTAAATGTATAACATACAAAAACTAAAATTAAATTGAAAAAAGTGGCGTGACCGATCTCATGTACACTTTACGCTTAAGGAGATTGGAAGCGACGAGCTTTGCCTTATACACGTTAGATATAGAGATTTAGACGTGTTTTAATTACAACGTACCGATTGATTTAATGAAGAGATAAGAATTCTGGAAACAGATATGAATTCGTCTTGAAGACTACTTGAGATCGACTTTTCAACTTTTTAAATTTATCTCTTTAAATTCTAAAAAAAAGTCATACTGATAAAAGAGTAATTGAAAAAAATGGAATATTTTAATTTTTTGAGAAATTAAAATCAAAAAGGTGGGGAAGTCGATCTTAAGTAGTCTTCACGACGAATTCAAATCTGTTTCCAGAATTCTTATCGCTTCACTAGATCAATCGGTACGTTGGAAATAAAACTCGTCGCTTCCAAACCCCTTAATTCAAATCTTTATTCAAAACTATTATCGTTTTACTACGCCGATCGGTCTAATTGACTGATGAAGATTGATCTGAATTGCTGTGGCTCGTCGTATATGTTAGACAATAAAAGTAAATATCGGTCTCGAATGAATGGTATTCGGCATGGTATCTACCCATACCGATATTCGTCTAAACGCGGCTGTTCAGTATGTAAATATACCAGGAATTTTTCCTAATTTCTGTTTCTCGTTTTACTCGAAATTGTGGCCTCACATTCGACGCGAATGTAGATTAAGAATATGAACGGGTTCAATGACTCTCACGTATACCGACACCTATATAATTTTGACGTATTCAACCTGTACAGACGATTTACATATTAATTGCTTAATACGTTCGTCGTATATGTGCGCGTCGGTACGGCACGAATAATGGAGTCACTTTTTTTTTATCGAATATAACGTATAGGTACGCGTTTTTATAGTTTTTTTTTATTTTTTTTTTTATTTATACCAAAAACACATAATATTATTGTTATGCTCGTTTTCTTTTACATCATTTTTTTGCCGTCATGCGATCGCAGACTTCGTTAAAAATTTGAAGACCGTCGTCTGAAAAAAAAAAACATGAATCTTATCTAATTTTGTTTTTTTTTTTATTTTCAGGTGTGCGAGGAACAAAATTGCGAAGATCAAGTGTTCCCGTTGTCCGTGAATTTTCTGGACAGATTCCTGTGCGCCTGCGACATATCCAAAACGCACTTGCAGCTGACCGGTGCTGTCTGCCTGTTGCTGGCGTCCAAAGTGCGGCAGTGCAACGCGCTGTCCATTGAACTGCTGTGCTATTATACGGAGAACAGCGTCACTCCGGAAGAGATGAGGGTGAGTTTTCGGGAAGGGACGGGTGACGGAAATGGTTTTTTTTTCTTTTATAAATGATTTTTTACGGGGTCGTCGTAACGAGGAAGCGGTCGTCTCGGTCCGGCCGTCGTCTTAGAATATCGTGGACAAGTGACGATGATAATAATAATAGTATCCTGCGCGATCATTATCTCCGGGGAAGAAACCATGTATAGTTATAATATCGTAAATGTTATAATGTACTGTGTACATGACTGAAACGCAGCTGCGTTCGGGAACAACGTGAAAAAAAACCACATTGCAATTAATGCATTGATGATAACAACTCTTCTCGTTTCCTCGAAATCCCTGCAGGCTTTTTTTTTGTACGGTTTTTAAATTTTTTTTTTTTATTTATTACTGTCCCCCTTGTCTCTCAGTACCTAATATAATAATAATTGTCGCGTGTTCCGGTCTCGCGTCGCCGTCGTCGTCCGGCCAATATAATATAATAAAAAAATGTTCCGTCACGGAACTCGTTGCTTATAATATGTACAGCAGTCGTCTCAGACACGACAGTATAATATTATTATAAGTTCTGACCACAAAAAAATATTATTAACATTATACGTTGCCCGGTCAATTAACGACAAATATACGACGCGACGGAAGGTCTATATGTACTCGTTGTCGTATAATAAGTTAATAACGAATAATTGTTCGTTTCCCGGTCGCGATGACTGATGACGACGTCGGCGGCGTGCTTACCGCCTACTCATCGTGGGATGCTCGCGCGTGCCATTAAGCGTAATGTAATATTTGTTATTTTTTCTTCTCCTAAAGCAGACCCGATAGCTAATACAACCGCGGATAAAATTGACCAAAGTTTATAGGCCGTATATTATTGACAAAAAAAAAATTAAATACTTTCGAACGATCGATAAGGCCTAAAAAAAGATGGAGTTAGAACGACGGTATAAAATATTATTCGAGAACGTTGGGTTTTTATAGCAAATTGGAAGGAATGGTACAAAGCAGTTAGATGTACATGACGTTATATATAGTTTTCTAAAACTCTCTTAGAAAGTATAGTCTGAAGGAAATTAAAAGACATTTGAAAGTCATGAATTCATATTGCGTTCAAAACGATATAGTTTTAGATTTTGAGCTAAACCCTTGAGCTTTTTTTAAAACACTCGTTTTCGACCAGTATACTTGACCGGTAGGAGTTTTCCTGTGGCATTTTGAACCTTTTTGGTGTAGTGATTTAACTAGGACGTTCCTATTGGGATGGGAGGGGCTGATATAAATATTTATTAAAAATATCAAAACAATCAATAAAATTAATATTAAACGAACAAATATTGTGATATGTTTCACACTTGATATTATGCATCTTGTATTGTGTATAACAAGTCGTTGCAAAAATGGTCTGGGTTATAGAATTCATTGAGAGGTTACGTTTTACCCATCACATCACCACTTGAGAACGTCACTGTGTTGGCGCGTCATCATACATTTTTTTTATGGAAACATGAAAAATAACAAAGACTCGTAAAAATCATCATTTTTCGGACGTCGACAATTTGAAGAACTCGTAAATACTTAGTGGTGGTTTTTCATTTTTTTTCACAAGTATAAGATTCATATCATATAGGTAGTACCTATCTGTTATGTTGGCTATATCATAATATAGTTTTAAAATCGGTGTGTCACATGCCCACGGTTAGGGTTTTCTCGGGCTTACAAAAGTACAATAATGTATAAAAAGCCTCCAGGGACAACACAATAATATAATAACTAGAGCATTTTTTACGAATTATTATTTTTTTATCGGACGCGTTTGTCTTTGTCCCGCGGCAAAGGTCCCGTTTTCTCAATGTGGTATCGTGAGAATAATATTATACATACTAAACCTACCTACATATTATTATTACAGTATCGAAAACACGTTTTGTCGCGACGACGGGGACGGCTTTTTCTCTATCCTTATAGCTAAGTGAGTGTAAGTACAACGGGCGTGTCAAGTATAATATTTTTCCATATCAAACGCATATTATCCACATCGCATCGTCGTCCTACAATGGAAACCCGGGCACATGTTTTTTTTCTTTCTTTTTAGAAATGTTGCCTGCCGTCCGGTTATTTCGGGGATTTAAAAACGGGGGCAGAGAGGGGGGGGGTTCATTGGTGTTGGGTTTATTTTTTTACATTTTCGTCCCCGTCACACTATTATAATATTGTGTATGTGTATGTATCTACCCCTTTATTGGATATATATTATATAGGTGGTCAAATGTCCCGCACGAGGTACCCATACTTCTATAGACGCTCTTAGACAAACAACAACATACACACACACATGATGTGCACTCACTTCCTCGTGCAGATGTGTGCGCGTCGTGTGTGAATCGGACCGAAGTGAATTAATTCACTTGTACCGATATTGCAGCGATATATTGTATACAGGGTGACGGGTAACGCCATTGCGTGTATACAATAATTGAATAATAATAATAATGTATCGGACCGGTCGGCGGATTAGCCGGACGTGATATTGTGTTTATGTAGTATACACGAAAGTACGCGTTTTTGTTTTTTTTTTCGTTCGCCTTGACCCACGATTGCGTAATGTTATCGTGACGATAACACGACGACGATGGAAAAACTAAAAAACCTGTAAATCGTGTTTATTCATAATGATGGTACGAGCGTGTCCCCTGCAGAGTTATCCGCGAAAAATAATTGTCCCAAAGTTAATTTTTGTTTTGTTCTTTTGGCACATTAATATAAATTAACTGAAAGTCCCGATAAAATGTTAAATTTTTTTTTTAAAATTTTTATTTACAAAATAATGTATTATACTTGTGGACTTTGAACGATCTAAGCACCATAAATCTTGAAATTATGAGGTGACTAAGGACTCTGAAGAATGTTTTGATCGAGAGAAACGATGATGGGATAAATGCATTGCTACGGGCGGAGAGTATTTTGAAGAGGTTATAATTGATGTTTCACAAGTTACGATGAATACAATTTTTACTTTCAAAGTTTGCGTATTTATTAGACAAACTACGTATTAAGTACTTTTGAGTGATGCAAAGTTTCCGTAATTTTCTGCAAACAGCACGAGCCTTAATTAATAATATTATATATTCTCCGCACTCGTGTACTGTTTGGCGAACTTTTTCTTTTTTTGCGATCCCTGCGTGCAGTGTAGTGTACGAACATTGCAGACAAGATAAGAACCTATACATATTTGAAAATCTCGTTTATCCATGGAAAAAATGGAAATGAATCATTTACAGGGCAAATTTTCGGTGATCCTTTTTTTTTAGACGAGGGTTGATTTCGAGTATAAGCATAAAATAGAGTAGAATGTAATAGTATGTCTCCGGATTTCGTCGATATATAATAGTATAACGATCGTTTTGAACTCGTTTTATTCCCTTATTGCGCGGTCTATATAGGGTTTCGATTTTTTCGTATATAATAATATAAACACATAAATCATCGTATTTTATTCGTTAAATCCCAACTCAAATCGCACACCTAAAATATAAATAACGTTAGGTACGTATGGTATTTTGACGATCCGGCGCGCATTATTATATTATTATTCAACGGCGGTGATGCATTGCCAAGGTCACCCCGGATCGGTGAACCGTCTCCGCGTGAAAAATCCCTCGAAATCTCTTTCGACTGCTGCACATCGCAAATATACGCGTATATAGAGAGACCCTCGTCGGGTCCGCGACCCCGCATCCACGGCTCACGAGATGTTATAAGACGCGGTATAAACCGAAAGAATATATAGGTGTATATACCGCGAAGTCGTATTGTTATTTATTATTATTTTAATACTTATACAATATAATACCTAGCGGACCTCGTCTAATGAGATTTAAATAGCTAACCGGTATAATACTATACTCGTAATATTATAATATTCTTCTTATAGTCGCGCCACAGCGGCCCGATTCGTTCCGCGTCGCCTGATACCCATTGATTTCGACGCGAAATCGATAAATCAGCCAGACTATTATAACCCCTTTTACGCGCCGGCCCTTTACTAATAACGATAACGATAATAAATAATAATAATAATAATAACGTATACAGTATATACCGTAGGTATCGCTGTATTTTTTTATTATTTTTTTTTCTACTCTTGAGTATACTTATATCCGCGGACTGGTTTGTTCCGTTAAGTTCCCTGGAAACGATTCTTATTTTATACCTACGAGAGACTATATGCGTTTCTTACGTGGCAAACGGTCGTCGCCGTGTCCGTTGTCATAGACTTTTTTTTTACTCTCCACAGAAACTCGTTTATTTTCCATACCCATTTCGTATAATATCCGTACTTCTATTACCGCGATGACCGTATACACTGCCGCAGCTTATACGACTTTTTTGCGCGTATACTTAAATATAATTGTATTAATCCTCTAAGTACGCCGCTTTCAAATAAATTACTTGCACGCGCGAGTCTAAATATTTAATAATACGACCGTTGTGGATACAATGTCGCGGTATTTTTATTCTTTTACAATACGTTACAGCTAATGTTGAAAATCGGGTAATGACGATTTCTCGTAGAACCGATTTTGTGCAATTAATTTTAAAATTGAAATGAATTGGCCTATTATACAATTCGAAGGTAAGAACATGATTTGTGTTTGAATGTTGGTTTGTTTACTTTCAAGCGAGATACGAGTATGTGAAATATTACAATTTAAAAATAATCGCTTAGAAGTTAAAAAATCCAACGTATAAACACAGACAACGTTCTTATATTTAAGTTTGTTTATAGGCTAATTTCTCTAATATTAAAACAAACAGTTAAAAATCCGTTCTGCTGTATGAAAAGTTGACAAATAATATAATTTCCAAAACACCTAACCGTGACATTGTATACATTCTGCTCGCATACGTATTATCGACAAAATCGTTAAGTTAAATTTAATCATATCTAATAATGATTCTCGAAAAAAAAAAAAAAGTATATCTAATACAAAATATAAGTCATATATTGATTAGACACCGCGAAAAAAACCTCGGATACCAAGATCATACATGGTTAAACTTATCGATTTGTAAATCTTTTTTTTTCCTTTAACATAAATTATCACTTAAAAGCACATAATAAGGTCTTATTATTAATATTGTTCCATCGTTGTATCATATTATTATCATAAATTTACTTTTCTCGCGTTAACATTGTACTCGAATAATAGTGATTTTTTTTCCTCCATAAATAAACAACACAAATACATAATATTACAATCGCATATGACACTAGACTTCTGTATTTTAATTTTCATGTAAATATACGGTTAAATCGCATAAAGAGATTGGTATAAAAAAGTACTCCGGCTGTCGTCATAGAGAACGATGTTCTCATGTGTTGATATTTTAAATGAGCAGCCATCGTATTATATTTATAGTCAATGGTTGTCGGTTTTTTTTTGTTTTAGACATTTTTCAAAAACGTTTTGGAAATATATATATCTACTTAAAATATACATGTAGAAGAGGGTTTAGATTATAGTACCTACACTTGAAGGAAAATCCATATATTTTTTCAGGTAGGAGAAAATTGTCGAACATTATTTATTATAATCGAAAAAGTAGCGGTTTACCAGAATAAAACGAAGGTACTGTGGGTGGCCTTAAAAAGTACGTTAAATATATAGCTATTTTGTGTGGTATAGAAATCGTTAAAATCTTCATTATAATACGATAAGTACAAATAAGATAATCAAATAAAGATTCTGAGCAGAGTATTATTAATTATTTATTTTCCCTTGTTACCAAGGTAATCGAGAAACAATAAAAATTATACACATATTTGCCAGTATCTCCCATTTATTAAGAAAACTTCAGGGAAAATAAAACAATTTTCGTCTATTAAATGCACAAGCTAGATCAAAAATACTAGAAGAAAGTTTCTATAAAGTTTTTGATTGAAGCAAAATTTCTGGTGGAAAATTTGTTAACAAACATAAAAGGAAAATACATACCATAGTACCTAAAATCAATATATTCCTCATCATTCTGTACTTACGTCATTTTGAATAACTTCCGTCGGAATATATTTTGAACATAGTACGGTGTAATTGTAATAATAAGATGGGTTCCGACATATTACCGGAAGTCTATACCAAACGATGTTCCCAGAAGTCTTACAGACATTTTGTCTGAGAGTTTGACGATATCTAGTCGATAATATAGGTCAATACGAACGAGTTTCCTGTAGGAGTGTAGTACATTATTATACAAGTAAAAGGAAATCTTTTATTCGAACGAAATATAGCGCATTGTGTAGGTATATGTTTTTACGTCACACGACCCTCTGCTTCCATCATCCTTTCCCATACAAACCATCATAATGTATAATAATTCTCATTCAATATAATCATTCCGGTTCAATCGAATAGGTGTCTATATATTATACACGTGGTCTAATTACAATATCCTGTTTCCTATAGACATTTTAATTTTCGTTATGCAAATGCGACGGGGGCATATAAGAGCGAGTATACCCACTTATACTATATCGATTTCAAAAAAAAAAATTCCTTTTGTTCGGGTCAAAAATATTTTTTCGGTACACCGGGGCCGCCCGCGCTTATTTTTTCTTGTCGGGGTCATGGTTTGCTAGACATGTGTTTAAAATCATCTTTTTTTTTTTTTTACTACGTATGCATGCGTTTATTTAGGAAGGAGGATGTTTATACCCGGCCACAAACTCGCGGTCGTTGTACAACTGTTCAACGGTATAATAATATCCTGACGGGTCGTTCTTATATTATTTTTTCCTTTTCACCGTCGTCGTCGTATTATTATTACTCCGGGCAATTAGTTCCACCGAAAGTATTATATTTTCACTCTTTTGAAAGGAAAAAAAAACAAAACGTAGAACTCGATATCTACTGTCTATGTATATAGGCTCCTACGCCACCGCAGGGACTATTATAGAATGATAAACAATTTTATTAGGTTCACATCGAATGTGTTTTTCCCATCGTATTTTTTTTTCTGTGTTTCACGCTTGAAGGCTCGGCCCTCGGCCGTCGTCGTCGCACGCAAACTTATACGCATATAGGTATCTACTCCCCCCCTCCCCGTAAAAATATTATAATATAATTGTTTTAATTAGTGTTTTAATGTTTCGTAAAGTATTAATATATATGTATAGGTTAATGAATTACGTAATGCCGTATAAATTAAAATTCCCCGTGTGTATACTTTCCGCATAATCCGACATACGCTGCAATAATTATTAATAATAATTATTGACTATACAATATTCAGTAATTATTATTGCCGTAAAGTCGGTTATATTATTATATACGAATTGTTAACGATATTGTCCCGGACAGGACCGCGGATTTAGGGTTGTGGAGCTCGTAATATTCGCCGGGGGCGCATAAAATAAAGGGGAATAATATAGGAATGTCACTATCGGGAAAATAATAATAATAATTACCGGTTTAGAAATATTTTTGTTATACTTTGTAAAGTAATCGTTTTCACATTGCATTTTGCTCCCCGTTACCTATCCAACGAGGGTTTGCGCAACAAATTGCGGGGTCAATTTTCGATTGAAAGTCGGACGTGAATTCGCAATTGAGTTTTGGCGAGCAAAACGAACCGTATGTTAGATAATGATAGAAACCGTTGATTTTTATCGTTCCATGCAAATAACATTCCCGAATATTATTTTCCTATGTATTATAGTCCTCTACGGGACCCATCATACTTGCCCAGTGATCACTCTCGTAGTTGCAAAATATTAGCTAGCTCTCGGCCCGTTGAGTACACGCTTTGACGTTTTAAAAACTCTATCCTGAAAAGGGGTAAAAACTCTGGTTAAAACCATTACCATCATTGGTTGATTTGCTGTCAGATTTTCGTATCCTTTCAACACTCCCTGACGTCATCGTTCTAAGTATATTAACTATTATAAATATAACTCCATTTATAATATTATACTGACGGTGAAAATCATCTGAAATGGAACTCCGTCGAGGGACTGAAGAAAATAAGCGTTAGTTTTATAATATACTGTATAGTTTCCGTCTTGGACAGGTTTTAGTGTAATAAAAGAATAAAGAAATAAACTGTATATAGGTTCATTGCAGTTAGTAATTGAACGTTACAATATGCAATTGACGCGAATTAAAAGAAATCTAGATGTCCTTCGGTGGCCATTTGGTTATATTATAATAATACTAGTAATAATATATGCTCGTCTACTTCCTAATTCAATCAATATAATATTATGTTTGTCATCTTATTCTTTTTATTTTTTTTCACTTCCCCTCCGTTGCAGTCGCGGTCTTGTCTATATAAAAAAAAGAAAAAAACGTTCGTTCATCTTTACGCTACCCCGAAGCTTTTGTGCTCCTCGACAGGAAAAACACAAAAGGCAGGAAAGACGGTTTCTTTCCACGTGTATAATAATAATAATAATAATAATATTATAACAAAACAATGTACAATTTTTCACGGACCTGTAACTTCGAAAGCGATATGTAAGTAATTGTAGACTTATATTAGTGTATGTATTATTATTATTATTATATTGCGTGCGGGGCAAAAAATGTCCAACCCTTACATACGTGTGGTTAGGTACGGTTATCAGTCACGCGCGCGAGGAAACCGTTGCAGTCGTGTCTTGTCGTAAACGAGCTTGTAATTTGTTCGCGTTTACCGCGCACCGTAAACAATTGTTTATACACAAGAAGTTATGTATACAATATGCAAATGTTCGTGTACGAATGTGCGTAAACCGTTTGTACAAAGTCATCGTAAACAATAATATTGTTGTACAATAACGTTGCTGACGACGGTTGAAATTTATGATTATTACGAATTTCGTCAAAATGTCAACTTCAAAAACAATATATTATAGGTGTTTAGGGTTAGTAAAGGTGTACGTTCGACTTTTATGACGATCCATTTTATACGCAGCCAGTAAAGTCGTTATACGCGTGTATCGGAAAATGAGTTTAATATTCCCGTTATTCCGACCGTTTTTTCACCCCAATCATTAGGAGTAATATAAGGAAATTAAAATAAATTATACCTCCTTGACACAGAAAGATCCTTTAAAATTTTTGAACGGGGTAACTATATTGTGCAGGTCGAAATCATAATATAGTAAAACCGATTATTTATTAGACGACTTCGTCATAACAAAAATGACTTTCAATGTATTAGTCCTCTCGAAATTCATGTATAGCAATGATTATATTAATTAATCTTGATGATTCGGATGATGGTATTTAACTACTCGAATTTGTTTTTTCCCCTTGATCTTCGAACCGTCGAACATTAACCATAATCAAACATTAGCTGCAACAATATTAATAGTAATAATCATCTTAATTAAAATAATAATGCAACAACATTGTTATAATGTTATAACATAATGTAAAATTAGGTATTTACACAATTTTTCAGCGACAGATTTTAATTTCATTTTTTAAAACATTATAAAAATGATAAATTTGATTTATTTAGCGTATTCCTCTAATTAAGATTATATTTGAATGAGCAAAAATAATAATACTCCACTAGTATAATATTACGCGATAATTTTACGGTTAGATGGTTTTAATTAATTTTTTTTTTTTTGCTATTTCGAAAAATACTATCAAATAAAAAATTATCGATTGTATAATATAAAATTTATGCGATTTTTTTGATTTTATTAATTAATTATGTGGTTGGTTTTTTAAGTTGTAAACTGTTTAAATATATACGTACTATTGATTAGTAAAAACGTGCGATATTTCAGCTCGATACAAAATGATATTAATTCGTACATTTCGACGTGAGTCAGACGGCACTTCGGGTTCTGGAACGGGGTCCAAACTTTTAAACCGGAATATTAATAAATCATTTTATATATTTAGTCCTAGAAGAGAAGGGCTTTTTTAAAAAATTTTCTCATGCGATATTTTTCCTTTTTTTTTTTTCGGTCTAAATAACATAAGTACCATATACTTATGTATATTTTAACACATGTTAAACTGAACATTTAAATATATTAAGTCACTATCATGTATACTTATTGTTTAACAAACAGGCATAAATCATGTGATTATATGACTAGTGCCGTTTAGAATGCAATATTTAGATTAGGCTATTTTTTTTTTTAGCAATTTTCAAAATGTAATTTGCTTGTATTAAAAAATTTACAAAATTGAATTGAACTCTTCTTCCCTGGGACTAAAGATATATACGCACGAGTACAATTCTGGAACCTAGAAATGAGGTATTAGACAAATGAGCTATAATAATAAGACAGGTTCGATTAGTATCCAGTTTGAGAGAATAATTAGAAGAAGTTATATTGGTGTATGGATACAAGTTTAGATTACCGTGTTTCGCTGTCATATATTCTTAGGTCTGCTTTTGTCTTGCAGACAATGGCGTGAATTGATAAATTCGGCTCTGACGAGAAAAATTTAAATGTCTCCCCTCTTTTATATTTAGTTTAAATGTAGAAGAATTAAATTATACGTATGTATGATTTAGGTACGAGTATATGTCTTTAATAGTATATTTTCAATTTTTTTTTATTGTATTTAATAGTAGTACCATATTATAATGTACCATAGTATATCACTTATAAAAAAAAAACTATTTTAAGTTTGATTCTCCGACCTTTTGAATTGGCAAAGTTGTGAATAATAATCTGCGAAACATTTATCGGCTGGTTCTTCAGTTTCGCATATTGTGTTCAACAACGCGATGTCTGACGGCTGTTCTCGGCCCCCAAAATTGAATTCCTCTAGTAATTTTTACCGTTTTTAATGTTTACATTTTACAAGTTTCCAAATCGATAGAACGGTCCCCTCCTTTCACCCCGGATATTAGGATGCCGATGCGATGCGGCCACATTGATCCGCATCCCCTGTATACGCCAATGGTTGCCCGTGGAGATAATTATTATATTGTCCGTTTCTCGATACCTTTACAGTATGTTTGTGCATGCCTACGTTCCATTGGTTTTATTGGATTTTTATTTAATTATTTTTCGCATAGCTATCCGTGAGACGACACTAACCCGGCCGCGGCGACGGTTCAGAACAGGTTCCGCATCCGCCGCGCAGACGAAATCGTTTCGAAACCATTTTTATGCGAGTATAATATGACGGGCTGATGCTGCCGCCACTGCCGTCGGCATCAGCACACGCACACCGTCCGGAACAATACCCGTGCGTTGGGGTCTATGTAGGTCTGGTGGAATTTCGCAAAGGCACGAGGAAAAAAAAAGACAAACACACACACACACACACACATACATACATACACATACATACATACACATACATACATACATACATACACATACCGACGACGAAGAGTGTATAGCTAGACTCGTTTTATTGACCTACCTTAAAAAAAAAAATCAAATTTCGTACATATATCTATATGCAATAATATAACCTGACTGCTTGTTTATTGTTGGCAGTTTACGTACATGTATATATATATATATATACATTATTGTATGTATGTAGAGAAGTGACGAAACTGACGGTGGCGGGAGACGATAAAAAAAAAACCCCGACGATTTCATTATATTTGTATTTGTGTATTTGCGACTATACGGCATTATGTTATAATATTGTACGATGACGATTAAGAAATCCTCCCCTTCGCAAAAGCGCACACTGCACACATTGCTGTGCACCACCGTAGAATAAAAGTATATACTCGTACGTTAGGTATAAATATGAGTTAACCGAGGCGCCTTTTTATTCGATTTTAGCATTTTATTGCAGCCCATCACGCACGATAATGATATAATAATACGGAAACCGATTATAGACCTATACGTACATTATATACCTAATAATTACAAAATCATCCATAAATTTAATAGTAATTACACGGTATACGACCGGTGTGTTATTTAAATAATTATTGAGTTCAAAAAAACGCAAATTAATTGTAATAGAAAACGATCATGCGTGTACCTAAGCGAGTATTTTGTGCGTTTTATTTTTCGGTATTGTTTAGTTCAATATGGTATCTACCTCACCGTTTTTTATTTTTGTTCGGTTCAGAAATTAATTTAATTTAAAAAACTGTCACAAATAAAATGTATACGATTCTGAGCGAATTCCCTTTCGGGTAATTATCGTTTTTCACTAAATTAAAAATTTTATCAATATTTGTATGGTATATTATTATTTGGGTTTATTCGACCTCTAGGATTTTTCTTGCAATGTATCCCGTCTTGCAATCAATCCTCCAGCTATATCTCTATCTGTCGCCAATTCGGTTAACATCTTCTTATAAAACTCCCATGCACTTTAGTTTTTACTATACGCCTTTTCACCCCGACCTATATCCAAAGATTTTTTTCTCTATTACAGGATTCTGTTCCAGAACAGTTTGTACAGTATACATAAAGTGAGTTTTGCATTCTCCTGTAGCATGCATGTCTAACCTCTCACAATCTTTTTCGATCTCCAATGTTTATAATTAGATTTATAACATATTATACAATTTATCGTGCGATTTGTTGTACGTTATAATTTCATCACAATTTTAATTTGTAAAATTTATTATAGGGTTATTTTCGTTTAATATGAATATTATACGTATAGCTATAGTGGAATCGTATGGTATACTTTTACAGTTTAACAGTTTAAACTATAGATATTATATACATCGAGAAATAACTTCCCCCCTTTGTATACATAACGCATTTATGTAAAACCACAAAAGTGCGTACCGCGAGAACCCTATAGCGAGCCGCTTAAAAAACGTGTTTGCGTCGATACAATGTTTTTAGTAATTGTTTTTCTTATATTGTTTTAACGGTCTTTTGTATTCGTAAACAATCGTGAGACCGACCGCGACGACTATAAAAATATATACGAGACAGACTATAGGGCGAAAAATTCGGTTTCGCAATATATCCCTTCTATTCGCCCTCTTAAATCCATTGAAACGTGTTGATTGCGCCGTCTAGACGTTTACGTATTGCACATTATTATCGAAATACACGTTCAAATTTCCGTGCCTCTATTACGCTAAATATATAGGCACTACTTGAAATATTTAGATTTATTACGCGTATTGACATGTGGTTTTTGTCAAAAACCTTTTCAAACACACAGCTATGCGAATGCGTTCAACGTATAGTCTTACGTCATTATTATTGAATAATTTTTGTTTTAATAATGTATAGAACATTATATTATTTTCTATGTATGTGTATATACCGATATAATTAATTAATTCGATGCGTTTTTCACATTTTCTATACCGCAGGAATGGGAATTGTTGGTCATTTCTAAACTGGAATGGAGAATCGTGGCGGTCACCAGTTTCGATTACGTGGATCACATTATGGAACAGATCAAATGGAAAAGACGAAACGATTCGATGCTCCGGAGACACATGCTGACGCTCATCTCTTTCTGCTATATTGGTAAGTAAAAAATACCACCGGCGTCGTAACTATTATTATATTTAATTTGTATATCGTTTCAAATGTGAATGTAATACCCTCTTAAAACCCCAAAAAATTAATAACCCCCTATTATAAAATGCACTAAAAAGGAAAAAGGAAAAAAAAAATAAGAATATTCTAATCTCTTTCAAAAATATCTGAAACGAATTTTTAACAAATGCGAGCATCGCACAGCAAGTCTTAGAAAAAAAAAAAAATGTAAAACGCATTGAAATCCCTGCCTTAATGATGAAATATCACGTCGTCTTTAAGTATATATATTTTTATACAATAGATATTTCAAAATTGTTTAAAAATAAGCACTGTTGGACATCGGACTTATTACATACATATGAGTACGTAAAAAATAATGCGTAAATGCCAAAAATCAATAATATTCTCACATAATATACGTATGCAGGTATAATAATGATTTTATTTTTCGAAATTACGCGTTTTGTCAAAGATCAACGACCGATTTTTTTTCACGTATTATTATATAGGCACGACTGTTCGCGCCACGACTAAATAAATATTTAGCCCACATTTGTTTTATTAGTAATTATCACACGTTAACACATAAATTTAAAAAAAAAACCGTGATGATAAGTCACTATATAATATTATTGTTTTGTTATAACAGTTGTTCCCAAAGTGCGCGCGGACTTGATATTATATAACAATATAATATGGATATAGTGAATAGGTTTTTTTCTCTCTTTCCGTTCGAGACCACAAGAAAAAAAAGCCGTCAATAAAAATATATAATATATAGTAAATATTAAAATATACCTATAGTAATTCGTGGAGGTGTCAAAATGTATACAGGTGCAGGATTTATATTGTTTGAGGCTTTTTTCCGTCTGTGTTTTTTTCTCATTTATTTCGGCAATGACGAATTACCCTTCAGAAAATAATATTCAGATATACCTGCCTAGCTATAGTACCTATACGTATAAGTTTAAGTATATATCCACCGAAATATTATAATATAAAACGTAAACACAACGAATACTGCTAGTGATGAACAAAAAACCCAAAAATTAAATTTGGTGTTCTATGATAATACCACTTGACGAACTACGTCGTCGTTGTCGTTTCGCTTTTCCACGGCTATTCACCTCTCGGTCACATTGTATAATGTCAACGCGTTAATTTACATGCGTTTTCGGGTTACAACAAACGACTAAACTCTCGAAAACATTATAAACAATTATATTCATATGCGCGTGTTTGTCGCTAGCAGCAGCGGCGTTAAACTAACTGCATAATATAATATATATATATAAATATATATAGTATAACGATCCAAGGTTACATATGCAGCTATAAGTGAATCGTAGGCTTCGGGCTTTAAATCGAAATGCGAGAGTGGACGAAAAAAAAAGACTGATATTGCTGACGGATATACCACTGTTTTAAAAAGGAAGTTTAGAGGTAGGATACGTAGAAAAACTTAATTTATATCTATATGCACAACGATAAATCATTACTGACGAAAAACGATTAGATGTATTTTAAACAAAAAATGTCTAAGTTTACCTATTTATTAGGAAAACTGCAATGGTCAACTAGATCAAAAATGTTACAAAAAAGGTTTTATAAAGTTTTCGATTGGAGCAAGATTTCAGGTAGGAAACACATTATATTAAAATTGATGCATTCCTAGCTTCGTTCTAAATCTAAAATTTAACCGTTTGGAAAACCATGGTTGTGAATGTAATCGCGCAAAATATTCGCTACTGTAGGCTAACAATTCTCTGGTAAAATAATAATTTGTATGTTAAATGCATCGTTTGTTATCTATATATTTTGTATACCATTTCCTACAACATTAAAATATATATACAAACATACATAGGTTTAGTGGGTATCTACTTAGTTTCTAGAGTGAGTTTTATTGTTTCAATTCTTGTAGTGCGAAAACCGAAAAAAAATGAGGGTTTAAATTCACGGACTTTTTATAGCCTATAGCCTTGACTGATTATACATTATAATATAAAGTATACTTATCGTATGTACATAATTTAAAAGTCTTTACTCTTTTATCGCGCACAAAACCTTGTGTTCACTTTTGCGGGTCGTTTACTCGTTTATATTATAATAACTATAATATACGTTATAGATAATTATTAACTATAATACAATATTTCGAAGTTAGGATTAGGTGTTTTTTTCGCCTAAATTATCGAAGTTATCAAATGTCTCAAATAAAGGTGATAAAATTCGAGATGTTTACGTACTGTAAATAATTAGCTTTTTTCTGCAATTTTCGGTCAACGTATTACTATACATAATATTTTAATGCCCTGTCCAAATTTGTATTTATTCTTCATTGCTGTAGCAAATGATTTGCATTTAAATATAAAGTTCCCGTGTTGGAATTTTTTCAAATTCAATTTTGTGTTCAGTATGCAAAAGGTAAAGGTGTTCAATTTAAATATAACGCGATTTTCATAATCGAACGATCGACCTCTTGTAAAATGAGAGACTTTAATAGTGGTGAACGTCGTTACTCATCGTTGTCATAATGTCTACTAACAACCGTTCGCATATTAAAACCACTGATAATAATAATTCGCATATTTTAATATTGATTATTTCAACGAAGACATATTATTATTATTATATTCTTGATTATAACGAACAATTATACCTCTGTGATGTAATTTTCCAAATGCTAAGTCACCGTATTGATTGGGTTTTAATAATCGAGCATATATACGGATAATATCATTTTAGAAAGCAGTCAATACGTCAAATTTAATATTTTAATTGTTTTATTTCTGAAACAAATCGGAACATTTTATTTTAGAAAACCATGTTTTTGAATGTTGATTTTAGAAAAGTTATATTATATTATTATGTTTTAAAACATAAATGTTTAAGAAAATCCGCGTTTCAAAAAAAAAAAAAATATTATCACCGTGTCTATACATTTTTAAACATATATTTTTAGTAATATTGTAGGTATATTTTTAAAATAAAGCTGGTACTACTGATGAGTGTGCCACTTTTTAAGAAGGACATTACAGGCAGAGAGGATATATAGTGAGTTGTTTAATTTATATCTGAACGCAACGATAAACCATTGCTAATAAAAACTATTTCTGAGCAGAGTATTTTTAGTCGTATGCTTGCTAGGTAACTCAGAAATCAATAAAAGTTGTACAAACAAGTGCTAGTATTTCTAATTTATTAAAAAAACTCGATAGAACATAAAAAAATTTCATCATTAATGCACCGACTAGATTAAAAACTCTACATGAAAGTTCCTATAAAGTTTTTGATAGGATCGAGATTTCTGATAGATAAATTGTTAATATTGACACGAAAACAAAACACATCATAGTAAACCAATATATTCTTTGCTTTCATCGGAATTTAAAAATATTTTTTTTAAAAGCTCAGCTTTCAAAAAAAAAAAAATTCGAAAAGTTTGGTGATGTTACACGCAGTATGGCATATCGCGGAAAATGTTTTTCTTTTATTTAATGCCATTCAATATAATAATAATAGGCACCTATATTTTGAATTTATATTTTTGCCCCTCCCTCCCCTTACACACACACATGAACGGCCGGCGGCGGAAGAGAGTGCAGCGTTATTTCGCAGCTGCTCTGCGCGCTGCACATTGTATACATATAAATAATATTATACGAAGCCATTGTCCGCACACAGGTACTATTCGTACATACTTCTATATGTATGGTACTGTAGGGCTTTTTGAACAATATAAATAAATATAGTAAGAGAGCGAGAGACCTTTTTTAAAAAAAAAGCAGATAGGTAAGGTTTCCCCCCCGTGGTATAGCACGCGCGCTATTATACAGCAATGTGTGTGCGCGCTCCCCCTGCAATCACCCGCCATACTGCGGTACTTTTCACTATAACTACTGGTGGTGGCGGTGTGTTTTGATTTAGTAAATAGCTTCTGGATTTACGCATAAAAAAAAATCGCACTGGAGGGGGTGGGCATCATATACATCTGCCTCGAGAGCCTGGTTTCTATTAACTATACACCGCGGATTTCTATTTATTATACCAAAATATTATAATGAACATATAACATATATAGGTAACCTATGCATTTCATTACGACTTACAATAAGTCGAACAATTCAATTAGAATACGGTTCGTCACCCCACCCTCCACCCCTTGCGTGAATTGCGTTGTGTTCAAACCCAAACAAATTTGGCATTCGATTTGTACGAGTAAATTATTGATTGTCAGATATATAGGTATAATGTACTCTCAATCGGAGTTGCCAGTGTCAAAAGAAACAATATTAATTTTAATATTGACTTTTTTGTTTTGTTTCTCTTAACCTTTCTTTTTCATTCATATTGCTAAAGTAATTCACAAATCAAAAAAAAAAAAAATAATTAGATCTTAATAATCAAACAAACTTTCGCATTTGTAATGTTATGATATTTTAGTGACTGACCTGCTATATGACTAAAATGACGCATATTGTACTCTTACTTCCTATGGTAAAAAAATATCCCCCTTCCTACTTACATGGATATATCTATACCAAAAAATATTTTTCTTTATTTTCTCCGCCCTATAATTTCTGTTTCCACTAAAAATTACCACTTAAAATCATTTAAATTTTGTCACGATAGCCATTTTCCCCTCGCCTCTAAATGAATCTTTGGCTTTATACTTATTATAATAGTCTAGCCGGGACGGTTAAATAAATCGATTTTGTACTTTATCCACGTTTGTCCCGTGATTTTATAATTTTAATTTTGTAAAGAACTCATTCTAGTTACCTTACTTCCGATTTAATGTGCTCATCAATCCCTTTTTCAGCCCCCTGACAAGTTTTTTGATAACTGTTCCATTTTCATGAAAAAAAAAAATATATATATATATTTATGCCCACTAGTTTGAAGACGAGAAATTCGATTATGGTTGTATGAATGTTCTAATATTATTGTACGAGTATCTACTTACATATATAGTTCAATCTTTCAACAGTTGTTATTGACAACTAGGCATTATTATATTTCAATTATTCGTATATAGTTTATATAACAAAACTGTTTAATATTTTCATGCGGGCCAATCTGATGGAAATCACTGAAAACAGAAAATACCCGAGCAATTAAATATTTGGCAACGATAGTATAGAATTAAATTGGTAGAATTGTACGATTTTGTTTTTATACTTAACTGGCTGATGGTCACGTGCAGTGCAGTAGGTACTACTTGTCTATTGTTAAACGATTAAATGTGCGCTGCAGCGTTGTACGTTTCATGGTAAATATAACGTTTCCATCCATCAAAATATATCGAAATTATTTTTGGCCGCTTGTATACGGGCAAAAACGACAATATAAAGGAGACAAACGATAATATTTCAAAAACGATCTCATTACGTGGTGCGGACGGTTCTCTGTGTAGTTTTTTACGCAACAAGGTTAGGAATTATACGAATGTATTTTTGTCTTATTTCGAGTAAGTAGTTAATTTGTTTTGAAAAATGTTCAAGTATAGTATATTTAATATATTAAACAAAAAGTACTAAAATTGACGTATTATTAATATTGACTTATCAATTAAGTCGATTGTCGATTATGTCGATTGGCAAGTATATTTTTACTGCATATACATACCGCATACTTTGCTGGGTTTTTTTTTATTGCAAATGCGTAATGCACATTTTTCGTATATTGATTTTGAGCCCATCTGCATGTTCCAAGTTGTTTTAACTATGACTTAACGCACGTTAATCTCTCTGTTGCTCTCTCGTCTAATATATAGTATAATGATATTGTAATTTATATAATAATAATTACCAATGTAAAAATCTAGCATATTGTGGAATACTTTCTGCATCTGTCGCCAATTATACGTATATATATATATATATGCACTATTAAAACCGTAATAAAATAAAGAAGAGAGAGGAAGAGAAAAAAAACCGAACGATCCACCTGTAATAATTTGTAACACATCGTGTACAAATAGGTTTATTATTCATTAGGGCCGTCGCCGTCGAACAGACAAATGATGACTTTTTTATATATATATAATATAGACGGTGCGGTTATATTGTTGCCAAGGGTAATTTCCTCGGCCTTGGACAGATAATACGCGTTTGATAAGACACGTGCTGGTTGTTGAACCTTGCAGTATAGGTTAAACATAGCCTTGGTACTGTTATTGCGCATATACGTACACACCTCCTATTTTACTATAGCGAATGCACGTGGTCGAACTCAAAAAGAAATTTGTTGTCTATATAGTATCGTACAGATGTGTTGGCGGCGATGACCTCCATTTTAAAAAGCCAACACTCAATTACTACTACTACTACTGCTACTACTACTATTACTACTACTACTACTACTACTATTACTACTACTACTACTACAACTACTACAACTACTATTACTACTTACTACACTTACTATACTCACTACTTCTACTATAATAGACACTAACGGTAGCAGCTGTACTACGGCAGACGGCGCGAGGACTGTGCGGAGGAGAATGCGGGATGTTTTAATGTCTTGTTGATTTTTTTTTTTTTAATTCCGTCGTATAAACTATAGAGGATGTATTTATGAAAAAAAAAAAACAAAACAAAACAAAAGGACAAGGTGCGTTTTGATCGAGATGGAAAGCCTAACTGTGCGACGGTGGTATGATTATTATTATTATTTATTCTCTACAGAATTTCGTCTGATTCGATTGTTGTGTGCAGCGACTACGGGAACCCCTTGACTGGATACAAAAAACTTCCTAAATAAACTTAACCCATTTTTGTACCTAGGTATATAGAGTTCAAACACCTTTCGGTTGACGTATACGCGCAGTTAAAAAAAAACGCGTGTTTTGTACGAAATTTATCGCGCGACAATAACCCATTGTCGCCGCTTCCTATATGTTGTATACGAATATACGATAAAGTTCTCTATGATATTAATATTGTGCAATTACGAAAATAATGAAATCGAGTCAAACTCAGTGTTGTTCGTATTTTAAATTTCCAAAATAAAAAAAAAAGTTTTTAAGTACTTATCCCATGTCTCAATATATATCCTGTATGTTAGCCCAGAAATTCGCGATTTGATCGAAAATATAAAATAAAATAAATAATGTATCGAATTGACTCTAGATATTTTCTACGAACAAAAATTATTTATTTTAGAAATTGGGGTAAAATATATGTATATATTTTTAGCTATGCTTTTCAATTTGGACGTGATTTGTAACGCATGTCGATATATGTTTTTACTATTAAACAGATCTATACACAATAATTGTCGTCAGTCTGATATAAAAAAAATCCCTGTCTCATCGTCGACAGTTGTTGCAGTCCGATCGCTGTAACGGGATTCTATTCATCATTATATAGTTCGCGTCTGTGAAAAGGACAAGGAAACGATTAAACCGATCGCGTAACCGTAAAAAATCTCTATACGCGGTGGCGGATATTTCAATTTTTTTTTTTTTATCTATTTACCCTCAATATGCGATTATTATATATTAGTATATAATATGATAATAGTCGAGTTTTATCGTTTAATAAATCGACGATCTGTATCGGATAGTCACCACGTGTTCCCGTACCAGGTGTATGACAGAGAGAAATTACCGCGCAGCGTCGTCGTATAGGTGTACCTCCAATAGCGCTGCTGACGCTGCTGAGGGAACAAATCCAAACGTTGCAGCTGCCCTCCGACCAGGGGCAGCTGTAATAATGCGCCTGACTTTTTCTTTCTTTTTTTTTTTTTTTTAATATTACTCGTACAAATAAATACAATATATTTATTTTATATATATTTATATATATATATATATATGTATACATTGTCGTAAATGTGTTTCCAACCATTATTTCATCAGGATTAAAACTCGCGTTGCATAGTTATATGTGTAGGTAGCCACCCAAATAATAAGTTTTCCTAGCCGAAATCGATAACGCTTCATTAAATGACGATAATAAATAATAATTAACGATTCGCATCGGCAAACAGGATATAATTATGCCCTTAATATGCACGTGTACGGAGCGTCAAATTATTCCGGATGATTTTTGTTTTTTTGGCCAAAAATAAAAATATCGTTTTCGCATGCATCATCGATATTATATCCGTGTGTCATGTAAACTGCGTTGCTTAGAAAGAGAGAGGTATCGAGAGATTTCTTGTCGCGTCATTGTTAAACAGGGAGAAAGATAGGTTTACTTTGATTCTATTAGATAATAAATTATTAAATTGAAAAAAATAACTGCAGCAAAGGTGCTTGGAAAAAGATTCGGCGTATTAATTGATTTGTTTTTTTGTTTGTGGGTGGTGTAAACGCAGTCCATATCTTTTTAATATTTCGCGTCTATATTACACGCGTGGATATCGTCAAGGTGATGATGGTGTGGTATACCGGGTGTATGCAGTATTTTAGGCGTGACAAAAAAAAAAAATCTCTTACGTGTACGTAATAATAATATGTCAGGCTGGTAGCAAAGAAAAGAGAAAAAACGTCTCAAAGAACACAATGGGTTTATGCGCCATAATACGCCTCTACATCTGTCTCGAGGGAGGAAATCTGTGTTAAATATCCGCGTGGCACGCGACCGTTTGCCTTTCGGACTAGAAAAAAAAAAACTATTTCGTACTCGTATTGTGTCGGCTAAAAATGGGCTTAACGACTCGGTCGGGCTGGGAGCACAATGGGTGAAGGGCGTTTTTGGAAAATATAATAATAATAATGAAATACTACAGTTATACACTACGAAACTCGCGTGTTTAAAACAGCCGACGAACCGTCAGACGGACCAAGCTGCAGCAGCGACAATAGTGTAAAAAATATGTCGTTAAACACATAAGACATATAACAATAATAATGTACAAAAATGAAAAAGGTCGTACAAAAAAGGTTGATACTGCTGATGGGCGTGCCATTGCTTTATTATCGCATGGTAGTTAGAAGAGAGGATATAAAAAGTAATTTAGTTTATATCTGTACACAACGTAAATCACTGCTAACAAAAAACCATTCTGAGCAGAGTATTGTTTTGTTATATTTTTTCCCTTGTTGCTAAGTTAACATAGAAATCCACAAAAATTGTGTAATAAATTTCAATTTTTTCCCATTTGTCAAGAAAACTTCAAGGAAAATAAAAAATTTGAACTCAATGCAATAACGAGATAAAAAAAAAAATGCTACAAGACAATTTTTTTGAAAGTTATTGGTTGGAGCAAGATTTCTGGTAAAAATGTTATTAACAGACACACTAAAAACACATTGTGATAAAACCTATGTACATAGGTTTACTCAGGATTTAAAACAAATCACCTTCGGGCCTTTGTGTATACGAATCGAGTACCTATAAACGCATATTATATTTTGTAATCGATTTCAAAAATGCTTGCAAATCCTTCATTTTTTTTTTTTGAAATTTTTATCAACATTTAAACTAAAGTTAATAATATAATTAAATTGATATGAAAGTTTTGGGGTTCACGGGCAGACTAACGATAATAATTGATTAGTTATACTGTCTCAAAATCTTGATTTTCATTACGTATTCGATTTTTGGAAAAATCGTGCAAATCGTAGTTTTAATAAAGTATTATGCTAAATTATTTTGATTTTAAACGTCGCGCGTCATGAATATTAACATTTTTAAATGATTCGCGCAACTAACTTGCGTCTTATTTATATTTATAGTATTTATAAGTACTAGACAATATTATTTTAAATGATATCTCGTACATGCGTTGGCAAATTTCTTAATGTTTATACACATATATTTTTTTTTAATGTTGAAGGTTTTCATATTATTAAGTTTTTAACAAGTTTTCCCGAGGTTTTTTTTTCATTGAGGTACAGCTCTCGGCTCCCTCATCAAATCCGGCTTTAATGGCAATCGTCCTAATATATAAGGTACTTCTTTTATGTACCTACTGTAAAAATATTATAATATGAGTACTAGAAATAAAACACTGGCATTCAATTTTTACTGGTTATTCCATGAAAATATTGGTGTTTATAATAACTATATTCGAAAACCCGCGGATAATAACGTAGTTCGTATTGAAAATGGTGAGGACTATTATTTAAATAACTCGTTTGAAAAGTGAAAACGGCCAGGTGAACTGTATAGTGTATATGCGGTGGATGCAAAGCAGGTATAATATTTTTATTATTAAACTTAGTTAACTTGGTCAATAACAAAACTGGTTCACTTTTGTTTAATAGTTTTTCTTGATTAAAGCTATTTTTTTTGTATTTATAACGGACGCGTTTATAAATAAATACTGCTGTAAATAACAATATATCATATTATGATCACAACGATGTTGACAAACCGACCACTATAAAATATGCCCTAGGGACGTCATTTAGGGAGTAAAGCAGGGTGTGCACTCGCACACCCTTGCAATTTGCATCCATAATTGGCCTAGGTGTTAATCGATCTTTGGCCGTGGCATTCACGCTTGAACATTAATTTTTGTCTTTTGTTTTAAATTTCCTGGGGAGTAAATAATTGGCCTTGTAAAATATCTGCAACCCTTTACATGAAATTGAAATAGTGCCCTTGATATTATCGTCGTCGTAACAGATTTAAAACGCGAGGCGCAGCCTGTCAGAGAATATTGTATTCTAGCCAAACTTAGAACTTTGATCGATATAATTACCTCTTTAATTTGGCGGCAAAAATGGAGGTCCGTCCGAACTTGCTTTCGCAAGTATCCAAACATGGGGAATTCGGTAAAAAAAATGTATAATGATATATACGAGTATATACTTTGACATAGGTACCTACTAAAATGTAACGTCACCATCTACGTCAATACACACTTACACACACACATCTCGGTCTCGGTGCGCGCCTTTTTGAAGGCCTCCCAGAGATGCTCCTACACATTATCGGTGTAAGTATAAGAGATATGTTAATGTCAATATATATACGCGTATATAAGGTACCTAAGGTACATCGAAATGACGACAACATTACGGAATATTTTATCGACATCGATCGGAGGCAACGACCTCGTAACATTGAGCGTCCGAGTGTGTGTACTTATTATAATTGCGTATTATAAATAGTATAATACGTACTTACAATACTTAAACATATTATAATATGTATACATATAGTAATATTGTACCTGTACTGCAATATTACATTTGCGTTGTATGGGTTTTATGTATGGGTAGTAATAAAATTATTACGTGTTTCCTATGTATATACGATACGTGTGTCCGTTTCCGAGTTAAAAGTCTCGTGTCCCGCTAATACTTATCATTCCACCGCTCCTACTGCACTTCCGGGTGTGTATGAAAATTTAACTATTTAAGTTTCGAACAGTGACGGATTTAGAGGGGGGACGAGAGTAACCCCCCTTTGGCCTAGCGCCTAGGTTAATAAATTAATGACGTGCAATTTATAAGTACTCGTATAATAAAATTGATGATTCATTTATTGTTCGGTGCTGACAATTATATAATATAATAGAATGGTTTTTTTTATAAACGTATTTATTTAATATTATTTTGAAGACTTTGCCCTCCCCCCTCTCATAACAAAAATTCTAGATTTGATTTAGCCCCCTCCCCGTGAAAAAAAAAACAAAAAGTATGTACACTGTAATTAACCAAAAACAAACATTTTTTTCAATCTTAAATGGGTACCAATGAAAAACTATTAGTACCTGAAATAAGTATAATACATTTTTCGGGAAAATGCTAAAATATCGCGTTCCCATGTTTCCGATTTAAACATGATTATCATATTCGTACTTCTTATCCCCCCGCGTCTTAATCTTTTATCGAGTTTGGGAATCTTGTAAAATTCCGGTATTGAATAATTTTTGAAGAAAAAAAATTGTTTATTTTACCCTCAGCCCTTCCTTTTATAATATGCGTTAAATTATACACCAGTTTTATATTTTTTTTTTTGTTTGAGAAGTGTTTTTTAAACTGATTACTTTATCCGGGTGTTTACGCGGGGCGTACCCCGGATTTTTTTTATAACTCTTCCCCGACCGCGACGCCTTGTTTTTTTTTTTTTTTATCGATCGTTAAATTACGTTCCGAGTGTTTAAATATTATATTTATTGTTGTTAACAACTCCCGAGCCGCGTTAGACGATAAAACTATAAAAAAAAAAAACCAAATAAAACAAATAATGATACAATATTATATCATACCCTTTTCTGGCGTGATTATTAGGGTCGCGCTGCAATCACCGGTATATAAGTAACTTACCTACGTATAGACGAAGGAAGAAGACAAAAAAAAATATATAAAATTATTATTATGGCGTTTTTATTGGACGCAAATAACAAGCGCGGAAAGGCGGTAAAATTATCACACGTTATTTTCAACACCTCGTTATATTATTACGGGCTCGCCGTTAAAATATTTAATACGTCTCATTTAATCCTACGACGGTGGCGTTTAAGGGTGGTTCGTATATTATTACTACATGTTTATTGCAGCTTATAACGCGGTTGCTGTTACCGCGGTAACCCCGGCGCAGACACGACCGCTATACCGCTAAATTGTGACACGCAGTATCACGGCGATTGTGACGGGTTCCATAGGTCATGGGTCAAGTCTGTAGGGGTCAACACGACGATAGTTACTATAATACTGTGAAATTTGCTGCCGCGATAGTAGGAAGACTGTTATCGCAATAATTTACTATCGCTGTCGTCACAATCATAATAGTGTTCGCATTACGATTCTAAACGGAAATAGCACGCGTGATACGGTATAACAACATTATTATTAAAAATGTTATCATCAAATTAATTACGTTGATTTGGCCATTTTTCCCGTAAATGATGTCAAATAGTGCGAACACAATTTAAATTGAACACTTGAAAGGTAATCAAACGGTTTGGCGCTCAATTTCCGTTATGGCGATACTGAAAAGTATAAACGGCACTGTCCACATCACGATAGTACTTGTGTGATATAATTATCGCGAATCGTGGTAATATAGCTAAAGTTGCCGCGCATGTATGATAGTATCTATAGCGGCATATTCGGGATAATTTTCTAGGGGAGACATAATACAAAAATCTCTCACTATGACACTATAAGGAAATTCAAATGCAATAGTTTTTTTTTTTTATTTGATTAGGGTTTTTAGATACTGGTTCAAACTTGTTCAGTTATAATCCAAAAAACATTTAACACAATACAAAGTACCTTATTAATTACAGTTTCATTAAACACAGCATAGTGTACTATACTCGCACAATATAACGGTTGTAATTACAGCAACTATCAAGTTTACTTGTCATCGTGAGATTGTTACTTAAGCCTGATAAACACGATGAAAGTTATAACCGTCACAAAAGACAGTGTCCAAGATTATGATAATTGTCTATTATTGTAGAAAACATGATAGTATCCATAAATAGAGTGAGTAAATAATGCCAATAGAATGTTTGTGAATTTAAGATGTTTGAACATGTTTGTGAATGTGTCCCTCCACGACACGTCAATACAATTTAGAACGACAATATCCCGGGACAGTTACTAATAGGTAAAGTGTGATAACAAATTTCACGATAGTATAAAATGATAAAGTTATTATATGGACCACGACGACGATGGCAAGTTTAGTTGTTATATATTAGTAATGAATTGACTGAGTCAATGCGATGTGGACTTTAAGTGCACGTCCGGTCGATAAGATTCAAAAAAATAAACCATTATTATACATAAGTTAATAAAAAATCTGAACAAATAAATGAGAAATTAAAAATATACGTTTCTACAATTATTATGTTTTATAAATATTATACTTTTTTTTTATAGTAATTTTGGATTTAAATGACTGAATAAAAACAAAAACTAAAATAAACTAAACTCTTAATAAATAGACGTACGAGCTAATAAGCTTTGAATAATTGTATAACGTTTGTTGTCGGCATTATATGAAGTAGTACGTGGACAAATTTTTTTTTTTTTTTGTAGTTGTATTATCTCGTTATCGTTACATAATGCGTTATTTTAATATGATCATCGACAAGTATCAAACAGATTTAATTCTCGTTAACGATATATTCGTTTTCAAATAATTTAGATTAATCTTTACGTCGATACTAATTATTATAATACAATACCTACCGAAAGTATTATACGATCTTTTTAATTTGCTTAGTTTTTTTTTTTTTTTTTATACAATATTGGAATACAGTTTATATTTCCTAGGTAGAATCGCGTAGAAAACGTAAAAGAGTTGGACATGTTCATAAAATATAATTAGAAGAATATAACTAAAATTATTTTCAATGCTATAGAAAAAACAAACTGTATTATAATTATCATATATAAACGAATATCTAAGACAAGTTTTGTTTTTATATATTATGTATGTTTACACCCCTATTGTTGATTTTTTTTTTACGTAGGCACCTAAGTATTTTGCCGTCGTATAAAACAAACGACGAGTATATAATAAATTTCCCGTGCTGTGAAACGAATGTCGTTTCATATACGAACGGTCTCGAAATGATTAATTTAAGTATTTCGGGGTAAAGAACGAAAAAAATAAACTAAAAACCGTGTTGCTTATACATAAAAATAAATTTAAAAAAAATGTTTTCATACGGCAAGAGCAGCTGTTGTCCCGCGTAATCTTTTCGAATACCGTATATACGTAGTTAGCGGTTAGCTGGTTACTTTCCTACCTACCCGGAAGGGTTGATGGGTATATATACAGTTTTCTTTTGCGGGTAAACAATAGGCCTATAAAAACCCTCGACATTATCATTTTCACCGATGTCCTGCTGTTCTCGGGGCAAATAAACTCTGTAGGCATGCATATAATATGCCGGTGAATTACAATATCAAAAAAAAAAAAAAAAAAGATCTCTTACCGTTTTTTAATTGTAACGAATGGCCAATAACGGTCTCCGGGGTCTTCCCCGCAATTCGTCATAATAACCGCGACCCAAGAATTTATAATATAGAGACCGGGCGGCTCTGTTGTGTTATTATTGTCCTGCTCGGGATTAGCATAATGTTCCTTAGCGCGTCCTACACCTGAGCCCTCCCCGAGCATTGTGTGTCCTGGAACGAGAACCCCTTGCCGTCACCGTCGGCTGCAAAAGAGCTCCTCTCGCCCCTACTCGTACACCTCTTCTCCAGCTGCGAAGACAACAAAAACTGAAAATCCCATTTTCTTTAGTAGCAGAGCACCGCATGCAAATTAAGTCCGTTAAACCCTATTCGTCAACGGCAGCGGCGACAACAGAAATCCGTTCAAGGCGGAAAGGTCCGCGACCTTTGGAGGGGCCAATCGTTTGTCAAATCAGTCTTGACACGCACTGTTTCCTGCGTCCCAAACATGACTTGCTGGGACGGGCTGCAAACGGGTCGGGCCGGTCTTGATCGGTTATCCGTGCGGGACACTGATCTCGCCTCGTGATGTTACACGCAGATTAAAATATTAATATGATGATTGATTGTCGTCGATTTGTTTACGGCCGTTGGACGCTCTAGTGCCTCGGGATTCCCATGGAAAATTACGGTAATGACCATTATAATGCAGAAGAGGTCGAAATATACGTTTGTGATCTGGCGCGAAACGGGATTTCTGGAGGCCACGGCGGAGTGGCGGTTATACGTAATAAAGGGACAGTACAGTAAACTCTCTCGGGTCGATTTTTGGTTTAAAAAAGGTCACATTTAATATGTAAACTTTCCCAGATTTAGCCGACGTGCATATGTAATCTCTCCCGAATCACCATATTCTGTTTACACGAAGTAAATACATACTATATTATGTAAATTATCCCTGATCATTTTGAACACGTCATATTCTGACGTGGATTCATTGGACTACACTGAGACCAATTTCGTAATGGTCATTGTACCTATACATTTCTGTATCCAACATTATATCATATTCAAACACAGACTATTGAGGATGAAAACTTCGTATTAGAGGACTATACGCGTTTGAGAAAATCCAACATTTCGAATACCTAGGGCCAATAACAATCGCCGGGAATAACTATTGGAACATCGAAATATTATATACCTAGTCATTCGCAATCGCATCCATAAAACAACAAAAAAACATAGTTTGTACTAATTAAATATTTTAATCAAAATTTTCAAGGAATAAATGTACGTCTATATAATATCATTATAGTAAGACCTACATTAAGTTATACGGGTGCGAAGTACGGCCGTTAACAGTATGTATTGGAAGAAAGCTAATAAACGAGAAAGTAACGAGCAAAATTAAAGCTGCTATCGAATGGAAGTCAGCGAAGAAAAGGCAGGAAAAGCGGTATACGGACGGAATACAGCAACATTTAGAAAAGGGTCGGAAGTGACTGCAGAATACCGTAGGAAAAAATCCTGGCCAGTTGGAGGACCGGAGACAGTAGCGGCTGATAAAACTCCAACATAGTTGCGAGGCCGATGATGATCATAAAACCTGCGGGTTCCAACATCAGCTGCCCAGACTAATTTCTTTTCCGTACGTCTTCCTTCCCCGTATCTTCCCATCTTAGCCTCGGCTCTTTTCCCGTGCGGTGCATACTATAGCACCGGTCTCTACACCGATCCTTCAATATACGCCGCATACATGTTCCGTCCACTCGAGTCGCTTCTTGGCGGAATATCATCCGCAACATTCGGTCTACATTCGCAGGATTACCATAACAAAATAATTAATAAACGGTCGAGTTTTTGTACCCTCGGCGATGTATTAAGTACGCGAGACAAATCTTTCGTTGAGTATTACACAAACGAGTTCGAAATAAATACGTTAAACGCCTTCGCCCCCGCGGTCAAAACGCGTGTTCGATGTGTGGTATACATTATACTTGTACGTTACACATATTTTATGTTAATCGGCGGTTTCTCGCGGACAATGCGAACTCGCTGTCGACAATATAACGAGACTCGTCATACCTACGATTCCCGTCGGTTTGTAAACGTATATATTATTGTAATTTTCCGCAACTTGTGTACGATTGCTGCTGCTGCTGCTGCTGCTCGTATACAGATGTACGTACATGTGTCTTTCGGGGGACGTAATAACGTGTATCTCGCCGGTGTGTACAATATTATAATGATGATAACGAAAAAAAAAAACGCCTATTAGTATGGACCCTGAAGACAAAAAGACCGCGGACGTCGTAAAAATAAATCGGTTAAAAAATTCGCGCAACAATTGGATTGTTGTGAAGAGAGAGAGAGAGAGAGAGAGAGAAAAACACGATGCGTACTGTACGCATATACGAGTATGTAGTATAAATGAGGCGGCGGCGGGAATCGGGGAAAAAAAATAACCGTTGTAACAATATACGAGCGTAAAAAGAATAATAATAATAAAAAAAAAAAAAAGAAATAGTATAACAATAATAATTATTGAACACGAACGGCGAGAGAATAGGGGGCTGAGTGGTCCAGACGGTATTTGGTACAGTCGTCTACAAATATAAAGTGTGTACTCCGTATAGTCTGTACAGTATAATAGTGTTATGCAAAATACCACCCCCTCGGCGGCGGCGGCTGAGAAAAAAAAAAAAGTCTCAGACTATATTCATCCTCCGCGACGCGACCGACCACCCTTCGCGTCTATGGTCGACGTATTTTATTGACCGGAGGTCATATCTCGGTGGCAACGCGAAACGCTATACAATACGAATAATATCGCTATGTATAACAATATAGCGGATATTATAATATTTGTTATATATATTATACTCGTGTGTGTGTGTGTGTATATATATACATGCATAGGAGAAGACCGGGAAGACGGGAAGAAGAAATAGTATACGGTAATAACCGGTCCGGAGGCGACGAGACGCGAAGGACCCTCGTCGTTTTCTGCTACTCCTCGCCGTGTCGTGTACCCAGACCCCCTCGCGGGCGCGCGCGCGCGCGCGCGAGCGCGGTCCTCTCCCGGGTCTCCGGCGGCGGCGGCGGTGGCGGCCAGACGTCTGGGACGATGATTACGATTACGCTATTATACCGCGGGATTCGCATCACGGCGCGCGGCGGCTGTACCGTCACCACCGCCACCGCCGCGCCGCCGTCGCCGTCACCGTCGACGCGTCAGACGTGACGGCGGCAGCTGCGCGCCCGTCTATTGTTCTCCGCGGGTTCGCGCGCCATCGCTATTCTAGACGATCCCTTTCCCATCACCTGGCCGCGTGCTCGCGGTACTATACTACTACGACTCGTACTACTACGATTCGTACTACTACTACTACTACTACTACTACTACTACTACTACTACTACTACCGGTACTGTTACGGCTGCGTGTCCCTCGCGCGGTATAAACCAGACGAGAGGAGAACGCCGTCGTCGCCGCCTGTATTGTATCCAGCGGCCGAATAAAAATCGCCGGGAGAATTTCATTGATCCCCCGTCAGCCTGGAACACAGCGTGTAAAATACGCGAAAATAAAAACAATTTCGAAATTCTATCCGAGTCGAGAAGTCGCGTCTGTGTTGAATAATATAATAATTTGGTTCGACGATTGTGATAACGGAGGAATTGTGAGCGCACGTATATAGAATCGGATGAAATTATATTATATTTTGAGGTAGTTTTAAAAGATAGCAGCTATAGGTCTTCGCGGTTTACCGATTATTGAAACTGACCACTGCGACTAATAATTAGAAAATTATACGCATTACCCGTGGAATTAGGTCAAAAGTTTACTATCGTCAATAACTTTAATATAATATATACTCAATCGGTTGGTTTAAATTTCGAATAACTGTGTTGTGTTTCTTGCAAAATCTAGATTTCAAACGTGTTTACAATATTGACGAACTTTACGGTTATTTTTGTTTTGTATTTTAATTTTAATATTATTTATAAAAAAAAAATCAGAAGAAATCAGTATCACTTAGTTATCTATATGCTTGCATTCAATTTAAAAAAATGATCTGATAAAAATAAAAAGATTCATTATTTCTATACATCACGCTCGACTACTTGTTTGAACACTAAGCGTAACTTTTGATGAAAATCGTTTTCAAGCATTTTTGTTCGGCCAGAACAATTTTGTCCACGCATAAGATTATGAAAAAACAAAAAAAAAAAAACCTCAAATATCTATAAATATATGAGATTTCGCCAGACGTTTCAAAAGCAAGTACAAGTATTCTGTGAAAATTATAGGGTTCTACGATTATTTTTGACCTGGTAATAACAAAAAATACTGTATCGAAAATAACGAAACTATTATTGGTGTGAACTTTTCCGGTTTCCCGAATTATTAAGAAAACTGCCAACTAGCCGAATTTGTTTTCAGAAAATGTTCAAGTGTATAAAATAAACCGGAACAAGGTTTTCTTGTAAAAAAGTTGTTAACAGAGAGAAAAAAAGAACATTCCTCGCCACTTTCACTATACTTAAACCACTTAAAAAACTTACGGGATGTCGGGATACATATTATTGGTGTTACTTGGGAACTATTTAATGTTAATATTTCGATGTACATTATGATTATTTAAGATTTCACGCGATTTTCATGTCAGATATATATATATATAATAATTTCGCTATATATGAATTGGACATTATAAATGAATTTCCAATAGAAACGGGGGTTATCCCCTCTCCCGGAAACTTTACTTGTGGATTCCATTGCAGAATATGTCGATTTTTTTATTTTCTATAGGGTGGGAATTATCACGGCCATCATAATAGGCCTGCAAAAGAACAAATAGAAAAATAACCGTTCCTTTTGTTTTTTTTTTTTTGTTTCGCGAAAAACAAAAAATATACTCGTATTTTTTATATTATAAAGATTTTTCGAGCCGCGATTCGAGTGCTCGGCCAATGAGTGCAATAATTGTATTAACTAGTTTTCCTCTCGCCGAACAGTTGGACCGTGAAAAATCGCATATTTATAAGTATAGGTTTTATAGGTGTGCCTGTACCGTATCGTTTTTCGACCCTGCCCGGTACTACACCTATAATCGGTTATAGGTTAGGATTCCCGACTGTTCGTGTATAATGTATTGGTTTCATAACCCTAACCTCATTCCGCCGGGAGGGGGCCACTCCAGACGAACGGGATTATTATTATACTATAGCTATTGCCTATATATTATTATTGGCGCACTCGTCGCGATTCTTTCCCTCCTTCCACCCCGAGAGAAGGACTTTACTACTTTACTACCCCGTTCAACGTTGAAAAAAATCATAACCACAGGCGATAATAAATGCTAATGTCTATGCTAATGCCTATGCTAATGTTACCGCCGCCGCTGTGCCTATCCGAGTGTGGTGTGGTAACCGGTAACGTCTTGCGGTTTTCGCCGATAACCGAAATTTTGCGATCCGACAGCCTTCCCGTCGAGTGCAGACTTCGAGGGGAGCTCTTTTCTTGATTTTTGTTTTTCGATGCACGAATGAACGAACGCACGAGCACTAAAAGAGCAAAACTTATTATTGCGTGTACAGATTGAGACAGCTAAACCCAGTTTTGCTAACAGAAACTAAAACGTAATATAAGAAATTATATAGGTATAGACCAAATTTACCGACTGATATAAGGAAAGGAAATGATTACCGAAAAAAAAATAATACTATTAATGTGGCCTTTCGAATAATATATATTAGTAAGTATTTTAGATTTTCGTACTTTGGAAAAGAAATAGTTGTTATTCAAATTAGATATTTTATTTTTAAAGTAAAAACAGTCGGTGAAAAAATTTCAAATAAAAATTTAACCAAAGATTATAAAGATAATATCGATGAGAGGTGTATATGAAACGATTTTCTTGGACCCCAAAATCCTGCGCATAAATAGACTATTAAAATGTTGACTTATATAAACGATGTTAAAAACCAAACTGGGATAAGGTATGGTCATGTTTGCCTTCCCCTCTTACCGAATGGCTACACTGAGTCCTATAGAAACAAATTATAAACGCATCGCAATTTTCGCTCAAAAACGTTTTATTATGATGAAGGAGAAAAGTAAGGATGTATGGGGTAATTTAATTTATATTTGTACACAACGATAAACTATCGTTTACGAAAAACGATTCTGAGCATAGTATTATTAAAGTCGTATTTTTTCCTTCGTAACCCAAAAATCAATAAAAACGATACAAAAAATTGCTAGTTTTTCACTTTGTTAAGAAAGTCAAGAGGCAAATCGAAAAACTATAATTCCGATGCATCAGTCGGTAGATAAAAATAACGCTATAAGAAAGTTCCTATGTAGAAAAGTCGTTTAAAGTAATAAAAAAATAAAATTATACAAAACCGCATCACAGTAAAATCTATATATATATATATATATCCGTCGCATCGGTCCAAATCTAAAAAAAAAAAAAAAAATACCTAATCGCCTAATAATTATCGTCGATTCGACAAACATCATAAACACCGTATATTATTATACTTTACAACCAATGTATACTGTATTTTACGACGTTTTTTTTTTTTTTATCATCATTGTCATAATTGAACCCCCGGCTAGTAGAAATCATAAACTATATATGAGTAGGTATATATTGTATTTCGACAAAAAATGTTTACAGTTGGTTAAGATTAATTGTTAATCACGCGTTTCGCACGCGAGGAAAATCGTTCAAACATATAAAACCGTTAATTTTTTATACGTATATAAAAGTATTATTTCGTTTGCATGTTTATAAACGGTTTATGCGCAATAATTGCCCGGGTAATAATCAAATAATATTGTTTTCCTCTACGGCCGTCTGAAATACTATATATATATATATATACATTCATATTCGATTACTACACTGGAATTTGTATTATTTTACACAATTGGCCCCCGGGACCCTAAACAGGAGGATTCCCCCGTTTTGAATATTATATTTTATACGTTTCCGCGACGGTTCATTGTAATGTATATGCTGTACGGTACACCTATGGGCTACACAAACCTACCTAATTATTTATACCCATTGACAGGGGGGGCAAAAGGGGCTATACGTGTAAGTGAGTGAGTATATAAGAAGAACCGTAGTTTTTCTAACCTTTTTTTTTTTTTATGTTTGTCAGAGGTGTGCCTTTTTTTCGCCCGTGTATATCCAATAATATTCTCATGATGCAGCAGAAAGAAAAAAGGGTGGGGGACACGCCAGTACCCGTGTATTGTATAAACAATGTACTGGTAATTTTCAATCGCGCGATCGCGGGGTGGTCTCTGGCAGCGCGCCTTTGTGTGAGAGCAAAAAAACGAAAAAAAAAAACGAAAAAAAAAAACTCCCGAGAGTTTTAATTCTAATTAGAAGACGACGAAAAAAAAATAAAAAAAATAGCCATATAACCCAATGGACGGAAAAAAAGACGAATTTTTTTTTCTTTTATATTTTTTTTTTTCGTTTTTTTTACTTTACCCGCGCAAAGGGTGCGATAATTTTCGGATTTCCGTTATCGCGAACGCGCCGCCGTGAGTTCGCGTAACACACAACAATATAATAATAATTTATAATGTCGAAACGAGTTTTTGGCCGTACACCTAACGTACACGCACGCGCACATTATAGCGAACATTATTATTATATTCCCGTTCCATTCATACGGTCTCGGAAATACCAAAGAGTTCGTTATGATTACGGGTCGGGCATTTTAACCGTTTGTTTTTACGCGCGCCTCTGTACGCGCGAGTTCGGGCCGTGCGGGCCGCACGTAAATGCGCGCGGGGGGAAAAGCCCGGCCGCCCCGTCCGTTTGGAGAAACGCCGTTAAACTTGCCGGGTCGCGGACGGTCTGGTCTTCGGGCACGGGCGCAGTGTCGAACAATGTTACAATGTCCAACGGACCGGGAGACGGACAAAAGAAAACGGTGGAGAAAAAAATTAAAAAAAACAACGAAATAACGACAGTGGTGTATAGTGTGAAACGACATTTGGTGAATTCGTTAGAGTCGCTTTTCGCCGGGACGAAAAAAAAAAAATAAAATAAACTGAAATTACAATATTTGTCGAATATCATTACGCGTACGCGGTAGGACAACGACGAGTTTCCTTCTAGTAGTACGACGGCGGCCGGCGTGCAGGAGGTTTTTTTTTTTCGTACGTCTTTTGATACAATCAACCCTACCCGGTGGGTGTTCGTGTCGCCGAACCGTGAAGAAACTAGCGATAAAGCGCGTGCCACGGAAGAAACAATTATCGTTATTATTAAATTGTGTGTTGTATGCACACTGCAGGGCGGACGATGCCGCGGCGGAAAAAGAAAAAACAATTATCGGCGGCCATATGTCGTGTCCGACGGTGGCGACGGGTTTTGTTTTTTTTTTTTCTAATTTCCTCCGTTCCGTCGTCGCGGCGGCGAAACTTATTCGAAACCGTGCTGTCGTTGCGCGGACCGTCCGCGCACTCGCACAATAATACGCGCTCCGGGGTCCGAGCCGGACGAGACGCGGAACCGTACGAAATTCGGAATTACGTCCGCGGGTCATCGCCCCCCCCCACCCCTCCTCCCCGTCACAGGGGGAAAATCGTGCGAAAACCGTCGGACGCGTTTGCGGAACGCAACGAAATACGCGCGCACCGAGACTTTTCGCCCGTGCCATCGCGACGGTATACGTGTTTCCGTACGGATTCCAACAGCGTGTCCGTGGTCCGTGTGCTCTTGGCTAAAACGTTTTTATCCCCCGCCGCCGGTTCGTTTCTATGTCCCCTCGCCCAGAAAAACGGGTTGAACCCTCGGCGGGGCCGTTTTTTCCACGGTTTCGACCGACGGGGATATTATTCGGGAGCGGGGACAGTTTTTTCAACGCAAGGAGTGCCCTGCGGGCGTAGGGCGAACATGCCGGAAATATTTTTCGACGTGATTTTTTTTTTTTTCAGTGACGGTTGATTCGTATTGACCGGACGAACAATAACCGAAAACTGCCGGTTAAAAGAATCGCCTCGTATGTACGCTGTATACTTATACACTCCGGAATTCCGATGTTCATAAATTACGGTTTTTTCGTATTTTTAAACAATATTATGTGTTCACGTTACACCCGTCACACTATTACTACGCCGGTACTGCCCCGGCAACATCAATCGTCGTAAACTTTCCCCTGGCCGACGACTCGTCTAGGAAACGTTTTTTACGACCGCATATTATTATTATAATGTATCCGTATACAAATATAACGTATAATTTTAAGCGTTAAGCGACGACGACAATAGGATCGGATTTGTATTTTTTTTTTTTTTTTAAACAAAACGCCGTAGAGGTCAACCGCGTTCAAACCCAATCTATAATATATTGCACTTGTTAAAGGACACGGGTACCCGACAAATGACGACTCCGTTTTAAAAAAACGTATGCGGGACGTGGTGGATTTGCGGCCACAACTCTGTGTAACTGTTCTTTTTAATAATATAGTAGTGCGAATCGGTCTGTTGTTAAAACTATTAAGGCAACTGCCGTGTACGTTTTTTCTTCGACGTTTTAATTTTTAAGCTTGATGATTTATGATAATACACGTGAAATATCACAATTTAAAAAACCCTCGTATCTCGTTTCAAATTTAAAATACCGTGAAAAACCACCGACGTACGCGCTGGAGATAATGTGTGTGCTCGTCTATATAAGTCCTATAATGGCCCAAATCGCGTTCAATAGTATTAATAAATTGCTAACCAAATATAAGTTATTAAACTAACAGAACAAAGTTGCTGAACGAGTAGCTGAAATTCTCCGTATATGTCGTCACGTTTCTAAGACGGAGACAGCTGTGCGTGCTGCGCAGTGTGCCGTGACGTCCTCTTCGTAAAAATACTCGATCATAACCATTGCGTTTTCAGAAATTTAGCGACAAAAAAAATTGTTATTCTATTTTCTACGCGTGACAAAATATAGTAAATACAACTCCTGAGCTTCCTCTCTTCCACCCCATCCCCTAGTATTTGAGTCGCTAGAAACGGTGGTTTCGAAAAAGGCCTATTTTCGAAGTCCTCGCAATCACATCGGATATAATTGGAGACGCGTACTATATTATAATAAATATGTGCGGGCATTTATGAAAACTGTCGGCGAAAACGTGAAGAACCGTAAGAGATTTTTTCGCCAGACTCGAACTCGGATGTCCATGTAATATTATAACAGTGTCGCATACGCCGCGATTTTTTTTTTTAAGTCTATTCGAAATTACGTGTACATACGTAATAAACGGAACAGCGACAGTGTTGTTGCGGTGTATGTGTGTTTGTGTCATTGGATACCTATGCCCTACAAGTTTCTTTATTTTTTCCATACAAGAGGATGTCTAGAAAAAAAACGCTCGCGCGCGTGCTTATCGCGAAGGCCGGCTGGTCGGTCGATCGGTTTTTATTTATTATTATTATTTTTTTTTTTTTAATGCGTTTTTTACGGGATAACAGTTGTGCCGTTAACCCGGTTGTCGGACGATTCCCGTTTACATTCGGATATAGGATGTTGAGCCATGGCGCGCGCGGAGGCAATTATTATTACGGTTTTTACGGAGAATATATAATAATAATAATAACGTTGAGAAGGTTGAAAAAAAAAACAACAATGCCCAACAGTCGATTTCTACTGATAACGCTGATGTATTTAACATTATATACCTACACCACGCGAGCGTTGTGCAGCTGACGGACACTCGGCGCAATCGGTTTTGCGGCTCGCGACGACAGGTTGGTGGTCCGCACTGCGCTACGGTGTACGTAATAATATGACGTATATAATATTAATTTATTCTTTAATTTATTTATAGGTAGCACTTAAATATATAATGTATGAGAAAAAAAAAAATTACCAAGTGTTTTATATTCGAAACTTCAGTATAGGTGTACTGTAAGTCTAAGACTGCAGCAGTCCGTCATCATAACCAGGGGCTGCAGTCGTGTACGAAACGTGCAACCAGACGATTTCAAAAAAGAAATTAATAATCATATTACTCGAACGGTCACGTCGGAATTGGGTTTGACATTCGACAAGTCCGATTAAAACACACGCAATACATTATCGTTTATCACAAATACCCTACTATTTCCGTTGATCGTGAAAATAAACTCGAAATTCATTTGATCGGTTTTTCGTACTCGTAGATGTTTTTTTTTTTTTTTTTTTTTTGTGTACATCCAAAGGAATTCGAGTTCATAGTGTAACGGTTTTGGACCGTTTCTATACGTACAATATCCGGTTTGTCGGACGCTATTTGTGGTATAGATACCTTAAACAAAATTTATGGAAACACCGCTGGTTTTAGTCAAAAAAAAAAAAAAAAAAAACAGGTAGGTAATCTGTAACAAAAACGGAAAAAAAAAATTACAATTGCAATAATATAATACAATATTACGAGTATACAAAGGGCTGCGAATATGTCAAAGACAGAAATCGTTTTGCAACATAGACTCGTGGATATTGTACTCGAGGCGTATCGCCGTTGAAATCACGAAAACATACTACATTTTCGGGTTTCGGAAAAAAATATAACGATTTTTTTCTTTCGTCCTCTCTATAATGCTCACGCACGAGTAGCAGAAACAACCGTATTCCACTCCTCGCCGCCGAATGCCTTTATCGAGTTTAACGGTCCTTTTATATAATGTATAGAATCGATCTCCCGTGTGGGTTTTCAATGTTTTTTTTTTTTCTCTCGTTCCTTTTTGTTCTATATTTCGCGAGTAATACCTATTATAGGTGTACGTTTACCGATTCTTTTCGGCGGCTGCGTGATAAACGGCCCGAACGCATCGCGTTCGCCGGCAATAATACGTAATTCGCGTACGCCGCGAAAATCGAAGACACCCCATTGGAGGACGCGTATTGTATAACCGACTCCCAATAAATTTAACGGGGGTCGTTTCCTACACGTGTGAGTTTTGGTCGCACTCGTTCCGGATCTTTCCGAGTGGGTCACTCGCGCGTGTGGTTTTCGTGACGAATGTATCTCCTTATTATATTGCCGACAGTCTACAAAATCGTACTCATGATGCGCCTTGTGACTGTGCTCGCGTATAGTTTTTATAATACAAAACGGTGTATATTATTAATAAAAAAAAACGATAAATATGAATAATATTGTATCGAATCGACGGCGGCGGTCCGGCCAATCGGAACAAACCGATTTTTATTGCTTACCCGCCGCGCGTTTTAACGTTATTTCCCCTCCCTCCCCCCCGCCACCCTCCCGTTTATTTCCTATCGATAGATTTTTTTTTTATGACCGGATTTTCGTTCGGAACCGCGCATCGCCTATGTTACTCGCCGACGACAATAATAATAACATAGGTACCGCGACGTCTCGTTAAACGTATGCGTGTAATAATATGGGGTATTTACGATTACGAACCGTCGGTCGCTGTGATATGCGTTATATTATCATGGTGCTTAATGCACAAATTGCATAATACGTTATTATGAATTCGCGGTGCGTGTAGCGCGATGGCGCGGAATTCAACAGTTCCGTTACGCGTCGTAAAATATCGTAGGGAAAAAAAAAAAAAAACGACGCGCGTTGCCGTCCGTCGTCGAATAACCCGCGCTCGTGCGACGCCATTCCGAAAATTTAATACGAAAAATGAACCCGAAATGAAAATCCTTTGAAAATCACGTTGCACTCTGTCCGTGTATGCAGTAGAGAAGCTGTGCATTAGTGTTACTGCGCTACGTGCGTTTGCGTTTTTTGTCCCTTTGGTAAACACTATTTTTCGACTAGTAAAAATGCTCACGCCTTAATAAACGATGTCTGTATGGATTATTCCCGTATGTTATTTTTTTTTTTTTTTCTATAAAATTAATAATAATAATAAAACTAACGACAAATATCGATATTACAATAATATTTTTTCGATTTGTTTGTGCGGCGCATAAACTTCACGGCTAACACTGCTATTATATCATTCCGTTCAGAATCGGTTTTTTTTCGCAATGGTTTATCGTTGCGCAAACCGAGATTGCCTTGTACGTCCTGCCTGTCCGTTTGCGTCCGCCTACAACTGCGGCGACCTACCCGCGAGCAGTATCGAATTTGCGTTTTCCCTCCCTCCCCCCCTCCCCCGTGCTAAATTTTTGACGTACGTTTCGAAAGACCGGCCGTATCCGTTATTATAATATAAGCGGCGAATAAACGTCTCGCGCCGGCCGAAAACTCTGTACTCGGGGCAGCCTGTTATTGCGATCGAATTTACGTATAAATCAAAAACTCGTTTCGTATATTGAATTAAGTCGGCGAGTACTTGCGCTCCGAAAACGGTCTATTATATTGTAGATAAGTGTATGCGGTATGTCTATAGACGGTAGGAGGAGGAGAAGGAGGACGGCGGCGAGAGGGAGTAGGTCTCTATAAACGAATTCAGAGGTTAATCCTTTCCGCGAGGGGATGACCCTATAAACGGACCCGGGGGCGCGATCGAAATCGGTTATACACGTTTCCGAAGGTTTTTTTTTTTTTCGTTTCTCCGTATATATTATTATCTATACGAAACGCAATCGGCACGCACATATAATAGAGAGGTATTACGACGACGGCTCGCGTATCGATTCTTCGCGTCCATTGTAATACATTGCCGTCATCGTTGACTGTGGTGGGCGCACAGCTAACCTCCTCGCGTACACGCAACGCTTTTCACTCGGTACCGCCGTCGTTGCGCAAAGACGCCATGGCTCGTGGCACGTCACTGCAGCCGTCTTCGACCCTCACGCGTCCTCCTCGGCGGGCGAGCACAATACCCCCGAAGATTTTGTCCTTTTGGCGGGCAGGGGGGGGAAGAGGGGATAAAATAAAAAGGAACATCTGCTATTTTCTGTTTTCTCTTCTTTTCTTTTCTTTTTTTTTTTTTTGTCGTACAATATACATTTTCATACAAAAAGAAATCACGATTTTCGTTCGGTTTCGCTAGCGGCGCGTATTGCAGCGGTCTGGCCGTCTCCCCGCGACAAAATAACAACAATAATAAACTGTAGTTTTTGCCAGGTGTCGGCCGGTCGCGCAACACCGATACACGGATATTTTGTTATTATACAGTTATTACACACTGTAGTATAGCACGTTTACATACGCGTGTACTTCCTGGTTCCGGGTGAAAACGAGGATAAAGATCCGGGGGGCCGCCGAAAATCCGTTGGGAGCTTGTGCTTCTCGCGCGTAACGTACCTATGCACGAAACACGGTAACTTTATAGCATCTGGCCGGTGCCTACCACAGGTGGGCCGCGCGTTTTTATCGCGAATATAAAATCGGTTTTGGACCGGTAACGCGGTAACGACGCCGCCGGTGGTTAGCGTGTGTTTTTAGGATAAATTAAAATATCAATATTCGTGTACGCACGTATATGCGGAGAACGCAACGGGTCGACTGTATTATTGTTATTATTACAACATACGTGTCGAAACGCGTAGGCCGTACGCTTGTGTAGAATAAGGGATTCTTCGGTTCGCGTACATGTGCGCGCGTCATACAACAACAACAGCAACAACAATATTGCCGTTATACTATTGTATTGTTGCCGGTTCCGATTTCCAAAGACGACGGTGTGTGGGAAAATCATAAAGTCGTCGTGTCAAAAGGGACCGTACCCACCGTACGACCCATCCACCTTGCATAACGCGTACGATGACTGGGCACGAAAAATACCTCGCGGGACTGGCCGTTGTAGGCGTGTAATATCCACGTGAAAACGCGTCGACGGGCCGGCGCGCGGTCCAAATTGGACGCGTTCACACGGTTCAAACGTGCAGCGCATGAAATTCACACTCGTTGCGCGGTGCGGTCCGTCGGACATTTTACGAGATGACGATTCAATGTGCGACGAGCAAAACGGAAATTCCGACGGTCGTACGGGTGCCCAGTGGTTTTTACCCGGTACCGTTGGCGTAGCCGCGAATCGAAACCGCCGCGACCGTTTGCAAACGCCGCCGCGACAGCTACGCAACGGTGCCGTCGAAATTCGGCCCGGATTTGTCGGTTCGCCGACCAAACGACCCGTAAATCGGCGCCTCGCGCGCGTCTCGTACTGCTCGAAATGCAGAGACATTAAGCGAAAAACGGGTACCCGGGAAGCAAACATACTCGGGAACGAAATCGTCGATTCGTCACCGCCACGGACGCGGGCTACATTAGTATCATAAACAGTATCGCGGCGGAAACAATTCTTTTTTTTTTTCTCCCCGGATTCCCCGTTTTTTTTTTGTTTTGTTTTTTTTTTCGATTATCGCTCAGAGCGCGGTCCACCATTCACTTTGACTCTGCATCAAAAATATTGTCATGGTGTCCGGACGTTATTAATTCTAGACGGTTGGTTTCTCGTCGACATTTTCACATTTTTGCACACCAGTTGTTTGTCGTAAACGCGCGCACTGTTATCAATACACGCTGTGTAGACATCCGAGTCTTCCGGTGAACGAATCGACGACCGTCGAAATGAGACGGAACATCAGACAACTAAACCGGGAGACATTGCCTTTTATTATAATTTACCGTGTGCGGATGCGTGCGAAGGGAGACCGGCGGCCGTATCTAAAAACGACATATTTATTATGTATATTTTAATATCGCGGGGCCAGTGAATCTTGCGCGATTATTAGCGTTTCGTTTTTTTTTTTTTTTTTTTACATCGACGACGGCTATAAAAACACCGCGTGCATAATCCGTACGGTTGAAATGCGTCGGAGGGTACTCCGGAGTGTATATTATTATTATGTATATTACGGCGCTGTGTGTCTAATTTTTTTTTATTTTCACCGAAGTCGTTAGCGGTTGTGTTTTATTGCGGTTTAAACGGGGGGGGATCGAAAAAACCATTGCAAATCACAATTAATCCGTGTTGCTTGTGGCCTACCTTTAAGTTGCACGTATTCCTGTTGCATAATGTAGTGTCGATAACTGTTCGGAATAAGACAATATAGCAATAACCACGGGGACATAATATATGATTGGGACTGCAGTGTATGTTATCTTTTTCTACTCTCGCTCATTCTCTATCTGCTACAAGTTTAATCGGGGTTTTTTATAATAATCGTTATTACCCGTTCATATGTAGCCGCAAAACCGATAACATCGAGTGCGCGAAACTTAAAAACGTCGACAATTTGTATATATTATACACGAGCTATCCGATACAGCGAATACATTTTTCGCCAAGAGAACGCCGATGGCGGAGAGTGCTAGGGGATTTTCGATCGGGGCGTATCCGTCGTCGCGACTTTGTTTTATTGTACACGGTGTTGCGATTGTGTACGAACTTCGGACCCTCGGACCTGGGATAAGTGACGGAGACGTGTCAGACTCCTTGCGTAACCTTGGTCCGTCTACCGCGGCCGCGGATGACAATATTTTATCAGCTGGCAGGTATATACTATACGGCCCGTCATCGTAAAAAAATAACAATACGCCATTGATGTCTTTTTGCGTCATTATTATTATTGTCGTCTTTTGCATCAGCAGCAGACGGCACGACGACGACACCCTGTCCGGCCGTACCACCTGGACGGCCGCCAGCCAACGCGAACTACGGCGTGTAATATACGCGCGCGCACGTACGCACGTGGACGGACAGGCGGGCGGGCAGTCCATTGATCCGCGGCTGCTCCGGCGGCGGACGGACTCTGCGGCGCTGCACCTGTCCCCCGCGATCGTCTTGACGCGGCCGGCGGCGGCGTTGGGCCAATGACCACGGCAGCGCGTGTCCCTCCCCCCCCCGGGGGGGGGGTCGTCGACACTTAGTACTACGCCGTAGTACTGCTATAATAATACACGCGGCGTACCCGGGATTTTTTTTTTTTACTTTTTGAAAGTGAAATATATTGTACGTTTAAAAAACCACGAAATACACTTTCCGTATTTTTACATAATAATTAATACTGCATTTCGGAAGAGGTCATTACAGTCCGTTTATGGGCGTGACTAGAGTTTATCATCTGCAGAGACCTAGGGGACCCCACGCCCGTGTTTTTTTTTTTTTATTTTACAGTCTTGCGTTTAAAAAAGTAAAAAAAAATCCAAATCCAAATGTCATAATTTTTAGCCTGTGTACATTTCACTGAACCAATTTTTTCGGAGAAAACTGTCTACCATGTCTTGGGATTATGAAAAATGTATTGATAATGAATCGGGTTTTCAACAAATATATGGGTTAATTTCAATGTTAACTCATAGTTGTCGATTTCAAATACAGGCTTTATATCGGAAAATATCGGACATCAGTGAAAATTGTTATCGGCCCATCCCTATTAAACAAAGAGTTAACTGCTGTTAACGGTAAACACGGTAGACGACAAAAGGCATAAAGGATAATGTATCGAGTAGTTTAATTTATAATTATTTTATAATAGACGAAATTCTACGCGTCGTCGTTCGTAACACGGTGCGTGTCCGGGAATGTCCTTTGGGGGAGGGGGGAGCGTGATAAATAACAATCACGGGTACACCGTATGTAGAATCTTCTTTTCTAATAATAACCTACTCGATTACATTGGAATGCAGCTATTTTTCAATCTATAAATCAAACTTTTCTCGGTAACTTGTTTGAAACATGTGTATATATTTATATATATACATTTACGAGATTAAATTACAAAAATAATATTCATAGTTGTTGTGGTTGGTGAGGGGGGGATAACACCAATGACCCCCTCCCCCTCGCTTTGCGCGTCGCCGTTGAAAACGTACCTAACGTACCGATCGTATATTACGGGGAATTGGTCGTGTGCGCGTGTACGAGACGTACGAACTTTCTATGTAAATTTCATTCCGGCGCTTCCTCGGACGAACTGCGACAGTAATAATATTATAAGACGAAGGCGTAGCCCGCATATTCCCACAGAGGTAAACGAACGTTTTGATGTGGACGTGCGTGCGGTGACCGAGACCGTGCAATAATAATACTTCCTTATTATAAACGCGTTAACGAGGAATTATAATTGAGAATTGCATTAATGTTGTTGTTGTTGTTGTTGTTGTTGTTATTATTATTATTAGTTATCATTTATCGCGCAATCGAGCAAAACATAACGTGCGCTGTTGTCGTCGCTTCCGTCTACACCGAGAACTTGCTTTGGCGTTCAGTATTATCGTCCGCAGACTTCCGTGATATTATATTATTATGCGAAACGCACTCCCGAGACCTTTAGCGACTATTCTTCTCTTCTCTTTCTTTTGCCAAAGCGCTAGACCGTGCTGCAGTGTATTCACATACTTGCGTTCCTTTCTCTGTCTCTCTCTCTCTCTCTCTCTATCTTTGATACCGGGGTCTTCGTGATGGACGTACACCCGTTACCGTCCCAGCCCCGTCGCGATTATCTTTCGTCGAGAACGTAATATAAGCGAGCGTGTATTTTATTTCGTATTTATAGGTCGTCGTCCGTATAGGTGAACTCGTCCCCGAGAATACTCCGATGACCAATGACGGATTTCTGGGAAAATTCGACGAAAAAGTCGCGTGTAAAATCGGTTAAAACATCCCGGGTCGTCGTATATAAACACGCAAAGGTTGAGAACCGTTGTAATATGTTTCGTCGGGTTTTCCGGTTCGATGTACGCACGGAGATTTACGACGTTTGTTTTTTTTCTTTCTGTACTTCGATCGAGCGTGATGTTGTTACTGCTATGTTATCGTGTTCGTATTTTATACGATTGCGTACCCTTTACGGTCCATTGGTATTCACATAGGTACGCGTCATTCGATTTAATGTATAATATATAAAATATCGCGTCTGGGAAACGTACTGCACGAAAACAATGTAGTAACCCCATTTTCCGTCGAGGGAGACGATACGACGTGCTCATCGTAAAATAATGTATGCATAACGAAAATGACGTTCGATTTTCAAACCGATTCTCCGATATAATAATATGCAGCGGGGTCTCATTTTTCTACTACAACAGACACGGCCGCGGTGTCGAGTTCGTCGAGTAAAAAAAAAAAAAGAAAAAAAAAATTTCTCGAAAACCAAGGTTCGTACGGTGAAATTTAACCAGCGGCATATACAATAATTGTTCGTGTACCTAATATTATTATCATATATTGTACCGTTTCGAGACGTTGTACAAAAGGCGTGTTCGAGGCTGTCGGACGCGGATATCCGCCGTGGGTAGCTGACGAACTCGATGTCATCACCGTGTGGCTTATTATATACTTCCATAATTCCGAAATCCAAAAAAAAAAAAAAGAAAAAAAAAATTTCTCGAAAACCAAGGTTCGTACGGTGAAAATTTTCCAGGACTTTTTTTCCCAACGAATATCCACTACGGCGACTTCTACTTTCCTCTCTATTAGTAGTAAAAAAAGAAAAAAAAAAAGAAAAATGGTCCACGATCCGATCTCAGAATTATCGTTAATAGATTATATCTTTATATCGTATGTTATTATCTATACTCTTGGGTCCATACATCGTCAATATCATTATACGATAATTCCTCTGATATCTCGTATCGCACCGAATAATAACATAATACTTGAACTTTTCGACCCGCATCTATGTGGCAGACGAACTCATTCACGGTCGATCGCTGATACAATAATGTTACAGACTGCTTGTACAGTATTATAGACAAACATATTGATATCGGTAGTTCGATTTTGATTTTTTTTTTTTTTTTTTTTTTTTATTATTGTAGAAAGATAATAATAATAATATGCTCTGACTTTTGAGTTAGCGTTCCGTCAATACATTTTATTTTCGTTTGACGACACGTGTTTTCAATTTCAAAACATGATACAATACACGATTGCGGAAATTTAAACGATAAAAAAAAAAAAGAGAGAGAGAGAGAGAGAAAAACACGTGTTCTGTCATGTACAGAATTCTTCTCTTTTCAAAACCTTTGCCGACCGCCGTACAAAATTATCTTACCAATGTATAATTTCGTATAATTTTATTATAATATACAAAACGATAATAATCGTATTATTATGTGGTCTTTTACGGATTTCACGCGTCCACCCGGCACCGGTCGCGCGCACGTACGGGGCACGCAGGTGTGTTTGCGCAGCGGTCACTGCGGCGCGGCACATTGGCGCTCCGTTCCGCGGCCGCGACCAGTGACGGGGCCGATAGAGTCCTACGATACAGCCTCCCCTACCCTCCTTCCGCCCCCCGCCCGCCCGCCCGCCCGCCACGCTGAATCCGGCCGACCGCGCGTTTGTCCGTCGGGCCGTTTTTACGCTGTTTTACGATTTCAATACGACGTCGTGTTTTGTCATTCGTGCACCCTCGCAACGGTCGTTCCGGAAATCGCCCCGAAATACAAAATTATTTTGTTTTTTTATTTTTCAAGGCCCTCTCCTAGTTGTACACGGAATCTCGACGCCCGCGCGCTCTATAAAATATTTATGTATTATTGTAAATTTCTGCTGCGGCGTTACCGGTGACAAAATAAATAATAATTAATTTTAATGTTGACTCTTTTGTTTGGTTTGTTTCTACTTTTTTTTTTCCCACCCAAAAATGATTAGATTTTCGAACCGAAGGAGCTAATCACCCCGTGTCAGCCACTATTTACGGGTTGAATTCGGTGGAGATAGAAGGGGGGAGGGGTGTAACGCATATTATGTTATTCTTATAATTACGTCACCAAACATGCATGCGTCCGTGCGTCTTGCCGAACGTTCGCATTTATAACATTAGTAGGATTTTAGTACTATTATGTCGTTGTACACTGCACAGTAGCTAACGGGTTTTTTTTTTTTTTTTTTTTTTTTATGTTTAACACAGAACCGGAATTCATTTCGAAAAAACCGTCGGTGATGGCTGCGTCGTGCATGCTGTCCGCCATCCGCGGCATCGACCCGGCAGCCGCGGCCGAGGTGTCCGCGGAGCTGTGCAACCTGCTGGCGTGCTCGGCCGCCGAGGTGGACGAACACGTGACGCTCATCGACGCGCTGGTGGCCAGCACGACGGCCGCGGCGGCCGCCAACACTCCGGAGGCCACCCCGGAAAAATCGGAAAACAATAATCCAAGGACGACGGCGACGGCGACGACGGTTGAGCCGCCGGTCAAGAAACCGTATCAGATGGACTGCGTGCACGGCGGTCTGTGATGCGGACCGGCCCACGACGATGTGGCGATGTGTTGTTGTTTTTTTTTTTTTTTTAAATATATACCTTTATATAAATATATACATATTTATATCTATTGTCATACTATATTATTATGTTTTATTTATATGTGTGTACAGTAATCTGAACAAAACTCCCCTCCGATTAGGTACCGTACAGGCGCACCCCTCCCCCCCTCCCGTGTAAAACCCCGAAAAATGTTACGAAACGTTTTTGGGATTATTTTTTCGCGGGAGTGTGTGTGTGTGTGTGTTACATACGTACTTATACAATTTTTTGTTTTCATTTATTTGTATCATGTGTTTTGCCCACCATTATCCACCCAACACCACCACTCCCCCCGCCACGTCCAAACGTTATTGTATAGAAAACGATTTTTAGTTTTTTTTTTTTTTTTTCTCACTTTATAATATTATTATATCAATACGATTATTTTACTTGTTTTTCTTTTATTATTCATTTTAGTTGATAAGCGTAATGTGTATACTCATTATTATTTTTTTTTTTCCGGTTTTATTTATTATTATTAATTATTACGGTTTTTTTTTTCTTTGGTTTAGTCCACTAAGTGGCGACGGCCAGCGAACGAGAGTATAGTCGCGCGGTCAAATGTTTTCTTCGCCACTCCGACCAAATTTATTATATTTTGTATGACGACGAATATTATTTTGTTACTGCAAATAGCACGGAAAAAAAATACAATAAAATAATAATAACAATAAATATGTGATAAATAGTTTTAGAAAATGTTGTCTACGGGTTTGCATAAACGGTCAACAGGGGCGTGCCGTTACCACGAACGCACGACGGCGACGTAGCAGTTAATTCGCGTTCGCCGGTCCCGATTTTTCGCTTTTCGCTTTTTTGATTTTAAATCGGCCGTGATATTGTAATCGGTCTCAAAGGCGCGAGAACGTGATTGGTGTAAGGTTTGTGTGTTGCGGGTGCGCGGGTTTTATTCGACACTTCCGTGTTTTCCGGCGTACGCGAAACAAGATCACGGATTATATTTAAAAAAAAAAAAAAAACGCTATTTGCGTATCACGTCGTTCAAAAACCGTCGAAACATCGACAGTTGCAGAACGTCAAGCGGACAATTCCCACGCCTCTTGAGTTTCCAGATAATATTGCGGTTGAACGGGAATAATTGATAATAATGTCGCGTCGCCGTGCGTTTGTAAAACGGATACGACGTCACCGGGGTGTCGCTTTCCCGTTTTTTTTTTTTTTTTATAGTAAATAAGCAATTATGTTATAATTATATTTCGGTAAACAATAATAATATTATTTTTTTTTATTATTATTTCCTTAGCGTTTTAAGATTCTTAAATAATATTGTTTATTCTATTTGACATTATTTTTTGTATGATCTCCTGTTTATATTATTATTATTATTATGTAATACGCTGCGGAAAAGTAAAAACCCACCAAAACAACGTCAAATTTCATAAAAAAAAAAAAAAAAAATTGTTCGTTTATTCTCCCACTCGGTTACATAATACATATAATATTTCATTCTACCCGTGTGCACGGATTCAATTCGCAAACTTTGTTTTAATAATATTGTACAAATTACGTTTACGTGTTGTTATGCACGATAATTATTATATTAGTCTGATATATAGTCGGATATCGTATAGATCTCTCGAATACGCACGTGGGCTACAATTTATTGTTGATCGATGATCATATTATAATAATCGCGTAGAAATTATTTGTTTTTTTTTTTTTTTTTCGTTTTAGTATTAGTATTACTTTTTTTTGATTTTCGCTCGTTCACAATTAAAAAATAATAATAATAAAAAAATTAAATATAATTATTCGAGTCAAAAAATAGTATAGTAAAATAATATAATAATTTACGCGTCATAAATGTATTCTTGATCTCCAATAATAAACGTGTATATATATATATATATATATATATATATATATATATATATATATAGACAAATATTATATATTATGGAAATTTAAAAAAAATATATTTAAATATAATTATATTATTATGATTACGCGTAAAAATCTTTGTTTTTTGATTTCATTATAGAAAACGTCAATGGAAATAGGTATGAGCGTTTTTTTGTTTTTGAAAGGTTACAACATATAGCAGTCACTCTGGGCTACTATAATTTCGGAGGTTATGAAAATATGATTTTTGTATTTCTTTTTCTTATGTTCGCTGTAGTTGTATAGGTATTAGTGCGCGATAATCGATGATTCTGGTTTTTTTTTTTTTTTTACTTGTAGCCAACTTATAAAGGGATAACGGGTCAATATATTATAATCGTTCGAATTGCCTCGGTTTTCAACGCATCCATCCTCCGTCACTTAAGTCTATTATTATTATTTTTTTTTTTTTGATTAATTTTTACTGTCATAACTATATTATCAAAACACATGTCCCATCACCAACATTTATATATTAATCATAATAATATCAGTATATAATACCAGTCGCATATTATGTTCTGATGATTTTGTGTATTTTTTTATTATTTTTAATCCTCTACGCGTTCGATTTTTTTTTTTTTGTTTATTTTTATTAATTCTACTAAGGTTCTTTATTAATGAACGGCGCTTGCCTGATTTTATTTATTATTATTATCATTATTATTATTAAAATTAGTTTAATTTGTAATATTCTTGCGAGTAAGCGATCCGTTTGACGGTACAGCACTCGGTACAGCTACAAACCAAATCGAAACGTCCCAATATATTATCCCCAAATATACTCCCACATTTGCATACTTTATCATAAAAGTATAATTGATTTGTTCACTTCGTGTATTTGTATTATACTATCTACCTATGTTATTATTATTATTTTTTTTTTGCTGTTTAACAATTTCTTTCAAAAAATAAATAAAATACTATGTATATTTTTAATAGAATCCAAGAAATAAATTTTAAAAAAATCATATAACATCCTAATACATGTGTTGTTCTTTCCCCGTCAACTTAGACCTGTTTCGGCCTATCGCTAGACGGTTCAGCCGAGAATCGATGATCCGAGGCACTCAGATCATGAAAATAGAATCATCCTGTAAACACTTACACTTATACTGATAATATATCACAAGCATTTCTGAATATGCATATATAACATCTTTAATTGTTACGTAATATTACTTAACACTAAAATATAATAATACATTTTTAGCTGCATCATACTAGTGTTAATATAGTATACAACACACGAAAATTAGAACCTTATGGTGATTTTATGAATAACGACGGTATACTGGTTAAAGGGATTGGATACCGTTATTTTCATGCCTTGTCGAACGCGTACGAAGGCAAAGCGATTTAAACCAATTTTCCGACAATCGGTCCAAACGATAAGAATATTGTGAAAACGGATTTGAATTTATCGTAAAACGTACACTGCGAGATCGTTCGTACCGCCGAAATTGATTCGATGACTAGAATTTATATAAAAAGCGTATTATTTTTTTTGTTTTTATAAACTTTAAATAATTAACTAGAAAAAAGCGGTTTGACCGATCTCACGCACACTTCACACTACGTTCAAATCTGTTTTTTTTCGCAAAATCGATCGTATATTGATTGCCGTGCAAGTTTTGTATAAATTACTATGCCGCCGGGTATGTGTTTGACTAAAAAATAAATTTTCGAACATCTAATCCACTTAAACAGTGATTAATGCGAGTAATCCGAGCGACATTCCCGCGTCGATATAATAATAAATGTAGTGACGATAGCGCCTCGAAACTTTTTACTTTTTTGAAATACTATTATTATTATTTTTTTTTTAATGAAAATATACGACATTCGCCGTCATCGGATCTTATTGGCCGAGCGCTCTATAGTAATGGTATGCAAATTATTCAAGTACTTTACACAAAGCAATAGGTTATTATTTTAATTATTTTAAACAGAATCGAGTGTAAATCATACAATTATTATATTATGCTTAACGAGTTTTACACAGGTCGAACTGATACATAATAATATTATAATATATCCTACCTGTGTGGCTTTAAAGAACACTTGGCGAACATTAAAAACCCCAAAAGAGGACAAATCTCCAGTTGCCAAACACGTGTTTAAATATACATACATATTATTACACGCGTACATGTCTAAACCGTCGTTAACATTATTATAACAAAAGCTGCGTGGTATAGCAGAGGTGTGTTAAAAGGCATAATAAAGAAATACCAAGCGTATTCTATAAACTAAACATTTCGTAAAGGTAAAATTCTTAAAATTAAAATTATCCAACGATCCAACTAGGAAATATTAAAAACATATTTGTAAAAAAAATAAAAACTGTTGCCGACGAAATACGGTTCTGAGCTAAATTCGGTTAAATACATGTCATGGAATACCGTGGTTATTACTACTTACGATAAAATTATCCTACTTACACATCAATACTATATTACGCTCATTTTTGTTAAATATAAAACTTATAACGAACCTATTTACAATTCCAATTCAATTTTGAACTTAAAAAGCTCATACAATTTTCAACATTTCGGTCAACTTTCTTTTTGATCATTAATTACGCTTTATTATAAATTTCGTGTTAAATTTTCAAGCAAGTCCGCAAAAATGTTATCTCATGAAACTCAAATAGAAAAATGTCTATAAATAACTCGGAAATTGTACGAATGTTTTGAACATTTTGGTTCCCGTCGTTTTTCCCGAATCGAATTTCCCGAATGTCCTTTTTCCCGAAGGTCGTTTTTTTCGAATATTATATTCCCGTTTTTTTTATTAATTGTTTTCGCCCGAATATCGTTTTTCCCAAATGGTGCATTTCCTTTCCCGAATAATAATAATTCTGTTTTTACTTAATAATAGTTAATTAGATATAATTAAAGTTTTAAAATTGAAGTATAAATATAAAGTTAAATGTTGGAAGAAAAAATAATAAAAATACGAAAACTATTTACATAAAAGTCTGTCGAAAAAAAAAAATAAAATAGCAGCAGCAGTTCAATGTAAAACAAACTAAATTTTCATTTGTTTTTCTGCCATATTCGGAAATATATTATTCGGAAAATAAACTAGTCGGAAAATACACAAGTCGGGCCAGAGGGTTCGTGAAATATGGTTTCGGGAGTTGAATCCTATGTTCCACATGCTCAAAAAATGCACAAAACACTATAATAATTATTTATTATTATAGTTATTAATATTATTATTTATTATTATTACACTATAACTAATAATTTATACAACTTCCAAATTTCGTTTTCAATCGTCCCAGTTGACGCTATCAACCATTCTCAGATTTATTTTTTATCGCGATAGAATTCTAATCCTGTCTATCTGCTGTGCGCCATTCGATCGAAAATTATAATTATTTCGAAAGCTCTTTTCGGTCAAATTTCGCGTACTATATTTAAAAATAATATTATTATGATAATATTACATTATATATTATAATTATATTACATTATCTTTATACGCTGCAGATAAGTAAACCGACGAAAGAACCGACTCTGTCACAATATCATTTTTTTTTTTTTTTTATATATATATATATATGTATAAAATGTGGTATAGATAAGATAACGCCTGTATATGGTACCGAATTGTATGAAATTCTCGTCATATTTCTGTACGCACACATCCATAACACATATGCGTTACACGGTCCCGTCATAAACTAATTATGAGACCGGGCCACCGGGGAACTGAAATAAAACTACTACACTACACCGGAATGTCAGTTAAGAATATTATTGTACCACGGTTGTTTATAATAAGTCGGAGACTGGCAATTTCACTACTACTGCAGTGTACGAAATTGTATTTAATCAATGCGACCACTTCCTATATACAACGAACCAATGTCATTATGGAAATCGGACGTCGTCTACGATTACCGTCTCGTTACCCAGAGCTTATCATCTCTGGGTAACGAGCATCATCGGTGTATTTATTGAAATGAAACTGCGATGAATACGAGGCACGGAATTGAATCAAGTATGTAGGAATAGGTAACTACGTGAAAATTGCTAGTGTTTTGAAAATAACGCCACGTCTAAAAAGTGTTAATTAACGGTGGTAGTTTCCGTTTTTTCAGCTCTCTACGATTATTTTTCACTCAATAACAATAAAAAAAAAAAAAAAACAAAATCACAATTACGACGAATCATTTTGTTTTCCCGATTTTTCCTCATTATTAAAAAAAAAACTGTAAAGAAAATGAAAAATGAACTTGACGCACAAACTGTACACGATTTTCTGCCAGGATTCTCCCGTGAAGATGATGATCGAAGCGAAATTTTTGGTAGGTATAGTAAAGTTGTTAACTGAAATAAAATAAAAAAAGCATATCAAAGTCAATAACCAATACATTTATCGCGTGTATTTTTCTGAATTCGTAAATGCCCTTCCCACGTCCCGTTTCAGATTCTTCCCAGATCCGCGCCCGCCGAGGGCACCCCAGCAACCGTTTTGTAGTTCGATTTATGGAATTTTTCGATTATTATTTCGTGTACACGGAAGGGACGATCGGACGGGAAGTCCGAAAAGATTAGGGATATTATAATATCGAGGTAGCTGTGTGTCGATAATTATAGGGGTCACGGCATTGGTACACTCGTATATAATAAATATTGGGCGACGTGTTGCGCCCAAGACCGAGGAGCCCGAGTACGGAGGACCATGTGAACCGGATACACCGACAATTATGGGACCTTTCGTACTTATATATTATTATGTTTATTTTGTGTGTGTGTGTGTGTGTGTGTGTGTGTGTGTGTGTGCTGTATGGGTATTGGGTATACGCAGTGCGTTCCGATATATATCGTACGGAATAATATATATAATTTACAATACTCCCGAAAAAATTCCTTTTGTCGCACACATACATGCCCTCGTACGGGCGCAGGTATAATTGCACGTTATTATACGATATTCGGAGGTGGATGGAAAAAAAAAAAAGTAAATAAAAAATTGTACCCCCGAAAAAAACACGAGTTTTCCGTCATTATCGTTAGATCATCGCGGCGGATAATGTTATATTATGTTTTTCGCCGCTTTGCATCACGCTGCAGGTAGTATACCTAACCTATATACTATTATGATATTATTATTATTATTATTATACACAATATAAGGGTACCGTGTCTCGCCTCATTTGTCCCGGAATAAATGATAATATTGTGGTCGTGTAGCTTTTGAATAATTTTCGTTTATTCCTAAAATTACGAATAGAATAGATGGAAATTATTAGTCTGGACTGGCTGCAGCATATTGTATATTATATCTATTATTATACAGATTTTTTTTTCCCGTTACTTTTGGTGTACTGAAGTACATACCAAATACAAATGACGTAAAAACTGAACTCGCAAAATTAAAATGTTTATAAATAGCTCAAAAATGACGCAAATATTTTGAAAATTTTACCGCGTCAAGAAAAATCAAATATATATTTTCATCGGTCCAAATTTCAAGTTTTTACGATTATTTTTAACTGAATTACATTAGCAAAAACCAAATTTAAAATAATTATTTTCGTAAATTTTAGTATTAATTCTAGTACAATCTTAGCTTTCAGAAAAGTTAATTTACAAAAAAATCGGACAAAAAGAACAGAAAAAAAAAAAAAAAAAAAATGGCATTGTAAAACCAATAGCTCTCTCGCTACGCTTGGAATCTAAAAGGCCATATTTACGATGTAGTTAAAGCTTAAAGAATGAAACAAGTAAAATATAGCTTTGCAACCTTTGACTTTTGAAGAACACATAAATGATAAATGAGCCCTGGAAATAAATTAGATACCTACCTTCCTGTACTGGATTTATATTACTGGGACCTATACACAGAAGCGTACCTGGGATTTTTCAAGGTGAACTAAACTAAACAAATTTTACTGGAAAAAAAATTGTTTTGTAAAATACAATCATTTGTACTTATTTGAATAAGTAATGAAAATATGCAATGTTTATTAATTTATTTTAATTGTTTTCAATGTCTAATAGTTTATATTTCATTTTTTTTTTTATTGAACACTTCAATTGGGGAAGGCGTCCTGAAGCCCTCTTAGTCCCCCTGGATATGCCACTATTTATACGGGCTGCATATAAACATTCCGCATTGCACAAAATAAAATCGTTCGTTCGTTATAGGCTACACCCGATATGCATGTATCGATAATACGTGCATTATCAATTATTCGCAATTACTCCGATTGCGGGCTTATATAAAGCAGAACGGAAAATGAAAAAACACGTTGGGTAGGTCAAGGAGGAAAAATACATTTAAAAAATTAATGTAAAATCTCTCTAAAAATGTGTACCTTTTGTGATAGGCGGAATCGAGCCTAATTTCATCGATCAAATAAAAACAGCGGTAATCCACACTAAGACACCGTCACCAAAGTTTAGAGATTTTATCCGTAAGATTATATTCAATGTTATGTCACTTGCACACAGAGTGGTAAATATCAAGTAACCGGGTTTCGTTTCGAATACAGAATGGTTATTATACTTATTATCTTATAATATGCACGCGTCAGTGTATTTATATTTGGAATAATGGCCATTGATAAAACGACGAGTGTATTGCCGCGATTTTTGTTATGTTGTGTTTTAATTTTAATGTTTTCCCCGTTTATACAACGGGAGGATTTCCTTTTCAAACGATTTTCAGCCGAATTTATTTTTAAAGAAAAAAAAATACATGTTAATTCTATGAGGAAAGAATTTTAAATAGCCGGTGTAGTATATAATATACATCTACAATTTTATTACGTAATTATAATGACCATTGGATACAGAAACCAGCATAAAAATGGAAAAACCTCGCAGATAACGTTTATTTTAAAACTCGGTTCCGAGTCGCATCGTACTTCACGATCCATCCACTCGTCAACCATACGTAGTTCGTACTGGCGTACGGTGCTGCCACAGTTTTGCGCACCGATCGGTTTGTGCATATTGCATAACTGTTTTACGTGAGGCGCAATAATACGTCCGTGACATAGTTTTAGGCATTCACGGGGGCGGAGGAGGGACACGGGGGGGATAGATATCCCATGGATTTTTTTTTTTTTTTCCACCAACGACAAATAACGGGCATTGAAGTATTTTAGTTTCTGAATAAACTGAGTAAAACCGTAGGAAAACCGGGAAAATCGGTACAATATTAAACAAATATTACTAAAAAAACATCTATAATGCCTATTTCATTAGTTTACCATCATATGACAAATATATTGTTGTCAAAGCACCATTATCAACTGAACTCCGCTCATAAGCGTTTTTTCGTTACCAATAATTTATCGTTGCATACAGATATACGTTAAACTCCTATCTATAGTATCCTACCTTCCCTACTTTCCACCTACAACAGTGACTGCACCCACGTGCGAAGTATATCCGTCTTTTTTATATTGTTATTTCACAAATCGTCACTAATCATTATTAATTGTTATCATTTTTTTTCCGAATGTTAGGCGAACTGATATTTGATATCCAGTAACAACTTATATTTAAAAAAAAAGAACTAATTGAAACTGGTTAATTGAAAAATAAAAAACACTTAATTATGCTTATTTTAGAGAATAAAATTATAGATATTATGTGCATTATTTTTCTTAATATTATGAAATGCATAAAATTATCTCAATGAATTAACATTACTATATAGCACTTCATAAAAAAATAGATGTTCATCCTGATAAAGTCCTTGATACCATGGCACAAACGTAAAAAAACGTAGATGAAGATATTGGAATATGTAATGTGTATTAAAATTCAATGTGTACTTATTATATTGTTATTGTGGGGGCATACAATTAATTTGTGTATCCTCCTTGATAAAAATTGCTAAGAACATCATTGATTCTATGTACGCCGAAGGATAAAAATATTTTTAAATTGTTTTTTTTTTTAAACAGCACCCAGAAATTCTTATTGAACAATTTATTATAACGATTAGATACAAAAAAAAAAAAATAATAAAAATTTAGTTTTATTTGTGGGAAATGGCAATGGTTGCACCTAAGCATCTAAACACGATCCGTTACCGGCATACATACTATATTACTATAAAGATCGTAGGTATTACTTATAAATACTATATTATTTATAATCAATGGTACTATACCTAAACGACATAACTGAAACATTAAACGTCTTGGTAAGCTACCCGCAGGTATATGTAAATATAATTTATAACCGTGGGATTTTATTACATTTATAGGTACATTTTTTTCGTGTTATACGTACAATTTAGTAAACATGGATCTGGTAGGAATATGTAAGTATATCGTATATGTCGGTGTAGGTTAAGTTAGACTACTATAAGGTAGTTCAATTAATCGCTGCGAAACGGCGTGGTTCGCGTAAACCCTTCAATACTATACACCCAGTACCTGTATGCTGTATAATTATGTAAAAAACATATTTTATTTATTATGGTGGAGTTTACTCGTGTGAAAATCGACGTGACAACGAATTAATAACGAAAATGACGACACAGATACGTATAATATAGGCGTAGTACCTATAATATAATATTGTATTGTGTATGTGTTAGTAATATATATTGTATGTGTGCAGGGACCCCACGGTTAAAACTAATTTAAATTACAGGTTTCCAAAAAAATATTGTCACGATCCGATGGGTTTGTATACACACTTATCTTGTGGTTTTTAATTTTTTTTTTTTTTTGTGGGGATATTCGGCCGGCGCCGCGGCATTCAAAATACAACCATCCGAATCTATTCGTACGTGTCAATATTTTTACGGTTGATATAATTTATAAGTAATATAGGAATATTATAAGGAGTATTATAGTGTTACAGAAATAGTAATTATGTATAACCCATAGAGTTTTCCACGAAGATATGCTCATTTAAATATCTCCTAAGATAATAAAGATAATTAGATTATGTTTTTTTTTTTATATTACTCGTAGAGATAAGGACTACAAATATTTATATTTCAATTCATTTTTTATGTTTTGATAAAAAAACTTAGAGAAAATAACTTTTTATTTTATTATTTTTGAAAAATTTGAAGATATAAGATATATATTTGAAGCAAATATAAGTTTTCTGTTACAATTTCAAGTCTACAAATTTTTTCAACTGAATCGCATAAAAAAAAACAAAATTTAAAATAATAAAAGAATTATTTTTGTAAATGTTATCTTTGTTTTTACGTTTTATGTATTTTTTGGTTTTATTCAATTATTACAAAAACTACCCGGAAAATTACAAAAAAGGCCTAGTTTGATCATCAACTAGATTAAATATTCAACAAAAAGGATTTCCTGTTGTTTTTCTATTGGAGCAATATTTCTGGTAGAAAACAGAAATCTTAACAATTTTAAATAATGAAATCGTTGTGGCGTATTTTGAAAAAATCGTATATTTCGTTTTTTGATTTTTCCTAATTATATTTTATTATGAAGAACTTAAGGAGACCGAAAATTGTCCAAATCTACATATAGTGCAGAAGATCTATAAACTATAATATATAAGGTGCCTAGAGCAGAAGCCTAAAGCGGTCTAAAATCTGTAGGTATACAGTAAGTATTGGTATTAATTCAGTTTAAGACCGTAAAATCGCATGGAAATCATCATTGTTTTTTTCCGGGTATTTTCCAATTGTATAATGACAACAACCCAGGAAATCAAATAATGTCTTCCTCAGTGCGCCAATTATATTCAAAATTCTACAAAGAAATAAATCTTCTTTTATTTGTTTAAATCAGAGTAACATTTCCAGTAAAACAGTTGTTAAAAAACAGAAAAAATGATTAAAAAATATTCTAAAGAAAGCACACGTCATAGTTAAATCACCATGTTCCTCGCTCCGCTCAGAATCGAATATAATACCTATATAATTATATTAATGCATTATTATTAATTAATAATTACATATTGAATTAACGACTAATAACCGTTGTAGTATTTCGTTTAGCTGACAAATATTATTATATTTTTCGATTTGCACTTCGAGTAAATAGATGGGTACAAAATAATTATTTATTAATATTCGCATAATATAAACTGTATTGTAAACTCCGACGGGATATCGAATAATAATTTTTGGCCCGAAGGTGTTTATGCTGTTGTTATTACTTATTATAGAAGTCCTATAGTAATTGTATCCGGTAGCGAGTATATTATTATTATTTTTTTTTTTTGTTTATTCATTTCGGACCGTCCGAAGTCGCCTCGGGCATCCGACGAAGGTATGCCCTCCTCGAAAATCATTCACGCCGAATCGGCGGGGGGGGGACTAGTTTCTACAAAATGATTATTATTCCGTATACGATAATGCAATCGCTAAATATATGTATACATATTTTTTTTTTTTACGATATATTGGTGAAATTGTGCAATTCTCGAGGTGCATTGATTATTCCCGCGGTGTTTTGATGTAGTAAATTGAGAATAAACCAGATTAACGAATATACCTCGTGCAGCGCTATACAAACACCGTGAATCGAACCCAAACCGTGAAATACAAATTGGGACGTTTGGACGTTCAAACTCCCTCCCCTATAAATGTAAGGTTCTATTTATGATTATAGTTAAATATAATATACATACAGATTACATAGTTGGTCATGGATATAACAGCGTCAAAATAGACGTGTTTTTTTCTACGCGTACGATGTATTTTCAAAAAACAATGAATTTGAATATTAAATGATTTTTCACTGGAGACACTGGAGATACTCTCTTTATTCGAGGCGAATAACGATATGCTGTTGATATTAGTGATTCAGCACAGGTTCACCTCAACGGTTTTGTGAACAAGCAAAACTGCCGCTATTATGCCTAAAAAAACTGTCTACTTATGGAATTTTTGATATAGCTTGCCATTAGGGAATCGATAGTAGATTTTCGTTTGACACCCAAAAATAAGGGTAAAATAAAAAATGGCAATGCAATATTTTAGAGATACTTATTTCTTGAATCGTTAAAAAAAAAAAATCCAATACACTCTTTATACTAAAATACTAGATTATGATACCCATATAAGTAAACAATTTCAAATATTCGTTCATATTATCGCACGTAACACATAATTCGCGTCGTTAATAAATATTTCACTGGTTAATCAATTTGTCCTCTTGCAAGTATAAATAGGTCCCTATTTACTCTCATATAGAGTCGTAAGTCTAGTTTTGTTTATATAATATCTGTGGTCACGAAAAAATAATTGATAATATTAATGTTTATAATAACCAGAAAGAAATAATAATAATAATAAACCTATAATAATTTATTTTAAAAAATATAATTATTTTTTACTACTTAATAATTCAATTCAGTTTTAGAAATGGAAAACAAAACATATGATTTGGATACTATTAAAAATATTATTATACGGTGCGTATACGACTTTATAATAATGTATATATCAACCCGAATATTATCGGTCTGATGATTTCCTAGGAAACTACGTGTAAACACTATAAAATATTCGAGTGTTATTTCAAGAAAAAAATCAAAAGATTTGTCATGGCTGAGAGCAATCTACTGACTAACAACCATTTATGCATTTTATGTTGACTAAATAAATTATTTTAGGAGATATTCAAACATGTAACTTGTATACTAAATTCTGTGTGAAAAAATCGATATTTTTTTTCACGAAAACAAAATTGAAATTATAATTGAGAGGCTGGGTGCAAAAAGGGTATTTTCTAGAAATACGTATTTTGAGGTAAACGAAGTTTAAGTTTCAAATGTGTGGTACTCTTTTAGATCTGCTCACATGGTTATAAAATTTGTCTCACATGAAAAATCGAATCCTTAAGAAAATAATTATTTTTCTTTATGTCCACTAAGTTTTAAATAAATGAGATATTTGGACATGAAAATGCCCTTCTTGCATTAAACAGTAATTATCTATTCTATTTTAGTTTAAATAATTAAAATGAAAGTGCCTTTAATTTAAAAAATTAAAGTGAAAATGACTTTCTTGCACCCAACCCCTCAATTATTAAACAACCATATTACACTTTATTAATACAATACCCGCGTGTGTTTTTGAAAACGATAGTGCAATCAAGCTACTCTCAGTTTATAAATAATAAAAAAAACCTATTACACCTATAATTGTTATATCGTGCAATAATATTTTTATTCAGACTATATTAATTGATAATTTGAGATAAAGAAATAAATGTATATGTACTTAGTACCCTTTTATTGTAATCTTTCACCAACACTAGATAACAAAAGACTTTATTATAAATAATAGATTCATTGATCATTACTAATAATTAATGACGCTTAAACCAGCACGGTCTGTTAAATATTGTTCTAATTTTTTATCTAATTAAGCATTTGAGAACATAATATCATAAATTAATAAAATTGATTACATTATTATAGAAGCCGAATGTAAAACATTTATGCACAAAGATAGCTGCAATCGAAAATATTTAATTAATTAAAATAATAAATGTATCTATCGGTAATTGCATTATTTTTATCGACGATGGGTAAAAAATAATAGCCGACACATAGTAAATAGGTATACGTATTATTATTTTTCAAATTTAATGAGCGGTTGTTCGTATGTACCGTTTCATAATAATGTATTACAATTTATATCGCTTAATAATGCGGTTTTCAATGAATATCTGCCGCGTATTCACTCTCCTACCCTTTTAAAAAAGCTCCACGAACGGACAGACCAAACGTTCTCTTTTGGACTTTTCTCAATAACTCCTGTCCCTAACAGTCAGAGTGTTAATTCCTATATAAAATAAAATATTTTTTAACAAAATCTACAAATTCAATAATTTACCATTTGTTTCTTGTGTGCAGTAACCAAATTTGTATTCAATGGGCTTTAATGTGTGTTCATTTGGACACAGACCTCTTTATAAAAAAAGCATTGTTGCTTATAACTAACCAATAGCAAGCGCGTATTTAGGATCAATTTTCAAGGGGAGGGGGGAGTTGAACCTTTAAGCCCCCCCTGCATATGAGCTTGCCCAATAGTAACAATTCGAGATGAGATACATAATTTTATTGTACTTAATAGCAGATAGTATAGTTTGAAAATTGAATCCCTCTTCAAAATTTTACCCAAGAATTAAAAAAATAATAATAATGCGTTTTGTATTTAAATCCGATTAGTCTTCATTATATTGTTAAAAAAGACGGACATACTAATCGCACCACGGGTAGCCCATTATGTTGTAATAGGACAAAAACTTGTAGGGAAAATATATTGTATAATACTATAAAAGTAACAATAAACCGTGCAATTAAAAAACGATTCTTAGTGTAACTCGATAATCTCGGTAAGATTATTTGGAATTAGTTGTGGTTTTCACTTATATAAAAAAAGCCAAAGTAACACAGAAACACTGTAATTACTAACAACATAATTACTCGTATCTTTTGAAGTATACGATGTAAACAATTCGGAACATGTTACTAACCGAAAAAGTATTTATCTAGAATAAAACCACATTTCATTAGTTAAACTAATATTATTATTCAGACTTCAAAATAAAATAAAATAAAACAAAAAACATACAGAATTGAACACAATTAAATCATTAAAATTTTGAATATAAAAAAGCTAATTAAAAAGAACCACAACATTTAACATTTAACATTAACATTAATATTTAATACATATTACTACAACTACAATGCTTAATATTTTTTTCTTATCATCGAACACAACTTATGATCAACCTCGTTTTAAATTTTCAAACGTTTTGGGTCATTTAAGCTAAAAGAATGGAGTCACATAAACTTAAATAAAAACTAAAAAGCTCTAAAATGTTAAATGTCTGTAAATAGCTTAAATTTTATTTGAAAATTTCAAGTTTGCGATAATTTTTAACCAAATTTCAAAAAAAATAAAATTGAAAATAACAAAAGATTGTGCTATAAATATTCCCGTTTCCTACGTTTTTCCCGGTTTATTTCAACTACAAGGAAGCACATTCACAATGTATTAAATTGAACAAAATTTGCTACCAAAAACAACTTTTAATAGTTTCAATGATCGGAATAAGATTTCTGGTAGTAAAGTTGTTAACAGACAGAAGAAATTAAAAAAACTCTAAAATTCAAAATCTAAAAAATGTACTTGACAATTGAAAATATTCATTCTTCAACATTGCAGCAGACGTACCTATATTATATACGAATACTGATTACCTAAACATAATACTTATATTCGTCTACGCGTTTAATTTTTTTTTTAACAAATTCCATACAGTTTATTAAAAAAAAAATTATGATAAAAAGCCGACGGAAAAATTATGTACAGTTATTGATATCAAACACACATTCGTTTTAATATCAGATTACGTTTTAAAATATTTCTCATACACTTAGTTTCAAATACAAACATAATATTACATTACTTATCTAATATTATAGTCTCGTTTAACGGCGGGTTTATCTCTGTATAGTATTAATATCTATAGGTTCGTCAGTACGTGATTAACGATGGATAAGCAATATTAGCGCTATTATATCTCGACCTGTCAAAAATATTGTCCAATCTTACACTGTGTAAATAATATTTTGTAGGACTTACTCGTAATAATATAATTTAAAACTACGTTTTAAATTCTGAGCGAAGCTAGGTATGTGTTTATTTTAGTATGCTATTAATTGATGTGTGATGAGTTTTCGTTTTTGATTTTCTGTATCTTGCCCCAACACTTTATAGGAACTTTCTTGTAACATTTTCAAATTAGTAGGTGCATTGAGAAGATGTTTTTTTTAAATAGTTTGTATTATCTCAGTTGGGTTACCTTGGCAAGAACGGGAAGTACGACTAATAATACTGTGCTCAGTATCGTTTTTCGTTAACAATTTTTTACCTTTGCTTACAACTATACATTTAGGGAGATCGAATTCAACAAATTCAACGGAATTATAATACAATAATTGTTTTATTTTCAATTAAATAATTTAAAAAAATATACATATAAAAAAATAATTATTCAAACGTTATTGCTAATTAGCTAAGCGGAAATAAAATGTATCAATAAATACATTTTAATATAATATAGTGTATTATTTATTTTAATCAGGTTTAAAGTCCACAGAAGTGATGGGAAAATCGACGTATAGGTAAATATAATAAGAGCGTTATATATTGGAATGGTTGCTAGCCGGATGGTAGTGACCCGAGTGATCGTCGTGGTGCGTATGGTTGTGACCCGAGTGATCGTCGTGGTGCGTATGGTTGTGACCCGAGTGTGATTCTTGGCTGTGGCCCGGATGGTTCTCGTGGCTGGTATGGCCACCGTGTTGATCGTCGTGATGATGATGATGGTTTTCTTCAACACTGTGTTCGCCTTCACCTTCGTGGTGCGGGAACGAATTGACGGCCATCATGCATTGTTGTACCACGATCATGGTAACGAAAAGCAAAAACATCTACAACGTCGCGATAAAAAAAAAAGTAGACAAATTATTATATTTTTTTAATAATAATATCGTATTTAAGTGAAGTGCGATGACTTTAGAATTATTATTTTGTTAATATTTTATAGTAAGGTAATATTTCAAAAAGCGAGTGTGACAAGAATTGTGTATTTGATCAGAGACGCAATTTTAATATACAGGCACGTGCCTACAGCGGCAAATTTTAAAACGGCATTTTTTGTTGTTATTGGCAAACAGAACACGGTCAAATGGTTAATTCGATAAGAAAAAAATGTCCCAAGTTAAGAAGTGTTCGTCTATGTGATGTTTTAAATCAAAATAATAAATTAACTAATTATTAATTATTAACTAAATTAACTAAGTTAATTAATTATTTATTTGTTATACTTATAATATATATGTGTATACAGCAGTGTTATCCGTTGGCCAACACCATCAATATTCAATGTTTTGTTTTAATCGGGTCTTATGAGAGGGGGACACATATGTACAGAAAAATATAATTTTTATTTTCATCCCTTAACACTGACGAAAAATACATTTTTGTTTGTTTACTTTTAAACATTTTCAATAAAAAAAAACCCCAGTTTGTAAAATATATTATTTTAAAAATGTTAACTTAAATATTCAGTCAACAGTTTTTTAATGATATCCATTTTTAATTTTTAATTTCTAGAAAATCGATATGAAAACAATTTATTTTCAATAGAATAACACGTTACGCGATAAGGAATCACAATCAACACGGTAATTCTTTATCTTCTGTAGAATATTAATTGTGCATGTCTATTTTGTTTACATTCATGTCCATATAACTAAGAAACTATTGATCGTATACGAATGTATATTACATTAATTTTTTTAGAATAATATCTTTCACATAACTGCTATTTTGGAAATTTTAAAAAGTGATACAATAAAAAAAATGAGTTGTTTTTTTTCAGTGATTAAGGAATGAAAATAAAAATTTTGTTTGTCTTTATGTTCCCCTCTTACAAAACCTGATTGACAAAAAAAAAAGAATATTGACAGAGTTATTATATAGTCGGTTGAAAACACTGTAGGACACCTGTATATATATATATTATATAAAACAAAATTAAAATAAACACCAAAAATGAAGGTACTTCATGGTACTTCAAGGTACTTATGCTTGCTCTTCTTCCAAGATTTATTTTCGTGGTTTGTTTATCATCAATAATTTACGAGTTTAATTTTTTAAATTATTTTTATTAGAATTAAGTTATAGTATATATGATTAATATAAACTTTTGATTCGAAAAAGTTTAAAGTTTAGATTTTTCACAACACATAACTCACGCAGACATTTATTATTTGCATTGCAATCTGACTGCGATTTGACGGTACCTATTTAAAACGATAAAGTCGCGGTAAAACGATTTCCAATTTGTTTTGTTATGTCGGCTTATTAAAAAAAAAAAAAAAAATACTCAAATAAATTACTAAATTAAAATAATATTCACTCGTTTTCATTAACATTTTTATTTCAAATAAATAAATATTAAAAAAGGGTCGGGCGCAGTACGAATGTACAATTTAAATATTATTACTTACCGAATATTTCATGGTTTATGTTGATTTTTGTAAAAGAAAAAGAAAATTTAATAATCGGCGACTGGTGTGCAGTTGCAGATACTTTTGATTCTTCGTGGAACGAACTGTAAAAAACAATATCGAATCGGCTATATATAAACGGACGCCGTTTGAAGCGATAAAGAAATATTACACATATTTTTTTTTTTATCTTTACCCAGTAATGACGTTGCTTAAAAAAATGTATTTAAAATTACACGTGTGTACACCAAATATATTATTATTCCCACCTTACTCACACGGATACATACGTAATTTCATATAAAATATAATAAGTAGGTGGTGGCGGATATTCATTTCTACTGAGGTCAGAATAATTGTTATATAAGTATATTCTTTATAAATCTACATTAATTTATATTCCGGCAAAAAGTATATGATAGATATTCACGGAGATTTTATGAAGCCAAAAAATATCCTGTATTCATATCATTCTAAATACGGTAAAAAAAAATTGTCTAAATAAATAATATTACAATCTGGTTTAAATTCCTAATAATTAATATTATGTATTATTTTTTAAAAGTATAATTGCATTAAGCTATTATACATTATACGCACTACACAGTATATATAAAATATAATAACACATAAAGTATTACATTTATATTCGTTAAACTCACTATACAAATAATGACGAAAATGTGCTAGAGATGGTTTAGACTTACAGAGAAGTGATGCTGAAGAAAAATGGACAGAGTAAAGGTTCCCTCTCAAAATATACCGTAAATCAAAATTCCCATGGTCGAAATATCCCACGTTCAAAATTTCCCCACTTAAGCGACATATAAACTCCTAAAGATGTTTGTAAACGCAACAAAAGTTTTCGAGTGTTTTTTATTTTACGCAATGCGCGTTTAGAGGAAAATAAAATAAAATAAATTAAAAAAAGACAAATTATGGTCAAGATTCACAATTCGCGTTACTGGCTGTTGAATGTAACAGTAGCTGCTAGCTATAAGTGTACAGCTCTATATTGCGGAATATTTCGAATAAAGGATATTTTGAGGGTATCTATACCGAGAGTAAAATAGATAAAAAAAAAAAAAAAAATACAAATACAGAAATATTGTAAATAGAGCAAAAGAAAATGGGTCAAGATGAACCGAGACGTTGGTATATTTGCTAGTCAAACTTCGATATTTATTTATTATTTTTATTGTAATACCAAACGGTTATCGGATGTTAATGAGAGGAATTATTTGGAAGTCCAGGGTTGTGTTTTATCAATGATAACAAATATTCTTATATTTTAATATACATAGGCATAAATATAGACAGATGATGACAAAATCGCATTACAACTACTGATATTTAAACATGGTATACCGGGTGATTCTTTTATTGGTAAAAATTCCTTATTTGTTATTACATTTTTTCACAATCTGTTTTACAGAAAATTTAAGAAACAAGCGGCTCTGACCATATGATTAGATATTTACATATAATATACTAAACCATATGTAACTAAAGGTTGTAACTAAATATAATGTTCTTATATCTTTGAATGGTAAAATCTCACGCACCTAGTTGTTTTATTATGTATATCAACTTTCTCTACTTGCTTGAAATCTATGTTATCTGTTTTCCCATTTCATATTGAAACATGTTTCGATACCAAGATAGTTATAGTTCTTAACAACAAGAACCGATTTATAGTGACATAGCCCTAATCGTTTGCAATATTATTATTTCCATTGATTTTCATGTTATGTATAACAGGTAATGATGTATGCTTGGACAAAGAGTGAAATAAAATGGCCGACTTGTCGACATTTAGAAATAAAGTATTTTCGCTCAATTAGTTTTCAATCAATTTTAAATTAGCGTCAATATTTCTAAAAACTTCGTTCCAAGTACAACCAATACAGATCATCAGTAAATCAGTATCATCCGCGTGACATATTATATGACCAATAAAATAAAATAATTGTGTATCGTTTAATAGTATATTGAATATAATTATAGAATGCGTTGTACCTTGTGGTACAACACGTTTTATTATTTGTTTTTCAGAAATGGTAATTTTTATTTTTACCATTTGTTTTTTATTATTCAAGTAAGATTCAAGGAAACATAAAACAGATATGGCTTCTTATCGTAATAATAATTTATTGTTGAGCTAATTAAAAACATGATTCTACATGCCCAACGACGTATTTAAGATTTCACCAAGGCGATATTGAATTTTAAAATGTTGTCATATTATTATAAAACTAAATATATCGATAACCTTTGTTTTTTGCTCCTGAAAAAGTTGCATTTGGTTTATACATTCCTATGTTTCCAAGCGGACCGGATATGTAGGTATTAGTTTAATTTATTAATTTTTTCTATATTACTTAAATATTATTCGTTCTTACTGTATATTTTCGGTGTACTTACATCTGAATCGACAGTCGATTTTATCGCTTCAACGGCACAAAGTCGAATAATTTAATATTATGTAAACACCATAAATCGACGTACTATTGTATTTAAGAACTTAATAAGCATATTACATTGTGAGCGTTCATTGATAATTTTTACGAAACTACGTAAATAACATTATTAAATAATGGAAACAAAGTACCTATACATATTACAACACCACTAATAGCAATACTAAGTATGCAGCATAAGCATACGTATATATTTTTTGTAAATTATATAGGTACTTTAATACTTATTCGATATTATATTATAGTCGGTGTCATTTATTAACGCCTAAAATTTATTATATAATAACAAAAAAAAGAGCTGGTATGAAGATATGGAGATGGAAGCGGCCACTGTTATAGGTGAGAAGTTGGAAGGTAGGATACATAAGGTTATTTCATTTATATCTGTAAGTAACGATAAATCGTTGCTTGATGAAAGACGATTCCGAGCGCAGTTCGGTAATTCATAATTCTTGCGATTTTCGTTTAAATTTGATTTCAAAACGCTAAAAGAAAAAAAAAAAATTCGTTCGATGATTTTGGATATTTGATCACGTCTAGGTAAGTCCAATATAAGTATTAATACAAGTTTCAAGTCTCCACGTGTACCTATAACCGAATTACAGCAAAAAAAACTCCTAAAAATTAAAATTCCTTAAAAGTTCAAAAGTGGCTCAAAAGTTTTGGCGATGATACCGTTAAAAATTAAATCAAAAAGACAACAAAAAAGGTGTCTAGTAATTTTTCGATTAAACCATTTTATCTGGTAGAAAACGTCATCCGTGTTTTTATAAAATAATGAAATTGTGATATTGTACATTTTCCTAAGTTTTTAACATTTAAATGCTTTTATTTAAAAAATGACGTTGAAAACCAAAAAATTACCTGTTTAAAGTACCATTTAAACAACTTGAGCTTTCAGAAAAATTGCAACACGTAAAAATCGGAGCAAGTTTACTAGGAAAATCGTGTCCACAGACACATAGAACAAAGAACATAGAAAGAAAAAATAAACATCTTAGTAAAATCAATAACTCACTCGCTACGCTCGGAATCCAAAATAATAATAATAATACATTGTAATAGTTGACAATAACATGGGTAAAAAAATGTGGGTAGTTATCAGAATTACACAGATTTTTCCGGCTTAAAACCAGGAAATATTCTATCATCATAATTTTGTACAGTTTTTCGGGATAAAGAAAAACCCGAATGATAAATGGTTTGTGTGCCAACATACATTTTAATATTTACCCAATATTAATACTTGATGACCCGGAACAATTTTTCAAATTTAAATTTATGTGAACATTTTTAAATCAATAGGTAAATTGTGATTTTTTTTTCTATCAAAAATGTCGTTAAAACCGCTTAATACGTACGTACGTAAGTCATGTTCCCAAGGGGTTTAAGGGGTTAGTGTACTTATAAAATGAAATGGTAATGCGATCGACTCTTAAAAGTAAGACTAAGTACTATTATATAATATTATTAAACTTGTAATTGTTTTTGTTCAAATTATCCTATAATAAAATTATAATTGTCCATTTTAATATTACTAAAATTGATTGAAAAATTGGCATTCGGCGAGTTTAAGCTGTGATATTTTTGTATAGCTAATAAATTGTACAGTTCTAAATTGGCAATTAGTCGGAAGAGGAAAACTTAATCTTTAAAATCGTCCTTTATTTATTGATTTCGGTTAAGTGTATATAGAGAAAAGAGGATTGCCACGAAAGCTCGCCCTTTAGAATTGATTGCTCTACGATTTGTGTACAATTCCTGTTCGAAATAAAATTCGAGGTAATAATAATACGAGGTGCGCATGTATGTAAATATAAAACAGCCGCCTAAATGGCCATCGATGTTATCGATCGGATAACAGGGTTGGAACCACCCACGACCCGTCATTGTCTTTGTATATACTGTCATATTGTATACATTATTTTATTATTATTATGTATCCTGTATATTACATTAAGCTATTATATTACGCGGTTACGTAATAAACAAAATCGATTTTTACATTACGTCATTCTTTACTACACGGAGTGCAAGCCCGTTTACCCAAAGTCCCACTTACGGATACCGCAGTCGCCGACGACGGTGGTTGGAAAAAACAGTGAGTTTATAACAATAATATCGCAAAGCGTATAATTTTTTATCGTCTCTATGTTTGTTCCATCGGTTTAATTGATTTATATTTTATACAGTGAGTCAGTGCGTAATCGTCCTATCATATTATATGCAGGTGTGTACCTCCCAGACTTCAAAGTTCAAAGTTCAGCGTGTAAACCGTGAATCACCTTTTATTCAAATAAACTTTATAAAAATTGAGTATGTATCTTTGACGAACTTTGAACTTTATGTAGGTCGTTCAATTTAATTTATATTTAAAATTTAATATTAATAATTTGGAAAAATAAAAAATTACTATCAAAATTATAGGTACTATTTCTTTCGAACTAAACAGAGAAAAAATTAAAACAATGCATTCCTCACTACGCTCAGAATCTTAAACCCAAACTAATATTTGTATGGTATTTGTTTATATTTGGTTGTATGTATGGATGTATGTATGGGTGATAAACCATATTATTACGCGTAACACAAATCAGTGATTCCTGATTTGTAAATATTGTAGCCATATAGATTACAACATAATGGATAGGGCATGTTAGCTTATTAATGAAGAAGTAATGATAAAATTGAGGTTGTATTGGGTACATTATAGAGCCTTGCATGGGTCGACAAAAGTGGATCCGATCCGACCTATAGGAATTCGAAGTTTGTCCGATCCAATTCAATGCGACACGAAAACTTAATATTTCGGCCCAACTCGAAAAAGTTACAATTTCATCCGACCCGATAATAATACAAATTAATCAGGATAGTAAAATAAATATATACCTAAGTATTCTGTTAAAATTTCAAATCTCTAAGATTATTTCAAACAAATTTATGAAAAATAAACAAAATCCAAAACAATGATGAAACCATAAATGACATAAACTTTCTCGTATTTGCTTCGTTTTTCTTTTTTTGCAGGTTTTTAAAATTAAAATTGGTTGGAAAATTAAAATACAACTTTCTCATTCACCAAATAAATTAAAATAGAAATAAAAAAGATAACTTTTCGTTTTTTGATTAGAGCTTTCTAGTACCTATAAAAGTTGTACACAAACAGAAAAAAAATCACAAAGTAAAACCAATATATTCCAAATATAAAATGAACAAAGAATATAATAATCGTATGGTTGAATGGTTGGCTGGAATTAGATGATTTTTTTTGTTTTATATGCAATGGTTTTGATAATAATTACTGGAAAACTCAAGAGACAAAATTATAGGAAAAACAGACAAATATTTACGGTATTCACGGTTTTATTATTTTAAATTTATACGTTTTTTTTCCCATCAGAAATTGTATTTTTTAACTTCCAAGTTCTGATAGGGATTTAAGAATATATATTCAAGGGCACCAGGAGGTGAAAATTCAGAGGAACAGTATTAATTTGTATTAATAATCAAACACTTTCATTAATGTATATTTTCAAAAAAATTTAAAGGTATTATAATATAATATTAAATTTTACACCTATAGTATCTAATTGAACACAAATTGCAATTTTATTTTATTCTTCAACAACTTTTTTTTGCTAAATTAGGTCCTTCGACTTTTTTTCTATTTATGTACATAATCCAAATAAACGATTCTCACACATTAGATGACCGTAAGTCATCTAACACACACAGAAAATATCACAACACAAAACCACAAAAAATATCCACACATAATCGACTGTAGTAATTGATATCAACTTTAAATCATAGGACATAAATTACGTATTATATTAATATCGGTGTTTTTATCACGTCTATGAAATTACCCTCCTTCAGTTAAATCGTTTCAAGCAAATAGTAAATTAAAACCCTTTGTAAATAGAATATTCAAAAATTATTTTTCTAAAGGTTTAAGAAGATTTAAGAAGGGGGGCTGCCATCGAAACATAAAAAAGTTTCTCACGGTGATAGGTTAACTTACAAATTTCGGGAATAAACTTACATTTATTTACATTTAAGAACTAATAGTTTATAATTTGTCAAGCACAATTTGGCAGTGGTGAGGAGTCCTACTCCTACACATGCGTGTTTTTACCTCTAAAATTCTAAAACCAATTTTAAAGACTTTTGCGTTTATTTTACATTGATACATTGTTTAGATATTTAGAAAGACAGACAGGAAAAATGGCATTTGATCGGTCTCTTAACGACTTTACATAATATGCTACCTACTCTATTTTTTTTTTTGTTTCTTTTAATTTTTTTTTAACAGGATTTGAAATACATTTGTATACAATACAATATATGTTTATAAAATAATAATTTCTTGCTAATTTGTATCTATATACTCGTATACAAGTCGTGGCGTCAAATCGATGTATGTAAATGCAAAAGTTAATATTTCGAAATCTTCGACTTATAAATTAAGAAAAAACTTGTTTTTTCGACGCTTGAATGATTTATTATAATATTCTTAATCTCTACAATAACGTTCAAAACTAATAATGCCGACTTAAAGCAAGTTTAACTACGTTGCATTAGGAGTGTACCTAACGCGCTTTATACGTGCGTGCGAAGCCACAATAAGTATAACAATTATTATTACATCCAATTATGCCTTTTTTTTTGCCTCACCATATTATGAGCCCAAGTATTCCCCGTAGTATCAATGTATGTGCCACGCGTTTACGGTGCGTTTGTAACAATACTATGAAAGCGTATTTGTCGAAGAAAAAATTATCTTCATTGAAAACGCGGTTCGCCTCTAAGGTGAAAGCGGCCGTCGGACGGTATAAGAAGTGCCGATATTGGTTGTCACAGGGCCTGCGGAGAATCGCGAAACGCCGGGATAAGACCGCGGATGACGTCGGTGGAGGCGGTGGCCGGATAACAAAGATCGACGACATATTCGGTGAATTGGACAGGGACAGGGACTCGTTAGTGGAAAAGTTGAATTCCGGACAAGAGCTATACCCCAATTGTGACACTTCGATATGGCTGAGGTGCTGTACGCAGGAGATCCCTAGTCCCATTCAAGGCGTGGTACAAGGTAACGATAAACGTCCAGTCACGTGATAAAGTATAAAAAAAAATGAGCTGATACTGGGGTCGGGCGTGCCACTGTTGTTGGTGGGAAGTTGGAAAAGTTAAGATACATAAATTTACTTACATAATTTATATCTGTAAACAACAATAAACCATTGCTAATGAGAAACGTTTCGGAACGAATTTCGGTTAAACGTATTTTGAAATACTGTAATATTTACGATTTTTGTTAAAATTAAATATTAAAATTCTTATTATGTATTTGCCATTTTTATGATAAATTTTTTCTGGTTTTTCCCAATTATTATTAAAAAATTCCATAATAAATCAAAATTTGATCTTCCCAGTGTACCAATTAAATAAAATTTAATTTCAGAAAAAGTGCTACACTTAGTACATCAGAGCGAGATTACTGTTAGAAAAGATGCTCACAGAAATAAGAAAGAAAAAACACTCATCATGGTAAAACCAATAGATCCTGATGAAAACTGATGATGATGGGAGTATAGTTTGTTTTACGAGAGATGGTACTGCGCGGCGGACGAAAACTCATCGTTTCTCCCCATTACAGCACGAAACGGCTACGGGCCACCAGTTAGACTCGAGTATATAGTGTCACAGCAGTGATTTATGGTCCCTAATATTATGCTCATCAATTTTTATACTCATCATTTTTTAAATATACTTTTTAGTTTATGTATAACAATCTTATTCTTGGAACAGGGGGAATACCCGGATGGTTAACGGGTTCGTTATTGAGAAACGGTCCGGGGAGCACGAAAGTGGGAAACCACGAATTTAAACACATATTCGACAGTTCCGCTTTACTGCATAGGTATACAAATTTTAATTTGTAAATATTACAATAAATATAAGTGTGTAACAATATTTATTTATTAAGGTTTGCGTTTAACAATGGAACGGTATCATATCAGTGTAGATTTTTGGAATCTAACACGTACAAACAAAATAAAGCTGCTCAGAGAATTGTCATCAGTGAATTTGGGACTCGGGCCTGTCCAGATCCTTGTAAAACGATTTTCCATAGGTACGTAGAGCTACGAATATATTTATATATATTTTATTTTAGAGTTCTTTTCAATTCTTTCAATTCGAGCACTACATATTATAAAATAATTGTTTATCTTTATTCTTTATGTACTGGGTTGGACTAGATTACCGGTATACTGAAAAACCTCCCGATAAACCACGATAAAAACAAGTTAGTTAAATCTGTTAAGGTCAGGTGGAAAGTGAATAACTGAAGCAAATTACTAATACACCGAGATATGGTTAAATTATTCTGTTAATCTATAATATATATCGTTCAAGGTGCCTTTAATAAGCCGTCAGGGATTATAAGTTATGGTAGGTACCTGTTATAGGCTATTAATTGACCGTAATAAGTCGTAAATGAGCACGCTTTAAATAGAAAGTATTGTGGATAGACAGTGATAAACTGAAATGGGACAGCTTTTCATAAGGTAGTCTAACCCGGTAATTATGTATGTATATTATATACACTTATGCAAGTACGTGGTTTTATTGACTATGTTTACACGTGTTACAAAATATAATTTCCCAATGTATAATTGACCTATTATAATAATCATTCAATAGTTATTAATAAGTCACGTCATTAGCACGAAAAAAAAAACTTTGGTTTGAAAGTATAACGAATATTTTCGTGATAAAATTTTATCATTACATTAATTGATTGATAAATTAACTGCATGGTATTTAATATCATATAATAATATAATAATGTGTTACGGAGTGTGTTTGACTCCTGAATGTTTCTAAATGGACTCGGATATTCTATAGTACAATACCTATACTGGGGCTTCTTTCAAAATCTCATCTGGTTATCCAATTGGTTGTTTAACTACTGATTTTTTTTCTTTTCATTATTAGATTAAATCATAGTCGTTTAACTGACTATAATTATAATTTATAGGTAAATTCAAATATCGCAGTTGAAATTAAGAAATATATACAAATTTTGAATTGAATACAAAGTCTATATAGAACTCAAATTCAAAAATTTGCCCAATCATAAATAAATTACCCAGCTAAACAGTTTGATTTTTCAGAATTTCTAATGTATTCAATTGGGGAGAAGATCAATCGGACAACGCGATGATATCCATTTACCCGATCGGCGATGAATATTATACGTTAACCGAGTATCCAATAATGACCAGAATTGATCCCGTAACTCTGGAGACGCTTCAAACAGTGAATATAAATATTATTATTTGGTAGATAATCGATCCGTGATATGATAATATTATATTATGGTTTTAAATTATATAAATTCACAACTGTAAGACACGACGTCCGACCCATTCCCACAGCTGCCACAGTGCCACAAACTATAGAATTAGTTGTAGATTTAGAATTTATATTATAACTTAATTATAAATCTTGAATCTACGATGTATTATTACTATATCACTTTACACTTAAAATTATCGCTACCTACCTATTTTAACTTTCTTGATGTTCACATTTACGGGGGTAAAATTGTATAGGTAGGTATCTACCTGATAATTTGGGAGAAATATGCATGTGAAATATTTATTAATTAAATTCGGAATTGTGTATCAATTATAAATAGATGACAGCACAATATTATTATGCTTGTCAATAGGTTTCAATATAGGTATAATTTCTAATTTAATATAAATCGTATTATTATATATAATCGTTTTTCTTCTTCGTTTATCCGAAACAAGTAACATCAGCCAATCATAGTCTCACCATCTAAATCTTCCAATCCACCACCATTATAAGTTCTGCATTTACACTTCACATGCCCCTAGGTCTCTTTTCTTACCAAGCGGCTATTTATCCTCTACCTCTGCCATGCTCTATCTATATACATTATGCACATAAAAAATAATAGCGTAGTTTCAAGTTGATTTCCATATGGGACATTATACATTATATACTATTAGTTGAAATATCCGGTATTTCTCAAGCTCAATCATTTTAAAAACAGAAGTCAATGAAAGAGAATTCATAAATCAACAAAATAAATTTAATTTTCATTCCAAACATACCAAAAACACTGTGGCTGACCACACTTTAGAGGTTGAATTTCGAGATAAAAAGCAAACAGCGATCTTCATCATTGTTGGAATGTCAATTGGGTAAAGTTTTATCAAGATCGGAATAAACCAGCTATAGACTTGTATAACGGACAGAATTTTAATTGTATACATAAGGTATTGCTGTTATAATTTGTATTTATTTGTCTAAGTATAATAAGTAAATATATATATATATATATTTTAAATTATTATATTATGTTAATGTGTACTTAATTTGAGTAACGACATTTGCGTTCCAATCAGATGGATTTGACTCACCAGACTGGTATTGTACACCATACGGCTCACCCTCACGTGGCAGCCGACGGGGCTGTTTTCAACCTGGCGACGGTACCAAAACTTGACGGTCCACATTATTGCGTGGTCAATTTTCCGCGATTCGATCCAGGTATACAGTCGGCAAAATCATAAAAAATTCCGACGTGGATTACAATTTAATTATAATATTCAAGGGATTTTAATCGATGGCCCCTAGAAATCCACTTATAGATGGACACCCCCAGAATTTACATAAAATACCTATGTGAAATTTCCCGATTGTTGATATTCTATAAGTACTATAAACACAATTCGTTTTCAAAAATTAAAAATATTTTTTTTTATAATTTCCGTACAATTTTCCCTAAAAATACTGACTATAATAATACAGATATACCAATATAACTTTTTCCCGCTACCTTTGTACACTTCTAACGGCATCCTTAAAACCAAATGAGCTACATTAGATTTATTTATTGACGGATTGAACTGATAAAAGTTTGGTTTAATTTTACGTTATTGTTACAGAAGGAGGTTATTGTTTTGGCTTTGAACAAAGTCAGGAAGAGTTTAATTTTGTACATATACATTAGGTTATTGTCAAGGATGTAGCCTTTGGTGGTTTCGACTTTCAACCCTTGTCCGCCCCAATTATATTTTTATGCTCGTATGTCACCATTCTTTTGAAAGTAGTTATAGCATATAGCTATAAAGAGCATATTAAGATAATGGCCAACTATAGGGAACCGTTTTCTATTGATTACTTATCATATAAGGTTTTCACACGAATTTGAAGCAAATATTACTACTCCTCGAATCCTTGATAACAATAACACTTTGAACAAAAAATAACAGCTTTAAAATAAAAATTTAGTATCGGTACAAATGTAATGCCATCGAATTGGCGGTCCTGATAGACAAAATTATCGACTATATTATAAAATGTAACACTAATATTATTTTTTTTTTTGTCGTTTGTTCCGACACAAGATACCGGACACCAATTCACGACAGACGAGATGTTCGACCGGATACGCGTCGTGGCGTCAATCAAGTGTCGGTGGCCATTGCATCCCGGCTACATGCATTCGTTCGGCGTGACGGACCGATATTTCATTATTGTCGAACAGCCACTTAGCGTTTCTCTTTCTGCCGCCGTTGTCAACCGATTCAAAGGAAACCCACTGTCCAACTCGTTGAAATGGTTCCAAGACTGTCCCGTAAGTCGTATAATATACAATATACGTATCTGTAATACAAATTTAAATAAATCACCACAAACGAAAAATGGTTTTGCTTGAAGTTTGTTTTAACATATTTCGAACAAATTTAAATTAATAATTGTATTAGATTTTAACATCAAATGAAACTTCAATAAATTTGTCATGTTTCAAACAAATTTTAATATAAAATTAAACTTAAAACGATGATAATAATAAATTACAAATTGTTTTATCAAAAAATAAAACTCAAAACTTTCAAATAACTATAAATAACGCCAAAATATATATGAAAAATTGTACCATGTCTAAAAAGTGCAAATATAAGTCTCCAGTAAAAGCCGCTGGTCTCTCGGATTATTTTTTACTGAATTACAACCTACAACAAAAAAACGAAATAATACATTATTGCATAAACATTCCCGTTTTTCCGACGTTTTATCTGGTTTTTCTTTGTTATTAAAAAAATTATAAAGAATATCAAAAACTGTACCAAATATATAAGCAAAATTTGATATCCAAAACTATTTCTGATATTAATAATAAGAGCAAAATTTCTGATAGAAAGTTGTTTATAGACAAAAAAAGTATACGTTCGCTCAGAATCTAAACAAAAATCAACAATTATTTACGTAATCAATAGAACTAAAAACAAGCGTAAATGAGAATGCTTAAGTGGAGTGTCAAGAGAAGATAAGTTAAGGAACGAGTATATAAGAGATAGGCGTGGTTTTGATAGTAGACCTAATGAGATAAAATAAACTAAGCTGATTTGGATATATCACGAGGAGAGAGAAATCAAATAAAGTAAAAATGATAATGAAAATAAACGTAAGAAGATAAAAGGAAAGAGGAAAACAGAAAAAGAGTTTAGGTTATAGGAATGTGACTGCGAATAATATGAGACGTAGGTCGTATATGGAAGAACAATATAGGGGATAGGTTCAATATTGGAAGTTTAGGACGAAATGGCTAACCCCAAATAGTTGGGATAAAGACGGAGCAAAAAAAGAAGCAGATTTAAATCGTCAATATAAAAGTGTTCTTATGAAAAAAACATACCAAAACTGGCCAAGTCGCTCAGTTTTAGTAACTCTTAGTGAGTCGTGAGTAATAACTTTGTATAAGCAATGCATGATTTACAGACTCTTATACACTTGATTTCACGTTCCGATGGCCAAACGGTCAAGACGTTCAAATCGGACGCCTTTTTTTACCTGCACATTATCAACCAGTTTGAAGAAGACGGTTGTGTTGTCATTGACATTTGTTGTTACCGTGACCCTTCGATGATCGACTGTATGTACATCGAAGCACTACAAGTAATATAATCACTACAAAATTATTTTCACTTTTCGATCATCTTGTATAAAATATCGTACGTTGTATACACTTACTAGACGGATTCTTGAACGGTATTTTTATAAATAATTGCGAAAAATAACTTTAAGCAGAGAAATCGTTTACACTATAAACATTAAACATAACCATGCGGACTCAACAACAGAACAATTATTCTAGAAATTATTCTAGGAATTATATGCTAATTAATTATGATTTCGTACTCATATGCTCTCGTACTATCATGACGAATTTAGTTGATTTCCTGTAACGATTAATGGGATGATAATGATCTGCAACCCTTTTATTTTCCAATAATTTTTTTCGTAAAACTGGACTGTCTAAAATAATCGCAAGACAATCTACTGTAACATGGATACTGTAATGATGAATACATAAAAAAGTTCATATTCTAGATATTAAATTAACCACAACGTTCAAAAGTGACGCTCTGCATTGTGCGCACCTTTGACGTTCGACGCTCTCTAATGTACGGGAGATATTTAGTGGATATACTGACAGAAATTATACATTTCGTCATGTAGTGTAATTATGCGTACTGTTTCCAAGTTGTGGTTAAATATAAATTGCGGTAAAATCAAGTAAACCTTAGTAATAAAAACTTTATCACAGTGAAAAATGTATTACTGATGAATTATAGCAATAGTATAATAAAACGTAAATTGAAAGCTTTTATCTTGTAATGTCATGTAAAATTTAATAAGCTATGATAGTATATGAATTTTTGAATGATGTAAAAAGGGGTTTTAGTGTTAAAATTAATAATACTTAAAGTTATTATAAATAAGTTATATAGGTAGGTAGGTATTTATAAAAATAAAAATGTATAGAGTTCACAGATTAAAATAATGTAAAACACAAATTATATTGATAGTATATGGAAAGGGAAAGTGATAATCTTTGACAAGTCAATAAGTTATAAATTTTAAATAGAAGCTACCGCAATCACGTGGTAGAACGCATGCAACAAGCGTCCCGTAGTCGTCCACAATCTGCGGTAAACCAGATAGCCAGAAATTTGACTTTGACATCAAATTTGGAACATCCCTGTATACAAGTCTAGATTAAATATTTGAGGAATTTCTTTCGCCTAATTGTTCTATATTAATAGAATAAAACACCTTATAAATATGGGCCCCCGGGCCAGCACAACCCTTAATCCGAGCCTGCCTGTATATCTTCATGGAATTCGTTAAGGATTTCAAACTTAAATTTTTAAAATCATTTGAAAATCTTTTTGAAAATAGTTTTGTGTTGGGATCACGGTTATTGTAGATCAACAATCAACACCATCAATCATATTATATGTGGGAATATTTTATATCTTCTGTGGTGATTCTGTCTATACATTGTGCCAGGCCAATCGATTAATATTTCTGTTTGGCAAATAAATCTTCAATATAAATTATGTTTTGTTGACTAATTTTTTTTTTATTTTTTTTTTACCAACTGGCAACTATTATTTTAATTTAAATATTCTACATTTAAAGGTAACATTTTTAAATTTTTAACTATTTCATACTATGGTGCAATAAATTATAACGAATTATTTATTATAAATTGACACTCGCCTCATGTTATTAGTTTGTTTTTTTTTGATTTTGGATTTAAATTTTTGAATTTCATTTTTAAAGAATTTTGTCCAGCTTTGTGGATAAATTATAGTATTATGTTAATACAGAATCTCAACAAAAACCCGGATTACGCATCTATGTTCCGGAGCAGACCTTTGAGATTCGTATTACCGGTTGACAGCATTCCTACAAGTGTTGTAGACGACGATGGCAAAACTGATTATCCGCACGTCAACCCCGAGACACTATGCAATTTGGGTTGCGAAACGCCCAGAATAAACGATTGTAACATCGGTAACAAGTATCGTTTTTTTTACGCAATATCGTCGGATGTCGATGCCGAAAACCCCGGAATGGTAATCATTTTGTTTGATTGTTGACGCTATCCAATTATAGTTTTGTTAAACATGAGTTTGTTAAAATTACATTTACGTTTTTTTTTTCATAAATTGGTTTCATGCAGTGGTGTAGCCAAACTTTTGAATTGAATCGAGGGGGAGGCTAAATATATTTTACTTGAAACACGATCAAACTTAAGGGGTAAGGGTGTTTTGATTTTTTGATCAAGTAAAATTTAGGAAAGTGTTTTCATCAATATGCATATAAATTTTTAATGCAATAGATAGGTGTACTTTAAGCGAACATTTATACAAAAAAAAAACCTTAATAATTAAATAATAATATAACTTCTAATGTTCTTATATTTATATAAGAATATATGTAATATCTTGGTGTCAGGGTCGAATCTATATGGGGAGGGGATAGAAGTAAATGTAGAATACAATTTTCAGAGGCATATTCGCGCGTATTTTTTTTTGTGTATACTAACTGATTGGAATTTCTGTAGTTAAATTATTTAGTGTTTTAAAAGACTATGAGTAAAATAGTTTTGCAATTAAGTTACCGTTAAACTTAAAGATAAAAACATTATCTTTGTCGTGACGTAATTTTTTATACATTATTTAAAACTGTGTAGGGGAGATATTAGCGTTTTTAAATCGTTATATTTTACATACTCGTATCTCGCTGAAAAATTTAAATTATGAAAAAAGAACGATGACACAACATAGATAACATTCTTATCTTTAAGTTTGATGATAGATCAATTCATTCTAATATTAAAACTAATAACACAGAGTTAGTTGTGCAATCAGGGGGGGGGGCGGATATAGATCTAGATTTTCGTAGTTTCCGTGGTTGTTTACACTTATTATATTATATTACAAATATTTTGTTTTATTTCACGTACGCAATGAATTCAAGTAATAGTATAATTAGTCAATTACGAAGTCACTGTAACACCTGATGAAGTAATTGATAATTTAAGAAGTTCAAAACGTCGCGCATCCTTAATTGTATGAAACTGTTAGGAATCATACTACTTATCGCAGCAGTGCGTATACCTTAATTTTGTAGTTTTAATTTTAGATTGTTTACATTATAATAAACTTAATATTTAATTGAGTCACTAAGTTAAATTAATTATATTTTGAGCCTTTCATCCTTGTCAAATCATTTATGTTTATTTTTTAATATTTTACTAAGTGATAAAAAATCTGTAAACATCAATTGTTTGCCCCTATGGACCTAAGTCTCCCATTAGCTACTCCACTGTTGGTCCTGGTGTTTGAAACTACACTCCCAAAATGGGTACAATAGGTACCGACATCCTATCTATTTATATTATCTTTTCGGTCATTTATGTTTTATAATAATATACTTATAGCTCATAAAAGTGGATACGTACAAGAAAACATGCACGACATGGAGCGAACGGAACGTATATCCCAGCGAACCAATTTTCGTCCCTTCGCCGGATGCAAAAGTACGAACAGAATAATATTATCGATTCATAAAATTTTAAAAATACAAATTAAACCATATCGCAGATACATATATAGAAAAAATAGTTCGCTGTGATTGGTGTGAGATTTATTTAAAAATTTTATTGAGTTTAATTCTGCTCAACAGCGGTACTAAAGAAAATCTGCTCTAAGAAATCGATTAATTATTATTTTACCTAGTTACCTGGCTATCTATATTCTATATAATAAAACATTCTTTTTTTTATAAATGTATACAAACAAATTTTTAAATCATAATGATTATAAGTAACCTTTGGTTTTTGTAAATACGATTCGAGCCTCATACAACTATTACATAGGTCGCAAGTTGGCTCCTCCTGGTATGCCCTTTCAGTGTCAAATAAATAGCTAAGCAATCTAAATACCAAAATTGTTATTATTTTTTTTTAAATATCGCTTTGTTTACGCATTACGATTATCTCAAATAAGTAGGCATAAATAACACGTTTTGTTCCGCAATCGGTCCGATTTGAAACGGAATTTATCTGCTGAACAACCAATTTCGTAATACAATATATAATATGAACATTGGCCATATACAGTTGTCAGTCGTATATAATCAGTAATAAAAATTATAAAGACTTTATATAAACCTACAGTAATCTTACCGACTTAATAAAAAATAGCCAATAGATACAGAAAGGTAAAAAAAAAAACCGTTGTATTCTTGATTTCAATGATTTATATGAAGTAGAAGTGGCGTGCGCAAGTTGAAGGTAAGAGGTTATATCCGGAGGGGGGGGGATATAAGAGGAGAGGCCTTATTGATTTCAAAATACAACAGCTATAAGTGCTTATTTAGTAATTTAATTTTGAAGTTATAATACATTTTACAAGAAATTTTGGAAAAAAAACTTGATTGATCGAGTAAAAATTGACTTTTTTTGGTACGGAATTTAAATTCTCATTGTCGGATTAAGTATAATAATAGAAAAAGATTCTACGATTTATTTATGAATAATGATTATTATTAATTACATCCCCCCTCAATCCTCGTTGAAAATACCTGGCAACTGTCGAGTATATAGATAGAGATTATAGTTTACGAACAATCAATAGAAATACGCTAAAATATTATATTATCTAGAAAAACCTCTTCTGTACTCCTCCCAGAAAAAAAAAAATGTTCAAACGCCATATGAAAATTATATAACTTTCTTGTGCACTGCGCAGGATGAGGATGACGGCGTCGTGTTGTCGTCGATTGTTTGGGGCGGAACCGAGTGCACAAACCGAGCCGGAGTAGTGGTTTTGGACGCCAAAACCTGGACGGAGATTGGACGAGCCACTTTCGTCACTCAGTCTCCTGTGCCCAAATGTTTACACGGATGGTACGCCCGAGTGGTATAAAAGCGTGTCGTGGTGCGTTTAAAAATTGTCTAACTGACCTGCGAGTCCATACGCTCAAAAGTATAAAACAATATCCGTCTGCTGTGCATGCATCAAAGGAATAGTTACGTTATTTATTTTATTATTTTTTTTTTTTTTTGACTCAATGAAATTACTAACACATTATGTTCGTAAAATCGTAAATCACCGCAGCTCTGTACATATTACATCGATATTTGCATAATAAATATTATATAGATATAGGAAATGATATATTTTAATACTCACTGCAGTAATACCTACTCGTATATTGCATACTTAAATCGCGAAGTGATGACGTATAATTTCAAACCGGTACCGATATTATAATAGTATGGTCCACTGTTGGAATTTAAAATTTAAATGGTGAAACACTAATATATATACCAACAATGTGCAAATCTAGTAATTAAAAACACTTAGGTGCTTACTCAAACTTTAACTACTTTAACTAAGCTTACTTTCACTAAAAACAATTATTGTTTTCATACAATTGTTAACCACGCCAAACAACAAAATATTTCTTAATGATTTTATTCTTCAATAGTTTAAAATAGTTATAATACATGAAATAATATTAATATATAGGTAATATATAAATCAATTGACTTTAATTGACCTCAGAAAGTCGAAACTGATATACGAACATAAGTACCCAACTTTTCTTTATAAAACAATAAAATACAGTTGTTTAAAAATGATTAACATTATACACCACTGTTTAATATAATAATATGATTAATTATTAAATCAATTGGGAGATTAATAAAAATTATAATTTTAACAATAATAATGTTATTATTATCTATAATTTGTGACTTCTATTTTATAATAATATCTGAAGCACAAACGGGCGTCATGAGTTCGGGCGAATTACCTTCCTTTTTCCCCACATGATAAAAACAGTGTGTTTGGGCGATATTACTGTTACCATGTTCTGTTCTATGTATGCATACTCTCGGTGTATTTAATAATAATTGTTCAAATCAATATACAAAACTGAATTTCTAATGGTGTAAAAACTAGCATCTAGACATTTTTCTATTAATTTTCTATAGCGGTATTAAACTAAAACAACTGTCCTAAGATAATAGAGACGGGTGCAGCCACTGTTATAGGTAATTTAATGTATATTTGTAAGCAACGATAAACAAACGAAAAAACGATTCTGAGCGGAGTTCGGTTGATAGTGTTAAATTGTCAATAAAATAATATCTAAATTATATTATGGTAAAATAATTCCATATGCATTATTTTCTTTAATAATATTTGCTTAATATTTCACCTATTTTCCTGTTTTTCCAATTTAAGGGAAAACACCAAAGAAAATAGAAAAATGATTTTCCTAAAGGACCTCTTCAGTTCGATCTCCTTTCAGAAAAAGCGCTATACTTGTAAATAAGAGCAAAATTGCTAGTAGAGAATAGTTGTCCGCAGAAGAAAAATTAAAATAAACATCATTGTAAAACCAATACATTCCTCGCTTCATTAAAACATAAATAAACGACTAGACGGGTACATTTTTAAAACGATTTTGTATTTTACATTTTAAGAAGAAGCAATCGCTTATAAACAGCCTCGATTACGTTGGACGAATTTATTCGCTGTTACCAAATTCAAATTGTAATCGGCCTAGTCGCTTAACCGTCGCGTGTTGGATACCTATATAGGTATACTCGGTGCTCACCAGCGAATAAAGTTAACGACTGACCCACTTTTGTCATTACTCGCTGACTATTTTACACGCTGGCTAGGGGGTACATAAAATAAACAGAAAAAAGCAAAACCAATATTTTTAACCATACAATTGTAATTAAATACATACATATTAATACAATTGTATTGCCAGTCCTTAGTCTGTAAAATAAGAAGGAAAATATTGATTTTGCAATCGACAATTTTGCCTTAGACATAATCTACGTATTATTAAAAAATATTTAGGCAGATATTACACAAAATATACCCAGGTTGTAATTTATGTATGTATAAAATATACCCGGGCCGCAATTTAAGTATATATGCAGTTTACCCGGGTCGCAATTTACTTAGTATATGACCATGACCTTTCTTCGGGGACGCAATTTATCGACTCCGCTAATAACGGAAAGCCGTAAAATCCAGGAAAGTATTCTCACGGACCGTATTAATCCGGAAAAAATAAACGCACAAACCGTATTGTTACGGTTAATTAATTTCCGGAGTTTAAAAATATACGCACCGTATTAACACGGACTGTAGAAATCCAAAAAGTTGTAAACCGTATAGTCCCGGAAAGAAAAAAATCGCAATAAGCGCAATCTATTGATTCTTTTATCTGTTATATAATAAATAATTCTTAATATAGTTTAAATTCGAGCGAAATGATGATTATACTGGTTTTAGAGTGTTGAGAGCATTTTTTCTTTTTTTTAGTTTTCTATCCGAAATCTTGTTCCAAACCAAAAATGACAAGAGATCTGTTTTATTTCATTTTGAATTTTATTTCTTATGGTAAGTTATTTATAGCTATTTTAATTTTGTTAGTATTTTTCGGTTCAATTCGGTTATAAATATTCGTAGAGACACTTGAAACTTGGTAAGAAAACTTATATTAGATGTGATAAATTATTCAAAACATTCAGACCACTTTTTTACTTTTTTTTACAATCGTATTAGATTCTGAGTGGAGCGAAGAAGCGTATGGTTTTACAAAGATGTTTATTTTTTTTTATATATGTGCGTAACTTTTTTATCAAAAGACTTGCTCAGATTTTTACGTGTTACATCTTTTCTGAAAGAAAATCGGCGTCAGCAGGTACCTTCAGAAGATCATTTTTCGATTTTCCTAAGAGTTTTTTTAGAAAATGTGAAAAACCGAGATAAAATATGGGAAAACCGGGAATAAAATGGTAGGAAAACTGAGAAAATTGGTACAATATAAAAGAAATTTTATTAATGAAAATATATAAAGCCTTTTTAATTATTTTACTACAAAATGACATATATTTTTGACAAAGCATTACTATCAACTGAACTCTGCTCAGAATGGTTTATCTTTGCTCACTAAATGTCCATCTATATCCTACCTTCCTAACTTCTCACCCACATCAGTGGCTGCACCCGTCCCCATTATTTTACCTTTCTTTTTTAAAACTGTTTTTACTTTAAACTACTTATCTCCTAGAAAATTTGCTCTGATGTATAAGTGTGGCACCTTTTCTGAAAGGAAATTTTATTTATTAGGTACTTTAAACAGGCCATTTCTCGATTTTCTCAGGAGTTTTTTCGTCAAATTTAAAAAAACGAAAAAAAAAAAAAAGAAAAAACCTAGGAAAACTAGGAAAATCCTTACCTCTTATTTTTCAATTGTGTTTGAAAAGATGTATTTTTCAATATATTTAAAAATTATTAAAATTTTGGTGGAAACCATTATTAAAAATGTCATAGCTATTTGAAGTTTGTCATTATTACGGATCAGCATAACCTATATAAATAACTTCTGTTGCTCCAAATTTATGCATTTGGCTGTGGCTTTGACATTCATTCACAAGAGAGATTGTTACATTGTTAGAACTAATTATAGGAGGAAGCGTAGAAAAGAAGAACTATAGAGAAAGGCCAAGACTGGAATACATTCAACAATTAATAAAGGACCTGCGACTGGAGACTGTGACTCATATTTACAAATGAAAAGGGGAAGCAGAACATAGAGAAGTATGGAAGATGACTGAAACAAATTGTACGGATTGAAACTAAAGAAACTATGCATAGAAAATGTTACAATTATTCATTTTTAAATATGAATGAAATAAGATAATAATAAATCATATAATACAAATAATCGATCACCCAAAAATACTAACTAGATTATTTGTCTACTAGAATTGTAGTTGAAGTTGTAAATCAAATTATTTTTTCTAATATAAATTGTAAATTGTGTACCCATATACACACAAATAAAAATATACATCAGTGTAAAATCGCTCCGCTTAGAGTCTAAAATCATAGGTGCATGTATTAATTAAAAAATATATTATTTTGACGGACGCCAATGCTATAGTAATCTATAGGTATTATACCAGTCGTGCCTGCCAACAGTACTTTCGCTGAGGCAACGTGAGTGGTCGTTTAGCACTCTTCTACACATAGGCACAAGTAGTATTTGAGATTTGAGAGGAGGACTGAAGTCTGGAATCTCAGAATTGTAGAAGTAATAACCACTTAAAAACTGTCCTCGCTTTGCTCCTTTTAAAATATAAACACATTTACAGTTACAGATAACATTTAGTTGCCTATTTAAAAATCCTTAAAATGTTTAAACCATATTTTATAATTGTAACTATACATTACACTACTTGGCGTTAGTATTACTTAAAATTTAGATTCCCGAAATATATGGTCCGCAACAATACGGTTTGTGTGTTTATTTTTTCCGGATTTCTACAGTCCGGTTTTATACGGTGGACGTATATATTTTTTCCGGGAGAATACTGTCCGTGACAATACAGTTGGTTGGACGCATGTAAAAGCACTAAATGTATTGTACGGAATATTGGTTTCCGAAATGTTTATTTTCAAAACATATTTGTTTGGATTACATGTTTCCGGAATGTGTACACTTGAACTGTATTTTACCGGAAACTTTATAAACCCGAACTATATTTTTCTGAAAACAAACAATTTGCGAACTATAGTCACGGACCGTAAAAACAAGGAAAATTTTAAAATTGAAAAATATGCGAAACGTATTTGTACGGATTGTCTGTACCCGGATTGTAAACGCTCGAACTGCATACTGTCGGAAAATAAATTATTAATCACGAACCTTATAACCTCGGAATCTTGGAAAACGTTTGAAGCATTTTTGCATTCTCGGATATACACAACTGGGCGCGTATAACCAAACCTTACAATGCCCGTAAATGTTTCTACCTTAACCACGTTTTTAGATTCGTAGTGGAGCGAGGAATGTTTTGGTTTTACAATGATGTTTATTTTTATTTTTTATTTCTTCCTAGTTATGTCCCCCCCCATAAACGGGCGTCAGCTAGTAGATTGGTGATAAAATGAGAATGTTTAAAAAACCAGCTCCAACAGGCCTTAATATTTGTTATTAAAAACAATTACGAGATCGTTTGTAAATCAAAAGGATTTATTTCAACCACAAAAATACTGAATAAGCGCAATTAAAATAATGGTAATGTAACTCCTCAGAGCTACTAATTTCTTAAGTTGTTAAAAAAAATCCGAAAATTTAATATTTTCCGAGATAATGAGTGTGTTTTAGATTCTATAATATAGATACAGTCTGTATAGGGTTTGTTAATAAGCGATCGGGACTAGCAGCGGTACGCGTAACTACCTATATTTTTTCCATGAGATCCAGTTCTTAATTACATATCGGAAAACCCAGTTTTCCGGAAACGTACGGTACATAACTATACTTTTTTTTTCCGAAAACATACAATCCAGGCTTATAAGGTTTCCGGTAAAATACAGCCCGAGTGTTTACAATTCGGGAACAAACAATCCGTACAAACATACGTTTTGTATGTTATTCGATTCCAGGTTTTTACGATCCACAACAATACGGTCTGTGCGTTTATTTTTACTGGAGTTCAACAGTCGGAAACTTTTATTCCGGAATTATACAATCCGGGCAAATGCATTCCGAGATTTTACGGCTTCCCATTTGGTTACTTTCCGGATTTCTACAGTCCGTGATAATACGGTAAAAAATTTTGAAAGTCCGGAAATATATACGATCCACAACAACACGCTT